CGGCTAGCCAGGTTATTCTGTACCAAACATGCTCAGTGTGGCGACCATGTTTGCAACCCATGTTCGGCTTGTGCATTTCTCCTATGCTCTCTTATGTCTGTTCACGCTATTTTCTTGGGTGGGAGGTATTACTGGCTGTTTCTCGCATGTTCCGCATAGCTGAACACCGAACAGGGAAACCTTCGTGAGTCACAGATAATGAAGTGACAATGCTCTTGTTCCACAGTTCTTCAGAGGAAGTCTGTATCGTAAGTGGTTATAGGGACTAAGGGAAAAAGGATATCACTCTGCTTTTGAGATCTGAATTCACAGTTACCTCTGTGGTTGGAACCAGGGCCTAACGGAAGTAGCTGAGGTTTGGGGCACCGGGGTGGCTCAGTCAGTTAAGCATCTGACTCTTGATTTCAGTTCAGGTCTTGGTCTTAGGGTCATGGGATTGAGCCCTGCCTCAAGCTCAGAGCTCAGCGCGGAGTCTGCTTGAGATTTCTCTCTCCCTCTCCTTCTGCCCCACCCCCACCCCCCAGCGTGCACTCTCTCTACATAAATAAATAAAATCTTAAAAAAAAAAAAAAAAAGTAGAGGTTTGGCAAACTCCCGTATGTGAATTCAGTCGTACAAATGACAACAGAATTGTAAACAGATGCAATTGCTCATATAAAGTGATAAAAGGACACACACCAAATGTTAACAGTGGTTTTCACTGGGATTACTGGAAAATCTCATTTTCCTCTCGGGGCTTTTCTTTTCCCAAAATTTCTGTAGTGGATACAGATTCCTTTTATAATCCCCCAAATAAAGTGTTATTTAAAAAGGTAAACTAGGGGGGTGCCTGGGTGGCTCAGTCGTTGAGCGTCTGCCTTTGGCTCGGGTCATGGTCTCGGGGTCTTGGGATCAAGCCCCGCATCGGGCTCCTGGCTCAGTAGGGAGCCTGCTTCTCCCTCTCCTCCCTGCTCATGTCGCTCTTGCTCTCTCTCTTTCTCTCTTAAATAAATAAAATCTTTAAAAAAAAAATAAATAAAAAGGTAAACTAGCTGGTTAAAATTAATTCCAAGTGTATACACCTAAATCGGGCTATCAGAAGGGTCACTTGGAGTGGCTATGTGAACTCATTAAAAGGACAGACTCTGGAACCGGGCTACTTGGGTTCAAATCCCAGTTCTGCCCCTTCCTAGCTGTTGTGAACTTGGGCAAATTTTTTACCTTTCTATGCTTCAGTTTCCTTATCTATAACATAAAAATAGTAGTATCCTCCTTAAAGAACTGGTGTGAGGTTTAAATGAGTTAATATATAAGAAACCCTCAGAATAACGCCTAGCACGGAGCAATTCCGTATTTGCTATTGCCATTCATTGCCATGGTCCCACCACCGCTCAAAATGTTTTCGGGCGTTGGTGGTATAGTGGTGAGCATAGCTGCCTTCCAAAATGTTTTCGGAACCGCCTTTTGGAAGCATTGTATTCAGGGTCTTAAGCACATTCCCCTGAATCACTTTGTGTGCATACAGTGGGATCCCATTTCCTCCTTTGAGGAAGTGCTAATTCTTGAGAGCAATCAAGCTTATTTGGGGTTCAAAATAAGGTGTGCGTATGAAGTCAAGAACTTAATGCTCCTGCATTGTTCATCTACTGCCTATGAAGAATTCCAAAAAACACACGCCGGACACACACCCAGACAGTTCAGCACCATCTAGGACTTGATCAACCCCTGGCTAACTAATAGGTTGGGTTTCTGCTAGCAAGAGGCTGAAAAATAAATTTTAATTACGAGACCTCTTCATTCAATCGATCCTGAGGGCTTTACCGACTAGCCTACAACCAACAGGCAAATTTCATAAAAGGCTGATTTACATTTAAATCCAAGCCTTTTTTCTCCTTCAAAGTTGCTGATGCCAAGTTTTAAGTATGAAATGTCATTGTTTTCATACAAATATTCCCAAACATTACCAGTTGTCATTTTGGCATTAAATAAGTTTGCGGCATTAACAATGATAACATTAGCATTTTTAAAAGCGTTAACATCATTGTCCTTCTGTAAACTATTGCAGGCTCAAATTACCCTACACAGACTCTTTAAAAAAAAAAAATTAATGGGGCACTGGCATCAAAGCCAGTTAGGGCTGGATGAAAGGAATAGCAGTCACCTCCTTCATGGTCCCAGCAAAAGGACCATAATGGTCTCGTACTAGCCCAGTTATCGCCCTACAGGAACAACATGTGGAAATGGTGTGTCCCACCGTGTACATAAGTAAGTGAACAAAAAGTGCGTTAAACATTCTTTTCCCAAGATGCAAGGGATTTTGATAAAATCTAACTGGGTTGTCACAAAGGAAAAGAATTCTCTGTGTTCCTAAGTACTGAATTCTTTACAAAAACGTTTTCCATTTTTTTTTTTTTTAAAGGTTTCAGTGATCTAGCATCTTGGGGAATATTGTGTTCCATGTAAATGATTTTGCAAAGAAATTTAAGTAGATCTCTTTATGTCTCCAAATGTCATTTGTCATCTTTCTGGGGGAAATCCTTTAAAATCGTGTTACCTGTGCCCTTAAATTCCCTAACCAGATAGTATTACTATTCTAGACCTCTATTACTGAAACCAAAAGGGCAAAGCAGCATGGTGAATAAGAACACAAACTTAAGAATGGAATAAATCTAGGTTCAAATCCTGATTCTGCTGCCATTGATTACATGTGAGAGCTCAAAGTTACTCTCCCTCTCCCCCTCTCTTAAGACTCATTTAACTCCTCTTCTAAACAAAGATTAATAATCGAAATCACAGGATCACTTTTAAAATTAACAAAAGATGTTTCTAGGTTAGCACAGTGACTGGCAAAGCACAGGGGCTCCATAGAAGGGAGCTACTATTATTCTAATCGAGTGAGCTACTAAATGTGTAGGACTGTCCCTATGGGGTCTATAGGACTTAGGGTAAATGGCCTCAAGTTGCGAGTTCCTTTCTAGAGGGTCTGTGATAGCCTAACTATTCTTAGTTTTTCCTTTATCATCAGGCTGTCCTGCCTTTAGCAGTCTTCCCATTTTTAATTTGCTGTGAACTGGGGAACGAGATACAGCTGATAAATGAAGTCAGAATTGGGGGCTACACTGAGGTGTCCCCTAGGACTCAGAAACAATGTCCTCCCAGAGTTAAACTTCAAAACCAACGAATAGGCAAATTAATCTTACAGACACAATGGCTCTCAAGCCAGAAAGCTATTGTAACCCAGTCTGATTTTATTAAACAGTAGCTGTATGATGTTGTAGTGGGAGGGGAGGAGTGTGCTCAACCACAAAACCCCAAGAAAGGGGAGTCAGTGACAGATACGGACAGTGTCCAAGCCCTGCGAGGGGAAACTTTAGCGAGGGGACTTCAACGATCAAGACCCCATTGGTGGGGCGCCTGGGTGGCTCAGTCGTTAAGCATCTGCCTTCGGCTCAGGTCATGATCTCAGGGTCCTGGGATCGAGCCCCACATCGGGCTCCCTGCTCTGCGGGGAAGTCTGCTTCTCCCTCTTCCACTCCCCCTGCTTGTGTTCCCTCTCTCACTGTGTCTTTCTGTCAAATAAATAAATAAAATCTTAAAAAAAAAAAAAAAAAAAGAGGGCACCTGGGTGGCTCAGTTGGTTAAGCGACTGCCTTCGGCTCAGGTCATGATCCTGGAGTCCCTGGATCGAGTCCCGCATCGGGCTCCCTGCTCAGCAGGGAGTCTGCTTCTCCCTCTGACACTCCCCACTCTCATGTGCTCTCTGTCTCTCTCATTCTCTCTGTCTCAAATAAATAAAATCTTTAAAAAAAAAAAAAAAGACCCACTGGCAAGACTTTCTTAAATAGAAAGGGATACGGGGAGTCACAACCTGAAGGTTTCAAATACTAAGTGCATATGGAGATTATTCTTGTAGTGGAGCGTCATTTGTTCGTTCACTCAATATTTATTGGGCAACCACCTTTCTCGCCTGGACCCCTTCCATCTCCTTTCTTCTGAGTCCATGTCACCAAGCAACCTTCTAGTTGTGTCTGGCTTCCTGGGTAGATGCCCCTATGGGAGGAGAAGGCACTGGCCGTGCTCACATTCTAAGCGACAGGACTGTTTCCCAGGATGAACTAATAAATGGGCATTATTTCATTGCAGATCAGTCTCACGAGCTTGGTTAAAGTGCCTTTACCCACAAGAAATGAACTCACTGAGGTGCTGACAAATTATCCAAGCCTGGAAACCTAAGGGCGGGGCCACGACCAGGTAAATGCATGCCTTGGGGTTCCCCTGGGTGTGATGTATTGGGACTGTGTTCTGACTCTGGACAGTGATGGGGGGCAGTGTCTGGGGTTAGACTGGGGGCTGGTCTTACCATTCACACTCTGGTTTCCCCTAAGCTGGTTACTTAACCTCTCCGAGCCTCTTTTTTCTCTCCTACAAAACGGGATGAGAGTCCTTCCGAGTTCTATTTTGGCTCAGTATTGAAACAAAAGCAGCAAACGAGCAGGTCTGCTGAATTCAAAACACCAGGCTCCCCTCCTCTCCCGTTCCCCGTGCTCCGGTCCTGACGGATGGGTCCCCCTGCCATTCAGTCACCCATCCGAGGAGCATGCAGGGCTCTTGTCGACTCCACTGCCCAGGGAAACCTGGGCACACGGGCTCTCTGGCACGTGGCGCACCACACTGCGGTGCTTTCTTCTGCCTTCGTAGCAAACGATGCCTCAGCCGATGTGGTGACAGTTTTATGGGAGCCACTGCTCCTGTGGAATAATTCTGTTTACTTCACAACAGCCGCCTGGACATCTGCCCACTCCTCAGCCAACACAAAGGCATCATGTGCTTCGAGGATCCACCGTCTGAGACCACCTTGTTAATAACAGAATTGTTCAGATCTTAGTGTTGTCTCGTCTATGAAAGAAACATCCTTCTAAAACACGCAAATCGAATGGTGTTCGGAGACTGTATTAACTACCTTTATTGCACTCCAAAGAACAACTCGAGACACATGTAGAGAGTGGATTTTCAGAGAGATGTTTCCTTGGCCCAGTTACATTTTTATTCAGTGAAAAAAGTTGACATTGAGACAAAAATTATCGTAAAATTGTGCAACAATATAGTAAAATCTTCAGCAGAAATCGGTGATTTGGAAACGTATCAAGGCAATTGAAATCATAAATGCCTAATTTCACTTTGGAGAGAAACAAGTATACAGTGTTCCACTTGAAATAAGAGCAGAGTAGGCCTTTATTTTGCTGCCAATACTTTGATTTTGCCTAAAGTTTCTAATAATTCGTAACAAGAGTCTTTAAATGAGAAGTGACACGGGAGGACATCGGAGAATAATGCTCCACTTGGGCACTCATACTTGTTTCCACTGGCATTAGCACAAATGGGACGAATACCATTCTTGGGTTACTTGGCTCTGAGGATTTAATTCCTAATATGGCTGCTCAAAATTAGTGGGCAGAAACACATACACAACCTATCCTCCCTCAACCCACATTCGATGGTGGTTCCCATTCTGAGAACGAGCTCATTGTCCGTGTACCCAACTATCCATCTCTCTTGCTATCTATTCCATATCTCAGTCTTGCATAGAAAGTAGTCTATATAAACTTAATGCACTGGCTCTTATTACATAAAAATTGTACCTGAAAGGCAGCACACACTCCAGTTAATAAAAATAACAGACTAGGGATGTTGAGATACAATCCCAACAAAGTGAAGATTCTGCACAAAGTTTTAAGAGTCAATTCTGAAAATCAATATGGAGATGGTATTCAGTTGACTTATCTCCCAGAACCCTTCTCTGACGGGTCTCCCAGCTCTGTCGGAGGAAAAATCTTCTCGGGGATTCACCATGCCCCCCATCAGTAGGAAAGTGACCAACCAAACCTAACAAGATGAGGTTTCTGCCCTTAAGGAAGTAGCGGGACTATAATCTTACAAGATGGAGTGACCATTGGGTGGATATTTGAAGACAGGATTCTCCAAGGGGAAGTGGGCGATTATCTCTAAGAGCCTCGCCACACCATCGCTCTCCCCAGTTCCCCCCAAAACAGCCACTGTGTGAGAAGGGGTACATTCCTTAAATGGCTGAAGCATAGCTTAATCTAGTAGGCCAGGATGATGGGCAGGAGAGAACACAGAGCTGTGTGTCCCACACCTGTCCCACCCAAAGGTCCCGAGGGATACAAGCAGAGGTGGAACCCCAGGAATCTCTCTTCCCAAAGTCCAAAGTTTCAACCAGTTACCCAGCATCATAACCTTGTACCCAGTATGCCAGGGCAGCCAGTAATTACTGGAACTTCTCACATGTCTGGAAATGTCTGCATAGATGTGGCTCCTCCCTGGACTCCTCTGCAGATTTCTGTCATTTCATCCGCCTGGACCCGTGTCTCACAAGGTTCAAGGGGCGTTCAAGACATAAAGGGGCAAACTCAGCCTCCAGAGAAAATCTGTACACAATCCCCCTGCCTGCCAAATTTTAGTGGTCTGTTAGTGGTGCACCGTGGTCCACGTGGATGTGGGCTTCTGACATTCTAATGTGCGCTGGGAGAGAATAAAACCTTTTCCCTGCACAGTGTGAACTTCTGAGGTGGCATCTTCAACGAGGTACAAAAAAGCCCCTTCTTCACAAACAGGGGCTCCGATTGGTCACAGTGAAGACAATTATCTGGTCACTTTCAAAGGCTGCACATACTTTCTGTCCTCATCTCCTAAGGTCACTCCAACTTCTGGACTCTCGCAGACGACACACACATACACCAAAACCCCACAAAGCTATGCAGAGGGAAGGAAGAGTGCGTGCTTGAAAAGTTCATAAAAATATACAATTTACATGTAGCTGCATCTACCTAGCTTAGTCTTCAGAAACTTAGCTCTTCTGTGTATATAAAATACTCTAGCCCTAAAAGGCTGCTTTTTCTCAAACAGCACAGTGGCGTTTTCCAAGGAGAGGGGCGATGGCCAGTCTATACAGTACTGTGCACTAAGCTTTGGGAGGCACTGGTAACAAGAACTGGATGCTCAGAAGTGTCTCCAGTTGCCGACTAGAGACACAAGCTCTGTAGAAAGGCTTGCCTATGGAATAATGGAAAATAACGTCTCAGAGCCTTTCAGATCAGCTTTTACGAATGCCAACAAAAAGTTGGCAGAAAAAGAAAAGGAGAAAATATACTTTCTGGTGGTTCAATTAAATGACTCTGCCTCCCACCAGACTGTTAATCTTTCAGCTACTTAAAGAGCTTTACGAAAGGGGTGGGGGTGGAGGGTAGCGCTTGGAGCTTTGAACAAAACCCCAAGACAAGATAAAGCCAAAGAAATTCCATTCTTTACAAAAGTCACAAAGGAAAGAGAGGGGAAGAAGGGAAAAAAAGGCTGGAAGGAGGCTCATTATGACCACCGCTTGTTAAAATAAAACAGAGCCTTACCCACACGACATACTACATGTCTACAGTTGAAAATACTCCTCATTCAAAATATATATATGCATATATATATATATAAATTAAAATTTTTAAAACTAAAAAATTTAATTGGCTCTTTGTTTTCCAGACTATCACTAGATAGAACAAATCTATATTCTCACCCAAGAATGATACTTTTGGTTAAAAGAAAGCAAATACTTGTGAGAAGGTGATACGGCGCACCTCAGAGGACATGGGGGGGTCTTTACAAAGCTTGCATATAAAGGACACATATTCGGAAACATGACTTTGGAATATCCCCCGAGCTCCCTGCTTCTCAGCTGAGAGGTTCTGCGATGAGGCTCCTACGGGAGTCACAACAGCGCTGGACGTCGGCGTCTACGGCGCTAAGTCTAAAGGGCGGGCATCGGTCCACGATGGTCAAGTGGCCATGATGTGAATACCGGGGTGGCATTTAAAGGCGTAAGGGATAAAAGCTCAGCTTGTTTTATAGAGAGAATAAGCTCTAGTGTTGCCGCGAATGTAAATTGGATAGAATGGTCTCAAATTCGTCCACCTCCTGTATCTCTGTCGGAGTGAACAGCCCTCTTTAAACTGGGCAGGGGTGCAGGGGAAGGAGGTGGAAGGAAAGGAAAAAAAAAAAGAGAAGGCACTGACCCAATTCAAAATGACTGCATATATCAGGCATACAGTTTTAAAGACAGTAAGTGGCCACCTCAACACAAATAGAAAACTTTACATTCGCGCCTGGGTGGCTCAGTCGGTTAAGCGTCTGCCTTCAGCTCAGGTCATGATCCCAGGGTCCTGGGATCAAGTCCCACATCGGGCTCCCTGCTCAGCAGGGAGTCTGCTTCTCCCTCTGCCTGCCGCTCCCCCTGCTTGCGCTCTCTCACTTGCTCTCTCAAATTAAAACAAAAAAAAACAAAAAAAAAACCTTTACATTCGAGATTCTTCAGTGGTAAGGAAAACAAAAGATTGGCAAAGGACAAATTAGGTACTCTATCTGCCAGTGTATCTCCCGTGGCACAGACCTAGTACTCTCCCACAAGCAGAGTCATTTGTTGTGGTGACCACGACACCAGGGTATAATGCAGCAGTGTTCCCATCTTGCAGCAAGGAGAGCTACGTCTTGTGCAGAGGCGTAGACGGTAAGATTCCATCCATTAACGTAAGAGAAGAAGCTGTGGCTTGCAGGGCCTTCCTGAGCTGCAGCTGTTTCACTGGAACTGAGCAATGATTCGGTGTGCTCTCCTGCCAAAAACCACTATGCGACACACGAGTGAATAAAAACGGACTGTTTCCGGAATGGCAACAAAACTGCTTCTGTTCCCCACCCCTCAACCCTGTGACCCCTCATAACGTGCAGAGTCGGATGACCACGAAAGCCCTGCCTTATACAGAGTCCCAATAAATTAACAAAATTACAGAAAAGAACCTTCCCCCATAATACACACAAACACTTTCATACAAACTAAATCCAAACAAAATTTAAAATTTGAGCACACTTTCAACGAGGGGGGGTGGGAGGGATTCCACCCATCACCCTCTCTTGAAGTTTTTATTAAATACATTTCTGTGTCTTAGAAAAATAAAAAGAATGGCCAATTTGTTGAACCAAAATTATCTCACAGATTTAAAAGCATGCCCAGCAAGCACAGCCCTGTAAGACTACATTAATATGACATCAAAGCAATTTGGTTACTGAAATCAACCTGGTTTGAAGTTCACAGTCGATTACTACAAAGTTTATTCATTCCTTGCTTTCCTTTTTTTGTTGTTTTTGTTTTTGTTTTTGGCCCATATAAAAATAACATATTGCAACTCAAAGTGCATCTTTTAAAATAAACCATCAACTATCTTTATCAAATAAAATATTTACACCATTTGGTTTCTAGTGAGGACAGCTTTCAGGCTATCACCATGGGGACGTCATCTGAAAATCCAGTTATCATGGGAGCATCTTCATCATCCTCCCCTAAAGGCAAAACAGTCGGTCCTTGGTGAGTTCCAGCGTACCTGCACCCAACCCCAACTCCCACCGCTCCGCCCCAGCCACCCCCGACACCATCGTGAGCCCCAGCCTGGAAAATTGGGACCGCAGCCTACCAGGCGCAGTAGCCAAAGCTGAAACCCAGCTCAGCTCCCCCACTGACACTCTTGAGTCCACTTCTCCTCCATCAATGGGTGGTCAAGCTTATTTTAATGGTAGCTTGAACTTAACCAAGTGAAGAAAGTAAATCTCGTAGGAAGGAGAATCTTATTACCCACCCAAAAGTCCAACGGGTGATTTAGCTTCCTTAATTTGAATTATCCACACCCTATGTTAACACAGTGAAACCTCATAGTCTGTTTTCTCCTCTGAACCCACACTGCTCTGAGGGTAGGGATCTTAAGAGGGGTTTAAGCTTTTTGAGGACAGCTTCCCAGACTAATGGATGTCCCCTTGTGGCCCCTGGTACAATCCTGTGCAAATAAGTTGTGATCCACATTCAGTGATCACTGTGTGGTATCACCATGGGTCAAACTCCTTTTGCCCCCAGTAACAGAAGCAAAGAATGCACCCCATTCATGCAAGGCAGACCAAATACTTGTACGAAGCAAGACAGGAAACTGAGAAGAAGAAGGAGCAAAGCTAATATCAAATAATCAATGAACGGGGAATTCACAAGTACTTTACAAACCAAAAAAATTATAACTGGTTTACAGAAAAAATAGGTATGTAAAATGACATTTAGCAGTCTGCGTTTGGGGAAGACCCCCAAACACACCTAATTTATTATATTAAGTGGTCTACTAGCCCTATTAGCAGTTACTAATTTGAGCACGTAGACATTTTAAAAGGGATCTTTCTTTCTTTTTTCCATACCACGTTATGGATACATGAAAGAAGAATGGCCGAGGAGGTTTCACTAGCTATCAGAAAGACAGACAGCCAGATGGAAAGGCCGTCTTTGGACAGAAGTCATCTGGGAAAGCGTGACTTTTTCTCTTGACTAGGCTCTTCCAAGATGTCAGACCTCCAGGTCCATGAAGGATGAGAGGGCTTGGAAATTCTTGAAAATCTGCTGATACTTTGGGAGTATCCAAAGCCCAGGGCCTTCCTATCCTTCCTGTACAAGGCAAGCTCCTACCAGTTCTTCCACAAGACCACTCCCGGTCTCAGGCCGGGACCACACCGCGGAAGAGACTACAAGTATTTTCGTATAGAAGCAAGTTCAAAGCAAAGGGCTCCAACTGGTTTAACCTAAAGCAGTGAGATCACTGGTTAACGAGTCACTCCTCGAGTGTCAAAAGATGAGCTTAACATAGGTATTTCCTAAGCAAGGAACCGGCTTTGCAGGGGTCGGCGCTGGGAGGAAGCACCAGGGCAGCCTGCCCCACTCACCCAGGTCGTCCCCCGAGGAGAAGATGGCCGAGCCCAGCCGGGAGCTGTAGTGGCTATTGGCAAAAGCAGTGAAGCTGTTCTGCAGCCTCCGATGCTTGGTGTACAGGACCGCAAACCCAACCCCCAGGCTCAGCAGTATCAGGAACAGGATGGGCACCACCACGGCAGCAACATCAGTAGACCTGGCAGCCCGGAACGCTGATGCGTCCTCACCTGCCAAGGCAAGAGGCCAACACAGTAAGCCTCCGACGTCAGGGCGGGAAAATGGACCAAGCAACTTGGACCCCCCCGCCCCCGCCAAAAACGCTACTCGTCGGCAGTGACCCAAGCCACCTGCCTGGTGTGGCATGTTCCTGCACGTGGCGCCTGACTGTTTCCCGACGCCTTGCCACGAGCTGACAGCCCACGGGCCTTGTGCATGCAAATACGGTAATTACATTAGCCTCCTAATCACAGCCTTGTTGTTTATTTAGATAATCTCTTGGAAGGGAGACCTTTGTTGGGGTATCAACATTGATTTCATTAGCATTATTACTTAAGACCACTTGCTTGCCTTACATAAGAGGATGTGAAATCAGACCACTAATTAACGAGATTGCAATTATTTCCCCCTACTTGGCACCAAAGTCACTCTGAACTGCAATTACCTGAAGCTCCATTAAGTGATACAAACGAGATTCCTTTACTGCAACGCTGACTTAACAGCTCATGAAGTTTTATGAGTTTGTTTGTTTTTTTACTTAGATGAAAGAGAGAAAGAACGTTTCCATACACATTTCACATTTTTAAAATGCTCTTTGCCAAGCCAGTTAGGTGTCTATGACCTAACAATGGTGCTCACTTGCCCATGTCTTAAACAAATTCCAGCTCTATGATGATGTGCTGGTAGATCTGCCCCAATAGGGCTCTAGGGCAAAGCTATCCCCCTGTTGGGTTTGGGCCGGTCTTAAAAAATCCTGGGGAAAGTCTGAGCCTGAGGGCAGGAAGTGGAACTTGGGAGTCAGTTTGAGCTACAGAAGCACAATGGACTTTTCAGGTCCCATAAGGAGCCTCATCAGGCTTGAGGTCATTCCCTGGGATAGGGCCAAGTGGTATGGGCCAGGCCTGTGCCTCACAGGGAAGGCTCAGTAGCTACCCAGGGACTCATTCCAACCAGATGTTCATTGAGATGGACCGGAGAACAGCCATTTCTTGCAAGCCCAATCTAACAACTCAATATCCATGCCTTTAATTTCTCTCATTATTGACCTACCAGGAAAAGCTGGGGCAAGATCTTATGTCATATGTCCCAACCTAACCCCAGCTGTGAAGTGGTAGATTAGGGGATGCTCTTAGCTGGAGCAGTCAGGAGGAACCAGTGTGGTGCAGGAAACAGGAATGAGTGGACCCCCCTCTCCCCCCCACACCCCACTTCTGAGGGGACCCAAACATCAAGGGACAAGGCAGAGACTAACCGAGGCCTCATGGAGAGATTCTTTCTGCTTGACAATCTCGGTTTTATAAAAGCAACACTTTTTCCCAAAGTCTATTTCACAGTCACTAATTGGTTTTACTTAAAAAGGAGGCTCTATTTAGGAAACGCTAGGTTAACAAGACTTTTTTTTTTTTTAATGATAATTTTTTTTTTTAAAGATTTTATTTATTTATTTGAGAGAGAGAGAGTGAGAGAGCACATGAGAGGGGAGAGTCAGAGGGAGAAGCAGACTCCCCGCTGAGCAGGGAGCCTGATGTGGGACTCGATCCCGGGACTCCAGGATCATGACCTGAGCCGAAGGCAGTCGCTTAACCAACTGAGCCACCCAGGCGCCCTTAACAAGACTTTTGTTGTCTGTTTTCTGGAAGACCTTCTCAGAACCTCTAGTATGCTATGATTCTCCAAAGGGAAGCGGTTTGCAAGGTTTTCCTTTTAGGGAGGTGCCTGGGAAGCATGACATGTCAGAGCATACAACTCTTAATGCAAGATTTTGGCTTGAGCGTTGGTGAATTCCTGGCTGGGAGTAAATGCTACGAAAAAGGGCAAGTGGCAAAACGTCTGTTGATATCCTGGCCAAGGTACTACAATACAAGCAGAATTTCTGTGTAAAGGAAAGGTTCGTCTCCACCATCAGCATGACCCAGCACCGATATCTGTCAGTGTTCAGAAGACAAGACGCCAGGCCAAATTCAGGTTCTGCTCTGGACCGACAGCTAAGAATGGGGGAGGCTATAAAATCAGTTACTCTATGGGAAGGAGGTGATTTACTGACTTGGAAGAACCACAGGTTACATTAGCATATTGGAGGCTCTGAAAAGTCCTGCAAAAGACAAACACTAAAACTCACACTCAGCCTAGTCTTTCCCGAGCAGAATCTCCTTTTGAAACAAAACCTATTTTTTTAAATTTTTTACTGTTATGTTAATCACTAAACAAAACCTATTTTTAACCCATTCCCTTTCTTGAGCTTTACATTCAGAATGTGGTCACTTTGTAACCCCAGCTCCTCACAGCACACCTGGCTCAGGAGGTATTTGTTAAATCAGTGCCTGATTAAATTGATACATAAGTGATTTTCTTTTAAACTGAAAGAATATTTTATTTTTTTATTTTTTTGAGAGAATATTTTAAATACACTTTAGAAAGACACATCTTGGGGTGCCCAGGTGGTTCAGTCAGTTAAGCATCTGACTCCTGGTTTCGGCTCCGGTCATGATCTAAAGTCCTGCGTAAGGCTCCTCACTCAGCAGAGTCTGCTTGGGATTCTCTGCCTCTCCCTCTGCCCCTCCCCCTGCTCTTGCACACGTGCGTGCTCTTTCTCTCTCTCAAATAAATAAATAAAATCTTAAAAAAAAAAAAAAAAAGACACAGATTCATCAAACCATGCTACATCCTTCATCAATTTCCCCAGAACTGAAGACGGAAACTGGACCCATGAGTGACTTACCGGACCCCAGCTCATCATATAGCAGGACAGCAGGCTCCCCACAAATCTGGCTGCCAAAAAGGCATCTTGCTTGCACAGTGAAAGTGTAATTATGACCCAATTTCAGATTGGAAATTTTAAAGAAATTGTCAGTAGTATTCCCAAGGTAAGCGGAGATATTCATGGCACTATCAAACATGTGTATCTCATAGCCCTGAAAACAAAGACACAAGAGATTGTTCAGGAATTAAATAAGGAATCTGACCGCTTCTATTACTGGTTCCACCTTTATGTGAGCTCCTTATTGCAGGCTTTTATAGATGCTAAAGCACTTTGGTTTTCTTACTAGATCTTTTTACATTACCACGGAGATACTGGATTCAGAAAATGGTAATTTTCCCATCCCAAATGTCTCAAATAACTACCATGCCCACTTACGAGCTGCAAAGTGGAAGTGAAAAGCGTAGCCCTAATAAAAGCCATTTTAACAAATATTCCAGTACACATTCAAAGTTCTGGTCAACAGTCCAGATTAATATTAAATGCCACAAAGAATCCGGGCAAGTCAGCAATGGTTCACTGTAATGGGATTGGACTAATAATAAATCCAAATCACAGTGGACTCCAGCAGTGGGGTAAGAAAAGTCAGGACATTTCTCCGTAGAACAGCGTGTGGGAACTCCATCTGCAGCCCACAGCTCGCTCACCAGCTCCTTGAGGCTGATGGTGGCCCCAGACCAACCTGGCCTTGAATAGAAAGCCCTTCAAGATCGGGCTGGGATCAGAACTGACTACTGGACTTCTCTGCTAATCTCTAAGTATTCCAGTGTCAAAGCTACCAACTTCCACCCCATCAACATCAAAAAAAAAAAAAAAAAAAAGACCTCCTCTCTTATCTCTATCCACATACTGGGCCCCACTGCATACTCACAGTCTCTTGGTCCCCATTCCACTGACCTGTTTAGTCTCTGAACTCTAAGCTTGGGGGGAGGGCAGGGAGAAGGACGTGCCACCTGCTTATGCGCAAACCCTCCCTCTCCTGGGAGTGAAGTATTGACCTGCCATCTCAACCTGAAAGCCAGGCTTCCACCACCTCGGAGGGATCCCCGATGACAGCCGGCTGCCAAACTGGGCCTCCCAACGCCTCCTGCCCCGAATCCCATCCCTGCATTCTCCATTATAAACTGGCATTAGTTATTTTCTATCTAATAAACAGTTGCTGTAGAACATTTGCCAAATACATAAAGGTATAAAGAAAAACATTTAAATGACACAAACATCAACCACTTATTTAACTAGTCTTCTTCTGTTGGACATTAAAGTTGTTTCTTCTTTCTTACTATCAGAAATAAAACTGCCCTGAACAGCCTTGCACATAAATTCGTGATGTACATCGTTTCCTTAGAATAAGATCCTGAAAGAATTGCTGGGTCAAAGGATGTGAACGCTTTTCATGCTTCTGATACACATTACCAAAGTGCCTTATGGAAGGCATTTCCAATTCGTATTTCCGGAGTGCTAATCTCCCCAACTACAACTCATACTGGTAATACTCTTCCCCTAAAACTTAGCCTGTTTAATGTGAAAGTGTCCTATCTTTGTGGTTCAGATTATTAGTGAGGTAGATCCTTCTTTTGCTTATGGTTACTGTAGTTTTTGTTTTGCTACCTGTACCTTTTTCAAAATCAGAATATTTCTGTTTTGAACTGCTTTGAGAGCTTTCTTTATATCTGTATATATTAACCATTTACAACGGTTGGAAGAGTTGCGAGAATTTTCAAGTTTTAATCTAGCTGTTTCTGGCCTTACACTGTGACTGTTTACAAACCTAGCACCCTTTGCCGCCACCAAACCCCAAAATAGCCACAGCTGATTCACGGGGTCTCTATAGCTCCTGCTTTGTTGACCCTGGGGACAAGCCAGGTCCACTCAAGAATCTGTCCACCTTTGGGTGGCAGATCTGTTCCCAGGTGACGCTCTTCTTCTCCTCCTGCCTTCTGCTGTGAATACAGTAATTGGTCTGCCGATGACAAAACAAAATAGTGTTTTCCGTATGTCAAGAGACTATCTTCAAGCACTTCCTGCCCCCTCAAACATCACTGGAAAGAAACTGCGAGGCCAGGTTGAGACTGTCCCAGGCACGGGGGCCACAGCCCTGCTCTCAGACTGGGGCTATGAAGGATGAGGCCCTGGTTCCGATCGATGCTGAGCCCCATCCAGCTTCAGAAGGCACAGCATGGGCTCCAGCCCATTCCGGTCTTTAGGCAAAGACAAGTTCAGGAATGAAAAGTGCTTAGTGCAGAGATTCTCATCTTTAATGGGCAGTACAACCATTTCACTAATTAGCAAGCCCACAGAAAATGGTCCTTTAATTCTCAGGTTCACTCCCTTGCCCTATTCTTTTTCCCCTATCTATGCCAGCATGCTGTTAACGAGCTCATCTCTAAAACTGCATTTCAATTAGATTCCCAAAGTCATTGAGAAGGAGGGAGGAACTCACCCTGCTTTCATTAAAATGCTTTTCCTTCAAAGCTAGACTTTTCCAAAACAGAAGAACGTGGTCATTTTCTGTTATGATTTTTAAGGCATCAGGTGCAGATAATGAAACTGAAAATTAAAGATGAAACAGAATATAGTTAGTGACTATATACTGGAATCACTGTTTTCTTGTCTGTCATAGAGAGATTAGATAAATACTAACTTGAGGGGTGCCTGGGTGGCTCAGTAGGTTGAGCATCCAACTCTTGGTTTAGGCTCAGGTCATGATCTCAGGGTTGTGAGATCGAGCTCTGTGTCGGGCTCTGTGCTGAGCGTGGAGCCTGCTTGGGATTCTCTCTCTCCCTCCCGATCACCCTCTGCCCCTCCCCCCACCCCGCTCGCACTCTTGGTCTCTAAAAATAAATAAATAAAATATTAAAAAAAAGAAAAAATGTGCTAACTTGAAAGGCTAGGTTAAGGAAGAAATAAAACACTCGTGTTGCTTAGCATAGAGCCTAGCACATGGTAGACACTCGAATTGGCATCTCTTTTGTTGTTATAATACCTTTAGCCAAGAAATTTGGACAGTACCTCATTTAGTGGTCCTCAGAGCCACCGATGGCCAAAACCAAACTGGGTGGGGGAGAAAGGGAAGGGAAGGGATGGGATGGACCACGGTTTCCTAGCCTTGCTGGACTTCTGCTCTGGTTCCGGTCTGCTTTCCTGCTCTCCCTAGGGGCGCCCACACAGCCGGCCTGGTGGGGCTGAGCCTCCGTCCCAGACACTCTGACACTGTCTGTTGCTGCCCAAGTACCCAAGCTCACTACCTGCTTTCCGAACCACAGTCTGACTGCCGAGCCAACCGCGGGCTGGGAGCAAGGCCCCTTCAATCCTACTGCGCAGTTACTGGTCTCCCTCCTTGGCTACACATCACCCTGCCTCGAGGAACCATGTGATTTCAGCCCAGGTTCCCATCCTTGGCTTTCGTGGAAAATGCTCAGTTTTATTTCCTAACTCTTTTGGGTATTCCTGCTCTTCTCCCCCATAAGTGTCAAAACCAGCTAGGCAGGAGAGTGAAAAGAGACTCAGCATACTCCCAGTCCACCACCCTGCCCAGGCACTGGAAGCCCACCCCTCCGGGCCCGCTGTGGATACTGAAGGGGGTGTTTGTACTTCCTGCTGTTAATGTCTAGGCGTCCTAGCAGCCCTGCGGGCCCCTTGCTGTGTGGGAAGGACCCTAATCTCTCTCCCGTTTACCTGTGGTGATTTTTATACTGGAATCTTTGCTCATGTTCCCCAGTTGGACAACGATGTGGTATTTCCCTCCAGGTTCCAACTTGGTAAGGGTATACTCCACAGTACTGTTGCGGGATTTTATTTTGTAGCTTCTGTCACTCTTTCTTATTAGATCTTTGACAGCAATTGCATATAACTGGGACAAGAAAAAGAGACCTTAATGGTAATCAGAAACTTGGTGCTTTTTCACTCTTTGCAATTCAGTGGCGAACGATGTAACCTAAGTGTATCAGGGGCTGTGACCCACAGCAACCACCTTCTGAGCCCTGCAGCCTGACTCTGTTCTCTGGAAAGCCTTTGGGGTGGCCAGGTCCAGACTTGGAACAAGCACTCACTCCCAGAACTGTGCACAGAATTATCGATTTGACCCAAAAAAATGAGCCTAGGGAAAGTCACATTTATTGTGGCGTCCACAGACAGGTTGGAACAGGCAAGAGCAATTCAAATTCAGTGTTCAGTGTGTCTCCCCAGCTGTAATAGTTCCAGGTAGTGTCAGAGGACACAATGAAAGGACAACAAATTCTACTTACTGTCTCCCGGGTTGCTTTTTACATATGTGGAGGCCAGGGCAAACACAGGGACATGTGGTAAGTACAGGAAACTCAATCACCAGGAAGAATTGGAGAGTCAAGGAGAGCCTGAGCAACCGAGTAAAACCACCCACCCCTGGGATGAGGGAGAGGGCACAGGGGATGGAGGGAAAAGCAGCCTGGGCCAAAGGAAAATGGGAGCAGTTTTCCAGAGTTACTGCCTCTTATTTATTTATTTCTTAATTTAATTTTTTTTTTAGAGGGGGGAGGAGAGCGCAGAGGGAGAAGCTCAAGCAGGCTCCACGCCCAGCACAGAGCTCGATCTCATGACCCTGAGATCACGACCTGAGCCGAAATCAAGAGGTGGACGCTTAACCGACTGAGCCACCCAGGCGCCCCTCGCCTCTTTTTTTAGAGCAAGAGCCAGTAAATATTTTTGTAAAGGTTCAGATAGAAAATACTTTTAGGTTTTGGAGGCCAAATGGTCTCTCCCACAGCTATTCAATTCTGCCATTTGTAGTGTGAAAGCCGTCAGAGATAAGATGTAAATGACTGGGTAAAGCTTGGTTCTAATCAACTGTATTTATAGAAACAGGCAATGAGCTGCACTTGGTGGGCAGGCCTTTGTCTACCATCCCACTTTACAGGCTCAGGGAAGGGAAGGTAAGAAGGCAGAAAAGAATGAATAGAACAGCGGGAAATAATGGGGGAAGGGAAAACTCCGAAGAGGCACTTATAAGGACCCCATCTTTGGGCACACAGATATGGAGACGAGACCTCCCAGAGCTCCCACCGCCAGGCCTAGCTTTCCTGTGACAGCACCCCCTGCCCTGTCCCCAACCATGCCAAGAATAGTAATGGCTGGCTGGATACCCGGCCCTCTCACCAGGTCCTGGTCAGGAGAATCATACGGGGATTCCCACTTGATGACAGCTGAGGTTTTGCCAGTATGAACCGAATGCAGGTGACGAGGTGGGAGCCTGCTGTCTGGGATCATCCTCACCACGACGTAGTCGGAGGATGGCCCTTGGTAGGGCACCACCACCCGGACCTGAAACCAACACCACGGGGACGCATGGAGTTGGCACGAAGCCATTTTTTCCCAACAAAATAGTGACAGGTGTACACAATTAAAATTCAATCAGTACAAAAAAAGATACAAAATGTGAAATAATTCCCCACCTACCCCAGCTCTCTAATCCATTTTCCCAGGAACAGTAACGGTTTTCTACGCTTCTTTCCAGAAATGTCCTGTGCTTATGTAAGCACAAATACACGTGTGTGCGCATACAGATACATACTTATACGTATATGTGTGCGTACACGTAGCCTGTTTTTCTTAATATTTTTATACAAATGAGAAAACATTACACATTTTTAGGCTCTTCACTTCTTTCACTTAGTAAGATAGCATAGATTTTTTCCACCTCAGTACTATTTCTTTTGAAGACTTTTCCACCTCAGTTCTATTTCTTTTGAAGGGTTGCCCTGTATTCTTAATCGGTCTTCTCTTGACAGCCACTGGTCAAATCTTCTGCTATCACAAGCAACAGTATACCACACACCTTTTTCCATCTATCTTGGCACACGTATAAACATGTGGGCTAAGTTCCTAGTCTTGGAAGTGGAATCCGACAAAAACCACTTATCCATTCCTGCGAATGTTTATCCATTTGCCAAGTTCCCAATCCCCTACAAAGCTACAGTTGGTCACTGGGGCATTCAGTCTGTTCTTCAAGCAGGAATCCGATGCTTTTACAGAAGAGGAAGCACCCTCTTGTACACACATGGATCCTAGAGTCATGCCTCCAGCTCCCCAGGGCCAGGATCTGAGCTAAGGGCCCAGGATTTAAGCCATCCTTAAAAAACAGAAACTCCTCTGGACTCCCCAGTGTGGGAAACTTACCAGAAACAAATACTGCTCATCCCTACTGACAATGACTGTTTTGTTGTGGAGGGAAGTAGTCAAGCTCTTCGGATTGCGATACAGGTCAAGGAAGGATGTAGCATAGAAAATACCATAAACCTGGCAAAGAGAGAGGATGGAAAAGGACATCAGCTCCGTGGCCAGTGGCCTCGTTCTCTTGAAATCCCTAACTGACGCCCCTGTGAACAGCTTCAGGAGAGCTCAAAAGAGAGAAGTCTTCCTTCAGCATTTTACAGAGAAGGTACAGTGGGGCAGGCACTGAACCCACCACCACCAAGATAAACATGGTGTGCGCTCTGTCCTCAAAGCACTCTTTTTTCAAAAAAAGATTGTATTTATTTCGGAAAGAGAGCGAGCGTGCGTGGGTGCATGGGGGAGGGGCAGAGGGAGAGGGAGAAGCAGACTCCCTGCTGAGCAGGGAGCCAATGCAGGCCTCTATCCCAGGACCCTGAGATCATGACCTGAGCTGAAAGCAGACACTTAACCTACTGAGCCATCCAGGTGCCCCTCGAAGCGCTCATTTTTGAGGAAGGAGGCACAGAGAAGAAAAACAGACGCGATTATAAAGGACAAGTTGCAAATACAGAGCATGAGATACTGTAGGAAAAGACTGCACGATGAGCCAGGGAGAAGAGCGGGGTTCTCAGAGAGCAGATGGCACGCTGAGAAACACGGCTGGTAGTACAGATGGGGAGGAAGCCAGCGCGTCTGCGGAGGGAGGTTGAGGAGGGAGGGCAGCAGGGCAGGCATGGGGAGCTGCCCGGAAGACACCCACTCTTCCTCCTCTCCTTACTAGAATCCTGCTTCCTACTAAGAATTGCCTCCTGGAAGAAAATCTCTACTTCCCACCTCCCTGGAAGCTAGGAGAGGCCACGTGACAAAGTTCTGGCCAATGAGCTGCAAGCTAGGAGAGGCCACGTGACAAAGTTCTGGCCAATGAGCTGCAAGCTAGGAGAGACCACGTGACAAAGCTCTGGCCAATGAGCTGCAAGCTAGGAGAGACCACGTGACAGAGTTCTGGCCAATGAGCTGTAAGAAGAGGTGTCACGTGGGAGCTCGGTGGGTGCTGGGGGAAATGGAGGGAGAAGCCCTTCCTCCCGCCCTCCTGCTGCCTGGAACACAGATGATGGTGTGGCTTCCGACCTCTTGGACCATGAGCTGACCCTGAAGTTGGAGGCCACAGGCAGCCTGGGTTCCCAATCAAACCTGGTGCTGTAGAAACCCAGGCCTGCTGAAGGACTCCGCCTTCTTTTAATGAAGAGGGAAATGAAACTGTTAAAGCCGCTGTCACTTTCAGCTCCTGTTCTATGCAGCCATCCTTAACCCCCACTGATAGATGTGGAAAACCGGGAGTTTAAAGCAGGGTGGGGGTTTTTGATGGGCTTGGAGCGGGGGCTCACAGCTGCGGGGTTTATAAACGGGGGGATAAGGACTAAAGAAGCTTTCTTTGTCAGGCAGCATGGAAGAGCCCACAGGCAGGTAAAGACGGGGACTTGAAGGAAAGCTGTGAAGAAAGTCTGGAGAAGTCGTGGGAACGGAGGGCACGGATCAGGGACGTGCACGGGGACTTCCGAGTCCCAGACCTAAGCTGCTCAGCAGCCAGGGCCGGAGAGGGAAGCATACAGGGAAGGGGAACGGAAGTCCCGAGGGGGTGATGAGAAGGGAGCAAGTGTGGAAAGAAAGAATTAGGGGACTCCAGGGAGTGAGAAAGCAAAGCAAATGGAGCAGGACTAGGGGACCGAGGGCACGGAAAGCACAAGATGGGAGTGGGGGCTCCAGGCTCAGAAGCAGGCCTGGCTTCCAGAGGACAGGGCTGCAGCTGCTGGGGAGTGGGCCGGAGGGCTCTGGCCAGGGGTCAGGAGAGGGCTCCATGCGCCAAGGAGGCCAGGGTGCAGGCAGGTCCCCAGAGATGGACAGTGGCTGCGGCCGTTCTCATGGTGGGGAGGGAGGACTGGGGGTGAGCAACCCGAGTCCACAGTGGACTGAAGTTGGGGAGAAGCTGAGAGCTTCCTAGAGGTGACGTTACCAGAGGGGAGGTGAAAATGTGCCAAGAACCTTGGGAAGACTCTCTCTACATTGGGGAAATGTGGGAAATAAAAGGCAGATTCAAAAAAGCACGTATCTGATCATAGTGCACCAAAATGCATACATGAGGACCAAAAAAAAGGACCCATATAGTGTGTCATGGGGGGGGGCACATCTGGGAGGAGCAGCCCAAGAAGGCAACCTGTGGGTGGGGGATCACATCGGTGGGGAGAGACGGAGTGGCTTGTCACTGCTGCTAATGGGTCACCATGCCTGTGAGACCAGGTGAATCCCAAGCATAGGAACATGCCCCCCTCATCACATTTATCGTGTGTCCCACAGCAAAGACCACGGGCGTTTTCTCTCAGATGCCAGGCCAAGGTGTGGACAGGGACGGCAGGTGCCTCTAGAAGGTAATACAGAACTGACTAAGAGGATAGTTTGTGTTTGCAGTAACAGAGGAGAAAGCCCCATGGCCTAGAATCAGGGGAGAGTCCAGATTGTCTCTGCAAGGGTCATCCTGGCTGACTTACCACATTCCTGGGGCCAGTCCAGGTACATTCCACTGCAGTTTGATTGATGGCCTTGGCTTTGAGGCTAGGAGCAGGTGGGCGGACTCCTTTGGTTGTGACATGCTCAAATGCCAGAGGACTATCCCCTAAATCAGTCTTGGCCCAGGCAGAAATCTCATAGGACGTATGAGCAGTCAGATTGGCAACTGTGAAAACAGGGACAAGAAGATGCCAGGAGGGAGCTGGAGGCGTCAGTCAAGAATCTGTGTCTTGACAAACCAGGAAACAGACTCTTAACTACAGAGAACAAACTGACTTACCAGAGGGGAGGTGGGCTGGGGAGGGGTGAAATGGACGAAGGGGATTAAGAGCACACTTACTTTGATAAGCACTGACTAATGCATAGAATCGTTGAATCACTAGAGGGTACATCTGAAACTAATACAAACACTGTTAACTATACTGGAATTAAAAGTAAAAATTTAATTAAAAAGGGAATTATGTTTTGATATACAATGCCCTACTTTTTAAGCCTTTTAAAAAAAAAAAAATCCCTACACCCAATGTGGGGCTTGAATTCATGACCTGAGATCAAGAGTTGCTTGCTCTTCCGACTGAGCCAGCCAGGTGCACTGACACTCTATTTTTTAATGCAATCTCTCAATTTAAGTGAGTCCCACATGTTGTAGGATTTTCATTATTTTACAAATTCATCCCAGCATTACTTACTGATGACAACTGCAAATAACACACGTACATGGGCATTGGGTTGCTTCTTAAAAAGCTGACCATCTGGTGATAGAAATTGGGACAACACTCCTAGAGAGCCATTTGGCCTTGGGTAAACATCTTGAAATTCTTCATGCCCTTCAATCCATATCCCATGGAATCAAAGCATGCAAACATCTGTGGGACATGATGTTACACGTCACATACATAATCCCACTGTCCAGAGACAGGGCAATGGTTAAATAATGTGCATTCCATGAACTATTGTGCAGCCACTAAGAGTTGTCTCCAAGAATATTTAATGAGACTAGAAAATTCTTACAATTTTATGTTAAGTGAAAAAGGCAGGATACAAAACTACAGTTTAGCCTTGAACAACACAGGTTTAAACTTATGTGGTTTACTTATACTCAAGTTTTTTTTTTTTTTTTTAACAGTCCAGTGCTGTAAATGTATTTTCTCTTCCTTATGATTTTCTTAAGAATATTTTCTTCTTGGGGCGCCTGGGTGGCTCAGTTGGTTAAGCGACTGCCTTCGGCTCAGGTCATGATCCTGGAGTCCTGGGATCGAGTCCCGCATCGGGCTCCCTGCTCAGCAGGGGGTCTGCTTCTCCCTCTGCCCTCTTCCCTCTCGTGCTCTCTGTCTCTCATTCTCTCTCAAATAAATAAATAAAATCTTAAAAAAAAAAAAAAAAAGAATATTTTCTTCTTGGGGCGCCTGGGTGGCGCAGTCGGTTAAGCCTCTGACTCTTGGGTTTCAGCTCAGGTCATGATCTCAGGGTCGTGGGATCAAGCCCCACATCAGACTCTGCACTCAGCAGAGTTTGCTTAAGAATATCTCTCCCTCTCCCTCTGCCCCTTACCCTCCTCCCCTCAAAGATAAATAGATAAATAGAAAGACAGATAGATGAATATTTTCTTTTCTCTAGCTGACTTTATTGTAAGAACACAGTACAGAATACATACAGCATACAAAATATGTGTTAATGGACTGTTTATGTCATCAGTAAGACTTCTGGTCAACAGTAGTAGCCTGTGAGTAAAGTTTTTTGGGAGTCAAAAGTTATATGCAGATTTTCTACTGGATCAGTGCCCTCTAACCCCCAATTGTTCAGGGTCAACTGTATTTAAACTGAGTCCACCTCCTTGTTTATAAGACTAAAAAAAAACAACAGCACTTAAGAGCAGTTGCTACTGCAGGAATTAAAAAAGAAAAAGCTTGTAAAGTGTTTGGCACGATGCCTCGCATCAAGCTAGTCCTTAATATATTTCCGGCAACAGCTAAGAAGACTATATCGCTCCTGATTTGGCCAATTTCTGTTGGTGTGAACTTGAGACAATGAGATCACAGTCTCAGAAATTAGAAAGACATGGATTCCAATCCTGACACTGTCGCCTTCTGTGGGAATTACTTTATCTCTCAACGTTGGGTTCTCATCAGTGAAATGAGCATATCCCATAGAATTATGATGGGGGTTCTATAAAATGGTACACACGGAACACCTAGGTAAATGCCTATGCACAGCAGGTGCATAGATACAAGAAGGACTGGGACACTACCTTCCCTCCTCCCTTAGCTCAGCTTGTTTGTCCATTCGCTCAATAAATGTGCACTGAAGAGCAACTCTGCCCCATGTCCTGTGTACCTGGTATTAGCAAAGGAGGAGCAAACCACGCCAGAAAGGAGGGGCAGGCATCTCACTCTCGGAACTTTTTTTTGGACCCCAAAAATAATTGGTATAGGGTTAATCTGGCTTCTTTCTAGTTTCTCCTCTTTTAAGCCCCCGACTTCCATTAAGGGCCAACGAGCTAGAGAAGGAGGCTGAGGAGCCACCAAGTGGACCCGCCCCTGGAGGCAGGAGTCATTCACAGTCTCTTTAATCTGCTCACCCAGAATGGCAGCCAGAGAAAAGCCCCTCTTCCAGGCAGCCCCCACACAAGCTCTGACACCAGGAGGTCTTGATCTCCCTACTCCTCCCTGCTCACACACCGACTCGCTCCAAGGTGTTACCTTTGTGTGACAAGATGCTCCCCCGGAAGTTCAAAGTTCTCTTCTCTTGCTTGTGGGTGTCAAATGCCCAGAAAAGGTTCACCACATAGCCATTCACCTGCCAGGAACCAAGAAACATGTTAGGGGAACAGCACACAGCCAGGGAGCATAGCAAATGCAGAAGGCACCCCTTTGCTCTTGTTCCTTTAGGCATCTCCTTTCTTAAAATGGACGGGTTGTTTCTTTTGATCTTTAGACAGGTTCCCTGTGTGCTATCATTGAATATTTAGCTATATGGCACCTACTTCTAAAAACAAAACATGAGACTGTAATATATACTATAGATGTGATGAAACAAACAAAAAAACTGGTGCAGAATAAAAGGACAAGGGCCTATTCATAAAGGCAGAAAGAGGAACAACTTTAAAGAGAATTACATTATGGTAATGAAGGATACATCTTAGCTCAGGTGATCCTTGCAGTCAAGGCCAAGAGGTCAATACGAAAGGGGCTTGCTTAGCTCCCACGGTCTTAACAGGAGCAAATAGACCCAGGCCTCAGGAAACATTACCTTTTCTAAGTCCTGAGCTCGTAAAAGGATTTGATCTGAAGATCTTTAAATATGGGGCGACAACAAAAAACTCAAAATGCTTTCAAGAGCAAAGACTATATAGACAGGGTTCATGGAAAGGCCATCCCTTGCAGCAACGGTCTCTGAAGCCAAGGTCAGGCCACCAAATTGTGGTTCAGTAAGTGGCACGAGGGATCCGAAGGCTGTTTGTCCCACCACAGCTTCACAGACAGGGAGGATGTGAGGAAAAACTGATAAGAAAGAAAGGACATTATGGAAGGTGAATCTCAACTTGGAAAACCACAGGCACACAGAGGCTTATGGTGGAACGGGCCCTGCAGATGGGCCGCACGGAAGGGGTGGTGGAGCCAGAAGGGGAGGATGCATAGTGGCTGTAAGTAGATATGTTTCTAAGGTATCTGACTCTCTCTCTCTCACTGTGGGAACCTCTGCCTTAGTGCTTCGCACCAGGAAATCCAATAAAGCTGAAAATTACAGGGCATACATATTCTGTTAACACCAACTCTTTATTTGCACTGTAGCTGTGAACCATTTAATTATATGGCTTAAAAAAAAAAAAAAAAGGCACCAGGCTGAGGCAGGATAATTACATGAGAAGGACTCAAGTTGTTCTTCATGGGGGAAGGAATCAACCTAGTCCTGGTATTTTGGTTTTACTGGACCGAGTCATTCACTCTTCTTCCTCGTACTGTCCCAGGCCACAGCGGTTCCATCACAAGAAGAGCCCCACCCAACTGCCAGTTTGAAATCCCAATGTTACCTTGATGTCACTCTCCATGGTCAGGGTGAAGCTCAGAGAATTCTCACTGTAGCTGTCGATGTGGATATCTGGTGGTGGGATCACTAAAAACAAAAAAAAGGAATTCAAAAAGAGAAACCACGTGATGAAAAGTGAGGAAGGCAGGACTTCACAGCTTTCAACTCAACAAAGCGATTTTTTAGTGCAGGAGGAAAGGGCAGGTCTTTGGCTGTTCTCACTTGTCTCTTTTACTGCCATTGTCCTAAAGCTGAGGGTGGATCACACAACTATCTTGGCTCCATCAGCTATCCTGGCAACTGGGTCGAGCAGAAAAGTTCCATGATGTAAATGCCCCCAAACAGCCCAGCGCAGCCTGCTTCTGAAAAGTGCATGCATTCCAGTGGGCACCACCTCTCCTGGCACTAACCAAGTCCCAGAGGCCTCACGTCCTCCTCGAAGGTTGATAAATCGGAGGGCATACATTGTAAATACCCATGTGGCAAAATGGAAAGAACGTGGCCTCTGGAATCTGGCAAACTTGAGTTCAAATTCCCATTTGGACACTTAGACAACGGTTCAAGTTACTTATCTTCGTACTAATGTTAACTCAACCAACGTTCCCTTTCTTTCCGTTTCCAATTAAGTCTTACCTATGACAGACTAAGGAGCTGGTAAGTCATTGGCATGGGCACGATGAAAGGGGCAGAGAGAAAAGACCCCTCTCCATTCAAGTGATGAGAGCATGGTGCTTACCATTCAGAAGGTCTGCCCGTAAGATGGCGGACCATGCTCTGCCAGCCATAATCCAAAGGGCTCAGTAGGATAACTGCTATTGGAAGACAGTATTTAAATGACAACTTGTATACTGGGCTGTTTAGCACGTCGCCTTCTTATATAGGCAAGGCAAGAGACACTTGAAGAAGTGGGTAAGATTTGGTGGCCAAAGAGATAAACCAAAATCTAGAGGAGTCCCTCCAGATGATCAACCAGGTAATAAGAGTGGGTGTGAGGAAGTAAAAAGGATATTAGGAGTTTCAGGTCACCAGCTCTGAGCAAAATAGTACAGATGCTGCCGTAAAGCCAACCTGAGGTATAACCGTGGTGACTGAGGATATAGGTCACAATCCTTCCCAAAGCCAATCTCCTTAGCTACAAAATGAGCACAAGAATACTTATAGGACTGGTAAGGATTAAGGGAGATCGATTCACATAAAACAGTAAGCACGGTGCTTAGTACATAAGTGCTCAATACATGGTTACTTCTCTCATTATTAATCCCCCGCATCCGCTCATGAACATGGTGCTCTGGCGGACACCATTGCTGCGTGTGTCCTCTGCATGACATCATGGTGACACAGCCTCACAGACAGACCACAACTCGTATTTTCTGACTCCACACACCGTGGCCTCCTGTATGGGTCCTAACCAACACCCGTATGAAGAGCTGAGGCTCACCAACAAAATCAGACGAAAGAACTGTAAGAGACTTTCCAAGGCAGGTGTGATTTGTGCTCAGGGAATTCAAGGTACGTGTACGTGTCTTATTGCTGACCTTCCAGTGTCCCTTCTTTTCAGTACGTATGTTTTGATCGATTTTGTAGAGGGAAATGACAAACCCATCAAAACTCTAGGTGAGTGTGCACTCGGTACGCTTTTTCTAATTACCGCCAAGCACCCTGTTACAAAGATCGGCTGGCCTCCTGCCCTGATCTCAATGAGCCCAAATTTTATAGTGACTCTCCATAACCTACAGCCCATCTCTCGCAGGCTCAGGTTAAGGTAAAACCCTCCAACCACACTCCATGAGAACACTCCTGTCCAGAAACGAAAGCCACAGGTGCCAAGGCTAAGTTCTGGAAACCACTGGGGAACAGGAGCCATAGCTGGTCTCCCCAAGTGTGCCAGAAGCCTTCCTTTTAATTGCTTTAATTCACTCCTTCGTCACCGGCTTCCTCCTCGACACCAGTGAGAGAGCGGAGGAAACCAGACAGGACCCCGGCCCTCGCGAGGCACACATGCCAGCAGGACAGTGCATGGGAGCAGGGATCTCAGCCCAGGGCAGGCAGGGCAGCCTGGCGGTTAGAGGTACAGGCTTTGGAGTCGGGAGGATCAGGCTCCTATCCCAGCTCTCTGCCATTTACTGACTGTGCAGGAAGTGACTTAACTGCTTTCTAATTCCTCATCTGTTCTTACAGATTTTGTTTGGAGGGTGCTAAGGGTTCGATGAGATGGGCCGATGTATGCAAAGCACTAGAAACTACCACCTCGGCATCGTTTGTCAGTGCCCCTGGGGAAGTTACAAGTGTCAGCATGGCACTCTTACAAATGCCATCCATGGACACATACAAAATCATCCGTATCTTCTGTGAGAAGGAACGAGTCCTTTTATTTTGGATATCGCACGTGAGCACAAGAGCTGGGCATGACGGCCTCTGGAAATCCCTTTGTATGTCTGCACCGTAAGAACTGCGTGGCTCTGGGGGGAGAAGTGCCTTCGACAGCCCCCAGAGAAACTCCGTATCTAAAGCACTACGGAAACCCCTGGAGATGCGTGCATGTTGGCAGGGGGAAAGAAGTCGTGTGAAGTTTTCTCATCTATGCTTCTCCGTCTCCCAGTCGTGCTGAAAGTCATTTCCAAAGGGTTTCTATCTTCTCTCAATCTGCAAATGCTGGGATCATTTACCTTTTCCTTTGACGGTGGTAATGGATTTAGAATCGCTCCAGTTTCCTACTCCACGGCTTGTCACTGCAGCCACCTTGTCAAATCAGAGCGTGAATTAGTATAAAATAAAGGCAATGTGCCATACAGTGAGGGTTCCGAAGGAGCTACGGGGCCGAGACTCTGGCAGTGAGGGTGGCAAACAGTCTATGCAGGGGGATCCCAGACACGCAGAGGCCCCAGCAACTGCAACAACGGGGGGGAGGAGAAAACAGGTGGGATCTGGGCAAAGGGAGCTGTGACAGTGCAGGCATGATGGATTTCTGTTGATTGACAGGTCTCAGGTTCTTCTATAGGGTGGGGGACGGGGGGGTATGTGCACCTGTGGGTCCATACAGACATAAACATACGTGTATATGAAAAAGGGGACTGAGAAAATCATCAGCGTCAGGGAGTCTGGGTGCACAGTTAATGGTCCCAACAAACATGTTCTGCACAAAATCGGTCTCTATTCTACTAAAGGTATTGATAGCATGTTGCCTAAGATCCCTACGATAGCGGCTTCTAAATGCCACTTACCATAGCTCTGCAACACCCTGCAGCTAAGGAGAAGCAGAAAAGTGGCAAGTGCAAGAGTAAAGGAGCTGGAACGCTAGCAGAAAATCTGGGTTAAAAGCAGGTAAAGCTGCATTACCATAAATTCTTGGTTATCTGAGGGAAATCTGATTTCAAGTTCTCTGTGGCACTGGTTTAAGAGACTGCAGTGATGATGACCTCCCAGAGCAAGGGGTTAGGCTTTTAGCAGACTACTAGTAAGTCTCTCATAAAGGTAAGCACGGAGTTCTTGTGTTCTGAGACTGCCCGGATGGCTGAAATGGGGGCTGATACTCACTCTGACAGTATATGGAGCGTTGACCAGTAAATTCTTTATTTCAGTAAAGTTACTAGCAGCCCTCTGGGAGGCCCACATCTTGGAACCACTCCTGCTGTATTCCACCTAAAGCGAAAAGAAGAAATTATTAGTAAGGTAACCAATGGTCTGGGACATCCTGATACCTTAGAAGGAGGCAGGGAGAGAGAGGGAGGTGAGATGCCAAGTGTTCTAATGGGTGGAACACGATTTACCCAGCTACATCAAATCAAGACCTAGCCATTCAGAACACGTTTCTGCTCTGGCAGACCCAGAAATCTATTCACAGAGACACACAAGGCGCGTCGCTCCTAGAAGTTACTTACAATGTACTCTCGGATGAGGCCATGGGTGTGGGTGGGAGGAAACCAGTGGGCCACAATCACACCTTCCTCTTCCCTGTGGAGTGACAGCTGGAGATTTTGAGGGGCGTCTGGCACTAGAAAAGAGTCAGCTCAGGGTTAAAACCCATCTGCATACTGGTAAAGGAGAGGAACTTTCCTGAGATTGAAACAAAGACTAGAAAGAATCCAGAGCCAGCATTGGGACCTATCCACCAAGAAAGGCTGTAAGCTTGTATGCCCGCAACCTGCCCGCACCCTGCCCGCAGCCTGCCCACACCCTGCCCGCACCCTGCCCGCACCCTGCCCGCACCCTGCCCGCACCCTGCTTCAGGGTCACATGGGGTGTGCTGTGTACTTCCTCCGGAAACTATTTCAATTCTCCCTTGCAGGCCTTGGATGACCGTCTGACACCCCCGGGCTCTACTAAACAAGTGTTAACAAAATCACAACACACAGGTGTCAGTGAGTTTTGCTGTGCTTCACACCTCCGTGCTTTCTCCAGGCCCCCCCTGTAGCTATCCTGCCCTTGTGCTGGAAGCAACCAAGGAGTTTCAAGGAGCTTCAGGAGCCCTGGTTCCTTTTTATGAAGAATGGCACAGAAGCCTCGATCTTAGTGACACGTGTGCTCACTGCTATGGAAGTGTCATCTGTCTGGGCCTTCCCAGCTGACAGAGCAATTTATGTGATTTATGTGATTTATGTGATTATGGTATTTATGTGATACCAGCCTGCCTGTGGACACGTATCTGTAACTATTTTATACGTGAGCATCTGAACGTACATCAAGATCAACAGGAGTTCAGGGGCGCCTGGGTGGCTCAGTTGGTTAAGCGACTGCCTTCGGCTCAGGTCATGATCCTGGAGTCCCGGGATCGAGCCCCGCATCGGGCTCCCTGCTCGGCAGGGAGTCTGCTTCTCCCCCTGACCCTCCTCCCTCTCATGTGCTCTCTCTCATTCTCTCTCTCTCAAATAAATAAATAAAATCTTAAAAAAAAAAAAAAAAAGATCAACAGGAGTTCATACAGAGGTCTCCAACCGTAACCCAAATGTAAGCACGGGCCCTCGCAAACGCAAAGTTCACAAGACCCTGGGGACGAAGATCACTGGAATAAGCATGGGGTCACCTGACGTCAGCTACCGTGAGAGGCGAGGAAGCAGGGAATTCTCTAGGACATGTGAGTTCCGGTAAATCTCTTGAAAACGGAGCCTTGGTACTCCTGACATGCCTCATATTTTAACAGTGATGATCTCACAAATACTGAGTACTAGGAGATTGAAGGCAGAGACAGGAGCTAGAGAAGCTATGCAAAAGGCGGCCATGTTGGGCACGATCTGAAGTTAACTTCCGGAGGTAGCAAAACACCACGTGACCTAATAAGGAGACTCCGTGCTCAACAGCTCAGGCTGTATATATATATTCTGTATATGTGCGGCCCACGTCATTAGGTTCCCACACTCCTGAGTGTCCTTGGGAAACTCTCTGCAAATCCCACAGTAGGTCTTGGACACACCATAAACGGAAACCAGAATACTTACGTCCTTCTGGTGTCCGCAGAGTCACGAAGTCGTTGGTGTTATGCACTTTGCTGAGACACTGGACCTGCACTTTGACCTGATACGTGGTGTCTGGCTTCAAGACTTTTAAGATGGTGTTGGTTTTATTGCTGTGTGTCTCCACGGTCTTCCAGATGCCCTCTCCGACCACCCTGGCCAGAAGAAGAAGGATATGGTCACATCAGAGCAGTGTGGGGTCGCAGAGGACGCTGGGCTCGGCTAACGAAGAGCCGCTCTGCTCTTGACCACCACAAGAGTTTGCAGAACGTCCAGTGCTGGTGAGAACACTGTTTTCTTCTCTCACGGCAAAGACGGGACCCACCTGTAGTAGACGTTATAGACACAACCAGCAGAGGGCATTTTCTTGGGCCGCGTCCAGGTCAACGTTACGTCCCCAGAGAAGTCGGCCGTCCACTGAAGATTCTGTACTTTGTATACAGTTAGTTCATCTAGAGAGATGAAGGGGGAAAGGGAAAGAAAGTGGTATCTCACAAATCCTTGTGTTTCAAAGGACCCAAGAGGTCCCTTGATGTTTAAGCAGACCTACCAGGATCTAGATTGTCAAGCCACGGCCAGCCTCTTAAGACATCACAGAAAAAAAAGAGTTCAAGCCTTCCTATACGACCTTGCCCAGGGTCTCCTAAATTTCCAGTCACGGTATTTTCCTTGCATTTCGCCTCCTTGTCTACACGGAGGTAAGCCTGTTTCTCAAGAGAGAATTCTACAGGTCCAGGGACAATGTCCTAGCAGGATCCATTACTGCGACAGACCGAATGCGTGTGTCCCTCCAAATTCATATGCTGAAACCCAATCCCCAACGTGATGGGATCAGGAAGCGGGGCTGTTGGGAGGTGATCAGGTCCTAAGGATGGAGTCCTCAGGAGATGAGATGAGCGACCCCAGAGAGCTCCCTCACCCCTTCCATCATGTGAGGACACAGGGAAGACGGCTGTCTATGAACCGGGAAGCGGGCCCTCACCAGACGTGGCATCTGCTGGTGCTCTGATCCGGGCTTCCAGCCTCCAGAGCTGAGAGAAGTAAGTTTCTGTTGTTTAGAAGCCCTTCAGGCTATGATGTTCTGTTAATGGCAGCCCAAAAAGACTAGGACAATTACTAAAGGCGCTCCAGACAGAAGGACTGCGTCCACCCCGCCATGAAGCCTGAGGCTCTGGGAGCATGGTGCACCCGCACGAGGCGGGACAAGCCTCCCTCCACCGGGCTCTCCAAAACCGGGCAAAACCGGTTTCCCCTTCAGGCTGAGGAAAGGCTCACAAGGCTCCCAGCAGAGTGCCCGCGGCGGGGGGAGGCTGAGCCCAGGGCCCGAGGGCTGGCACTCACCGCTGCAGGCCCTCTCGTCGCTCTCGTCCGAGCAGTCCAGGAAGCCATCACAGCGCTCCGAGAGCACGATGCACGCCTCACCGTCCTCACACTTGAACTCCCTGCTCATACAGGTCAAGGTGCTGTGTGTGGCTACAACACAGGGGGAGGGCACGTTGTGCTAACAGCAGATCGTGTTTAGGAAAAGTGGTCTGCGCTAATTAGCTTCTGATTCAAAACACGCCTCTGGAACAAGGACTAGTAACCCCCACGGTGGCACTGGGATGCCTCCTTATCTGACATGAACAACAGGAATCTGCCTCCCGCAAGAGGAAGAGCTTTGGGGTCAAACGATCTAGAGTGAGTGCAATAATTTACAGGCTCCACAGTGAGTCACTGGAATTGGCCAGGGTTCAAAACTTCTGTTCTAGAATGAGAACAAGGAATCTTGTTTTCTCTCTGAGACACTGCATCTGCTTCTGAAAAGCACACTTTGAGATGCAGGTAGAAAAACTGGATAATGTTCTCGCGAGAGAACCAGCATGGTCAACAGGAATGGACAATGGATCCAGAATTATGTTCCTAGGGACAAAAAGATACAGGGGGTCGGGGTGGGGTGGAAAGTTTTAACAACTATCCTCAATCGGCGAGTGCTCACATGAATGACGAATTAAGACTGTGCATGTCGCTAGTGTGGATATACAGACTTCAATTAAATATACTTTTAAAAAGAGCTCTCTATTATAGTAATTGTCATTAAAAGAAAGGAAATGTGAGGCTTTTTACAAACTACAATCCCCCATCTCCTGGAAAATCATTGTATTATAGAGCTCTGTGACATGCTGAGCTGAAATTGGTTTGCCTTGGGGAGGTTGGAAGGGGGGGGGGCTTGGTTATAAATAAAACTGCACTAGAGAATTTAGAAAACGTTCGAGACCCACTAGTATAAGAAACCCAAGATGGAATTCATCCTTCCACCTATCCATCCACCTAACCACCCATTCACCCACTTACCCATCCAATTCAACCAGCCACCCAGTATCCACCCACCCACCCATCTAGACACCCATCCATCCATCCATCTACCCCTTCATTTATCCATCTACCCATCCATTCATCCACTCATCCACCCATCCATCTACCCCTCCATTTATCCATCTACCCATCCACCCATCTTCCCAACCATCTACGGAACCAGTGAATATTCATGGAGGGCCTACCATGAATCAGGTACTGTTCAAGATGCCAAGAATATGGTGATGTGTACAACAAAGGACCTACCCTCACAGAGCTTACTTTCTATTGAGAGAAACAGTAAAAAAGTAAGCAAATCACTCTGTGGTTTTAGATAGTGATTAAAAACTACAAAGAAACATGAAAAGAGAAACAGTAACAGAATGATCGACAGGGGTCATGTCATGCAGAATAGTCTAGGAGAAACTCTATGAAGGGCATTGTTTTAGAAAATACCAAGATCCCCCTCCCAGAATTATTCCACGTGGTAAAATATATCCAAACAACAGGTGAGTCGTAAAGCTGGTGGGTGTTTGAGGTTTCTTTATGAAACATGTCTCAACGTTTTTTAAAGTGGGAAAACATAGGTTTTAGAAATAGAGAATACGGGGGGCGCCCAGGTGGGTCAGTTGTTAAGCGTCTGCCTTCGGCTCAAGTCGTAATCCCAGGGTCCTGGGATTGAGTCCCATATCAGGCTCCTTGCTCGGCAGGGGGTCTGCTTCTCCCTCTCCCACTCCCCCTGTTTATGTTCCTGCTCTCGCTATCTCTCTGTCAAATAAAATCTTAAAAAAAAAAAAGAAATAGAGAATATGGTTGTTATTAATCTCTGAAAATCCTTAAGCTGATAATTAAACAGATGATTAATTGGCACTTGGAAGAGAATGTGGCAGCCTTCAGGGGCCAGTTTCTCCAAGAAGAATCTTGTCATGTTAATCTCATTTCCTTTTTTGATAGGGCTCTCAGATTAATGGATTGAGGAAGATTGGAAATAGAGCACATCTTGATTTTAAGACCCTTAACCAGACAACATCCTTATGAATAAGGCTGATTTGGAACAGGTAAAAGAAACTTATTTAAAGAACGCCAATTAATGAATTAATCTCACCCAGGAGGAAGGTCCTATTTCATTTCCTCTGTTAATTATTTTCAATGTTCATCTTACTGTGCAGTTACTTATTTGGCTGAAATGTTCCTATTATGATTTTGGGCAGTATGGGATCAATGTGCCCTGTTATCTTGATGTCCCAAAGATCCATTTGAATTTTACCCTGTCCCTCGTTTCCCTCTGTTATTTCAGAGTATTCCACTATAAGAACTTTGAACGTGGCATGATGAAAAGGTCACAACCTTGCACAAAAAAACAAAAACAAAACAAAACAAAACAAAAAACTAAATAAATATCCCAGTCTGGTACTGACAAGGTGATCTCTGAAGCTGATTCTCCTATCTCTAAAATGGAGATAATCCCAAAATCACAAGGTTATTATGAGAAATGAAGCAGGAGTAATGAGGTCTCCTGCTCTCCAGAAATCCTCCCGAGTAGTGAATTCCTCTGAGACTACTCACGACAGTTGGCCTCGTCCTGGCCGTCCTGGCAATCTTGGTGGCCGTCACAGCGCTTCCAGTTGGGGATACACTTCTTTGGCTGGCGACACTCAAATTCAAATCGGTCACAGTGCCCGTGGTGAGTGGGAATGGAGGCAGCCGTGACATTTGCTGGAAGAAAAAGTTTTGAAAATTCACTTTTTTTTTTTTTTTAAAGATTTTATTTATTTGACAGAGAGAGACACAGCAAGAGAGGGAACACAAGCAGGGAGAGTGGGAGAGGGAGAGGGAGAAGCAGGTCTCCCGCCGAGCAGGGAACCCAATGCGGGGCTCGATCCCAGGACCCTGGGATCATGACCGAAAATTCACTTTTTGAGTACTGAGGGAGCTGGTCAGCAAGAGCAACCAACTCAACCTGGTAGGAAATTCAGGAAATTATGGTGCATTTGGAACGACGACGGGGGCCTGGAGACAAATGTAAGCTCTGGATAGGGAAGACAGATCAACAGGACACAGCCATCTAATCTTGGAAGCTGGAACACAGACAGAGGTAAGTGACTCAGGGGACCAGAGAAGGCTGTAGCCCATCCTAAACTGTCACTGCAGAAAGCAAAGAACCCACAAGATCAACATCACAGAATCTTCAAAAAGCTGAAAAATGGTATCTGTGAACAGAGAAGAGGAATAAAGGCAGTAAGGGAAGAGACCGAAGAATGTCTGAGCAGCAACAAGATTCCCTACGTGCCCTGCCCCTACCAGCCCCATGCAACAGTCACCCTGGACGTCACCCCCCCCGAAGCCTGGAGGATTGTTACGTGGAGGGTAAAAAGGGCTGGTTAGAAGGGCCTAGTGAAGAGCAAGAACGCCATACTGAAGAGAGGGGGTTAAACCCTCAGATTGCTGAACGCGAGGACCCTGGTCCCCATCCTCATAAGCCCTGGCAGGAACACCTTTATTCCCTAGGCAAGAGATTGTAAAAATCTCCTCAAGGGAAATCGACCAGCCTCGGGAACAAATTCTCAAGCAACCCAGATCAACAGTTCCCCACCGAACAGCCCCACCATGAAACTCAAAGCTGACAAGCCTACCTGTGTGCAGAATCTCTTGCATTTTGGTCCCCACCCTTAAACACAAGTAAGCAACCCAGGATTATTTGGGGAAAAACCTTTGACATGAAAGACAGAAGTGAGTACAGACCCCTTCCCTGCAAAAAAAGAACATTTGGAGGAAAGAAAGACTCTGTAAGAATAAAACCTCAAACATAAATATCTTCAATATGCTCAGAACATAAGAATATCTATTTCTGCATGAAAAAAGGACAGGATGCCATGCAAAAGGAAGAGTATGAGAAATTTCAAAGGTAACTGTAATGGAAAACTCAGGAGCAGAGCTGGTAGAGCTGAATCTTCCAGAAAATAGAGGGGGGGAAAAAGGGGGGGGATCAATTAAAAAAATAGTAAGGTGACAGGACCACATCAGTAGATCTAATGTATGAATGACAAGAGTTTCAGGAAGAAAGAGAAAACAGAAAAGATTAACGGAATAATTCAAGAAAAATTCCCCAAACTCAAATACGTAAGTTTTCGGAATGAAAGAGGTTATCAGTGTCCATCCACCACACTGGATGGAAAGGGACCCAGATCAAAAGCACAGCGTTGTGAAATTTCAAAACACTGGAGCCAAAGGGTACACCCTACACGCTTCCAGAGAGTAAAAACACTTGACATGCAAAAGATCACAATCAAAATGGCTTTGGATTTCCCAGGAGCTGCTCAGTGACAGGAGCAATCCCTTCAAAATTCTGAAGAATTACTGACAACCAAGAATTCCAAACCCAGACCAACAACTACCACTCACATACAAAGACAGAAGAAAAACACTTTCAGAGAAGCAAGACCTCAACAATACCTCCCACGTTCTGTTTCCCAGGGAACCTTCTGGAAAATGTGCTCTACCAAAAAAATGGGATTAAACTTAAAAAAAAAAGAGAGAGAGATAAAAGAGAGAGAGAGAGGGAAATGAAGAATGAGGGAGAGAAATCTGGAATATAGAAAACAGGATCTCGGGGTGCCTGGGTGACTCAGTCAGTTAAGCGGCTACCTTCGGCTCAGGTCATGATCCCAGAGTCCTGGGATCAAGCCCCACATCGGGCTCCCTGCTCCGCGGGGAGACTGCTTCTCCCTCTCCCACTCCCCCTGCTTGTGTTCCTGCTCTGTGTCTCTCTGTCAAATAAATAAAATCTTTAAAAAAAAAAGAAAACAGGATCTCCAAAATGAGAGAAGTCAAACAAGTCCTTAGAATGGAGAAGCCACATCCCGGGAGACCCGTGTGGCCCAGGCACGGAGAGTGACAAGCACAAACCCCAAGCAGCAAACTCAGAAGACAAACACGTTGAAGGCTGTCTTCTCTGTGTCCTTGGCCTCTGCACCACCTTGTCACTGGACAAAACTATGGGAGGGTGCACTTCAACAATACAAGGGAGCAAACCAAGAAAAGCAAGACACAAGACCCAGGAAACAGCGACTCTAAACCAAGGGAAAGGCAAAAGGAGTCCCAAGGAGGGCAGTGAAGGCCCGAGGGCAGGGCGGGGGCGGTGGGCGTGCTGCAGGCCTGGACAAGCCTGGGCCCAGAGAGGAGGATCCGGGCTGGTAGAAGGGATACCCCCAAGAGAAACTCTGGGGCTGAGAAATCATTGATACGGTGACCTGGCAGAAAGTGACCCCTAGAGGCAACTGAGGGGGGGAAAGCACTAACAGACGGCACACAATAACCTGAGCTAACAAATGAAACAACAAGAACCAATTACTAATTTGGGGATATTGTGCACATCCCATGGTTTTAACTGGATTTTCAAAGGGGCCTCTCTTACACCTAGAACCCCTCTGCTAAAACATGGTGCACGGGGAAAAGCAGTAAAAAATGAGGCTAGAAAGCCAAGCTAAGGCACATCACAACACTAATGCGTGGACAGTAAGGGGGCCACCAGAAGGTTCCAGACCGGGGAAGGCATGATCATGCATCCATATGCAGCCTCTCGGAAGATAAACTGTAAAGGGGAGAGACACAAGGCCCAGAGACCAGTTAGGAGACTTGCAGTGCAAAAACCAGATCCGAGAGCTGGAGAAGACCCAATTAAATTTGCCCTGATGACATACATACGAAAGAAATCACAGAGGCTGAAGGAAAGATGGAAATAGGAATCCGCTCCCTGCATTAAGCAGAATTTGCTAGAGCCTATTAATACCTGCTCAGAGGTTTCAATAACCAAAAGACAATTTTGAGAGGAGAATTGAATCATTAAACAGATAGGTGGGTCTTGGGGGCCAAGGACAGAGATAACAAAAAATTTTACAATTTGTTTTAATTTGAGAAGCATTTACAGGATGTTATCTGCCTATTCTTGGAATAAGCACAGGGGGGATCCAAAGTAGTATGTGGCATGATCCCAAAACATGAGGTCCATATAATCGCTTGGAAAAGAAAGATGCCCACGCATGAGATGACCAGAAAGCGGTGCATGGCAGATCGTAGTGAAGAATCTAAAGGACAACAGGTAAGTATGAGACTGGAAAAGAGATCCGTGCCGATTACAGGACTCCGTGAACGCTCCGTGGTGGTGGGCTTGCAAGGGAAGGTAACAGTGCACTTGCTCCAAGCAGGAATCTCAAACTTCAGTGAACCCAGCAGAGTCACGTGGGGAGCTCCTGAGCTCCATGCAGAAATCCTAATTCTGTAGTTCTTACAAACGCTCCCAAGTGATTCCATTACAGGTGGTCTCTGTTCCGTACATTGATAAACTCTGGTGACATATCAAGGTCTCTTCTAGCTACAAAAACCATGCTTCGGTCTGCTGCGATGGACAGTGGGTTTCAGAGAGGGGGAAGTGGGAGGGCAAGGTCGAGGAGGACAGAGGTCTCTGGTAAGGCAGAAACTCTGCTGAAGGAGTATCACCAGAGAAGAAGCAGGTCTGTTCAGAGAGGATGAGGAGCTCGGCTTGGCAGACATGCAAAGTAATGGCAGGTAAGGAAGGACCTTGAAAATAGGACTCAAGGGTTAGGATCTATTCTCGGGACAAGAGAAGACCACTGATGTTTTCAAATAGTGAAGCACCGGGACGATTTAGTTTTAAAGCAGGAAAATGACTGCTGATCTCGAAGTTTGCTAGGAAAAGTATTTGCAAAGCATAGAAAACAACTGTCTATTCTCTTACTTTAACCGAGTCTGAAATAGAATCCCGCTCAGGAAAGGACACAGCACCCTTACCTCTGTTCTGCCTACAGTTAAAGGGGGGGCGCCTGGGGGGCTCAGTCGTTAAGTGTCTGCCTTTGGCTCAGGTCATGATTCCAGGGTCCTGGGATCGAGCCCCGCATCGGGCTCCCTGCTCAGCGGGAAGCCTGCTTCTCCCTCTCCCACTCCCCCTGCTTGTGTTCCCTCTCTCGCTGTCTCTCTCCCTCTGTTGAAAAATAAATAAAATCTTAAAAAAAAAAAAGAAAAAGAAAACAACGGTCTATTCTCTTACTTTAACCGACTCTGAAATAGAATCCCGCTCAGGAAAGGACACAGCACCCTTACCTCTGTTCTGCCTACAGTTGAGGGTCTCAGGGTTGACTCCCACCTCCCGCAACGTGGTTACTGCCCATGCCTTCAGATGCCTGTCTGGGTCCGGCCACTAGATGGCAGTGCTTACCCTCCTTTAGCAGGATGGGCGCCAGCTAGCCAGCACCCCGTGAGTTTAACAGGCAGGCAAACACTTCCCCTGTAATTGCCATTGTAATTTCCTGTGGAGAAGGAAGCAAAGGGGGCCCAACCACAGCCCAGGTGGGAAGCCGGGCGGCTGGCCTTTTTGTGCAGGAAGATGAGAAGGCGCTTGGAGGAGAGGAGACCCTCCAGCTCTTGAGTGCTCTGGAGGTGAGAAGCAGCCCCGGCCACGAGCACGGGGTCCCAGAAGGCAGGGGGCACTGAGCCGGGCCACTCTGTGCCCAGGGCGTACCCCCAGAAGGTCCGTTCCACGAAGGCAGGTGCCACAGGAGGCGCAGGGCCAGCACTCACCAGGCGAGGGGCAGGCTTCTTCATCCGAGCCATCTGCACAATCCCGGTACCCATCGCACACCCAGCTGTCCATCACGCACGCCCCGCTGCTGCAGCGATAGTAATTGGGCAGACACGTAGAGGGCCCGGGAGTGGGGGATGGGAGGACACGTGACTCTGAGCAAAACACAAGCAAGCCAGAACGCCCAAAGTGTTACAAGACGCTTCATCCCAGACCAAGATGTGTCCCCAGACTCAGCGTGGATGTCCCCGTTTGAGCTGCCCCAGCCCAGGGAGGCCAACGGGAGGCCCGGTTCTGATCGCAGCTCATCTAACAATCATTTATAATGGGGTACCAGAACAGACCGCAACCTCTTCCCTTTTCTGGAGCAGATTCACCTAACCCCTATTATCTGATCTGTGCTAATATCTGAATGAGTTTGCTTTTGCAGGGGTTCAACAGGGGCTCAGTGCTTTTGCAGGCTGATGGAAGGAAGGTGACTCAGAATGCGAGGGTGGATGGAGAACTCCCACTGAGTCTGCACACTATGCTGGTTACAATTCCACCGCAGCTGCCCTGAGACCCAGTTCAGAGAGGAGAACCCCCAAAAAGAAAGTAACGAGCACGCATCGCACACCAGTGCTCCTCAGATACAACATGGCACCCCCATCACCTACAGATCTTGTTACGATGCAGAGTCTGACTCAGAAGGGAGGCCTGGGCTGGGGGTCGGAGACCCCGCATTTCGCACAAGCTCCAGGCAGATGTGGATGCTGCTGGTCCGCAGGGCCATGCCTGGAGTTGCCAGGCTCCAGAGCGCTCACTGTGGCCTGCACAATATGGCCCTCAAAACAGGAGAAACCAACCACGCTGCTTCTAAAGTGGGAGGGGGTAGAAAAGAACTCAGACAGTTGCGCCCCAAATATCACTGAATGAGCCCAGCAGCGACAAAACCAACTTCAGTTCTGTGCAGAAAGGGGGCCGTGTGCTGGTGTGTCCTGGCGACGGGCTGACCCAGGACCCTCACCTCCGCAGTCCCTCTCATCAGACCAGTCGCCACAGTCGTTCTCCCCGTCACATTTCCACCTGTTGGGGATGCAGTGGCCGTTCTCACACTGGAACTGGAAGTAGCGGGAGCAGTTGGGGGCTTCTGTGGGGTTTTCTGGGGAGATGAACCACACCGTCGGTCAGCGTGAACATACACACCAACCAGACAGACACGGCCTCCTCAAGGCCCAAGGCCCCAGGCAGCCTGCACAATCCTACCAGATACAGGTAAGGCGGCTTCTTGGACCCAAGCCCCATCTTCCTGGATCCCAGCTCATGCTTCTCTGAGCCACGCTTCTGGATCTTACAAATAATAGCCAAATTTTCATTTTGATGCTTTGCCAAAGGAATGATATAATTACTGACTCTGACCCAACAGTGACAACGACTCTATAAAGTTGTGGAATCTGTAACCTTTAGGAGAGGAGAGGGAAGCACTCTCCAAAAGATTTACTGTAAATCCTCTACTGTATTTCTTAGACATCACGCGAACTTCCCGACTGGGGAAAGAAAAGGAACCAGAACAAATATTCCCCAACACCGACTGGGGGCAGGCTGCCACTTCAAGACTCGATTCCTTACAGAGATTCGAGAGCTGGCAGGAACCGGTGCTGAGGAAGGAGAAGGCAGAGCCTGCATGGGAGTGGGCTGAGAACAGCCTCCTTAACCACAGGCGGCACTGTGACCGGAGGTTAGGGACGAGAGGCTGAAGGTCCAAGTTCTTACCGCAGTTGGCTTCATCCGAGTAGTCACCACAGTCATCCATGCCGTCGCATTTCCAGATCAAGCTGACACACACTCCATTCTGGCACTGGAAACTGAACTCATCACAAACCTTGTGGAACTCGGGGTCTTGGGCTAGATAAGGAACAAGCATCCATAAATTCCAGGTTACTGCCATACTGAAGAGCTCAAAGTGGGACACTGCTTGGAAATGAGAGGAAAGAGCAAACAGTCCTCCACCAAGAGATAGGCCGGCTACCGGGCTCCTTGATGGCAAAAGCCAATTGAAGGCCTAACCCCCAGTAGCTCAGAAGGTGACTATATTTGGAAACAGGGTCTTTAAAGAGGTGATTAAGTGACAATGAGGTCATTAGGGTGGACCCTCATCTAACAGGACTGGAAAAAAAAGGAAAGCAAGACAAAGACAGGCACAGAGGGGACACTGAGGGAGAAAGAAGGCAACCATCAGCAAGTCAAGGACGGGGACTGCAGAAGAACCAACTCGACCCGAGATCTTGACCTCAAGCTTGTGGTCTCCAGAACTGGAAGAAAATGCATTTTGCTGTTTTAGCCACCCAGGCTGTGGTCTCTAGTAATGGCGGCCAAGCAGACCAGCACGAGTCGCTACCACAGGCAGGGCCCAGTTTTAGGAGCGGGGCTAGGGCAGTGCACGAGACAAAGGCCCTGCTCTCATGAAGCCCACACTCCAGGTAGCGGAGACAGGCAGTCCAATAAATGCATCGCATGCAAAGCGGTGACTCGTGCTGGGAAGACCCCTGGCACCAGGCAAGGGCTACAGAGGGACGGGTGTGCGGGAAAGGCCGGTCGGAGAAGGGGCTCTCTGGGCCAAGACCCCGGTCCTCCCACACCTTCCGCTGATACGGACACCAACCACCAAAGAGCAGTACTTCTGAAGCAACAAAGGTCCATCTTTCTCAGAAAGGGCCAGACTGGACCCTCAAGCAAGACCCGTGAACCAGAGAGGCCCAGCCCTTTGCAGTGTCTCCAGGGACTCGCCCCTGCAGCCCCGCACCCCCCCCCACACACACACTCACAGCATCCTGCGAACTCCGCGTCCTCATCAGAACCGTCACGGCACTGGATGATTCCGTCGCACACCATGGAGTGGAACAGGCACTGTTGACGGTTCTTGCACACGAAGTCCATGAAGCGTGTGCACAGGGGCTCTGAAAGGGGTCCGGGGTGGGGAGAAGGCCGTGAGCGCCCAGGACTGGGGGGGGGGGCGGGTACAGATGTGCCCTCAGGAGACAGCAGGAAGACCCACTTATTGGGCACTTGCTGTGTGCCGAGCCCTGAGCTAGAGCAACTGACCCTCGAGACAAGGTTATGAGAGATTTTACTGCCTCGTTGTCACAGGAGAACAGAAGGGATGGCAGCATTGAGTATTTTGCCCAGAGTACCCAGCGAATGAAGGGGGAGCCAGCCAAAACTGACATCTAGACTTGGGTGTCTGCCGTCCAAGCTCACGATCTTAATCACGAGGCACAGAATCCTGGCTCTCTACTACTTTTTCTATAAAGGACCAGAGTTACGGACTGAATCGTATCCCTAAAAATTCATATGTTAAGGCCCTAACCCCCAGGGTAACTGTATTTGGAGACAGGGCCTTTAAAGAGGTAATGAAAGTTAAATGAGGTCATCCGGGGGAGGGGGTCCCTGATCCGACAGGGGCAGGGTCCTTCAAAGAGGAGACACCGGGGATGCGGGCACAGACAAACGGCCGCCCAGGACACAGCCAGAAGATGATGGCCTTCGGACTCGAACTGCGACATCAGCCTGCCACCTGGGTCTCCAGCCTGCCGGCCTACCCTGCAGATTTGGACTTGCCAGCCCTCATCACCGCATGAACGGATTTCTGAAAATGAATCTCTCCCCAGAGATACACACAGCCTATGGGTTCTGCTTCTCTAGAGAATGGTAGCTGACGCAACCAGAGAGCGAATTCTCCAGGGTGTGCGAGTCCTACAGTCTCTATCACGACTACTCCACGCTGCCACTCTTGTGTGGAAGCGGCCCCAGACAACACATAAACAGGTCATGACCTTGTTTAAAGAAAACTTCATTCCATAGAACGGCTTACGTCTGGGCTGGCTTTCCCCCACAGTCCATCCTGCTAACCCCTGCATCGCGACATTGGTTCTCAAGCTGGGCTGCCCATCACAATCACCTGCAGCACTTTTTTTTTTAAAATCCCAATGCCCAGGCCATGCTCCAGACGAATTACATCAGAATCGGGGAGGGCGGGGAACCCAAGCACAGTATACTCACAGATGAGCACCACTGACCCAAGACAACCTCTGTGAGTCTAAAGGAAACTGGGATAAAAGAGTCACCTGGCCGAAAATGTTACCCAAGCAACACTAATAAAACCAATGAAGTAGGATAAGTAAGTGTTCAATTCAAAACAGTGGGTTGACTCCTGGAATATACTGCAACCAAACAACAGTGTTCACCGAGCTACGACCCATTCCGCCGTCACCCCGCTGCTAACCCCCTCCCTGCTCCTCTTCACCCAAACCACGGTGCCCTGCCACCATCAGCCTCTCAGAGTCCTGCACCAACTCGGGTTAAAAGCTAACCACCAGCACGTACTGAGGAAATGCAACAATTCAGTCCACTATATGCGCTTCCCCAGGGCAGGGAGAGGACTCACCACAGTGCTGTTCGTCCGCGCCATCCGAGCAATCCCGCAGACCGTCACAGTGCTTGCTGGATGGGATGCACGTGCCATTCGGGCAGCGGAATCCGTTGCACTTCTTCTCTGAAATGCAATGCGACAACGGAAGGAAATGACGGAGAGGAAACAGGCAGGCACTCACATGCGTCGTTGTGCGGGTAGAAAGCTGCACCACCCCCAAGGAAGGTGGGTGACTGGTAACTGCGGCCACAGTTACCGATGCGGCACATTGTGCCCAGCAATGCCATCGTAAAAATGTAACCTACCCACCCAGGTGTAAAATAGTGTAAGTACGAGGTTATTCATTGCAAGGCTCTTTGTAACGCACAGAAAACCGTCCACGTGTCCATTAATAGGGGACTCTGCGATGCCTTATTGAACACAGGAACACGAGACTGTCATAAAGGCACTGAGGAAGCACTCTGTAAAAATGTATCGTGGATACACAGTTGTACGAAAAAAACAAGTTACAAAACAACATGCATAGCACACTACTTGTATAAAAGAGAACAAGAATACACAGTACATTTAAATTTGCACGTATGCACAAAAATATCCCAAAAGAGTATACAACTATAATTTCCTACGTGGACAGGGTCGGAATTTGGCAGCTGGGGAGAAAAATGTTTACTGAACACCTCCTGATACTTTTTTTTTCCATTTTCATCCATGAAGAAATGGAACCATGTTACCTCCTCATGAGTACATATTTTCAGGCAAAGCTTCAGTGAATAAAAAAAAGGGGGACATGAATTCTGATTATAAATCCTGGTCTTTGAAAGCTCTCATACATCACCATCTTAATTCTTCAGGAATTCTAAACCAAAGCCCTTTTGGAGAAAGTCCATCCTAGAAATGTTAAGAATCTTAGGTTTCGCACTTAGTAGAGAATTCTTAGCATGAGATAACCCTTTCTCCTGAACGCAGAGCTACTGCCCAATGTTAGGCTTAAAAGTAAATTCTAGCAGGTCAGTCATGGCCACTGCAAACCCAACTCTTAGGAGAACGGTTCTAGGAGGGTCAGGTGCAAGGCAAGAAAATGTGTTTTAATCCCATAAAAGGTCATCATGGAATAGGAAATTATTCAAAGGACATCAAACAGAAATAGGAAGTGAGTACCATGAGTCGGAGGGGAAATAATGTCGTTAAGTATAAAAGCTCTTTTTAAAAAAGTATAAAATTAAAATTACACGAGACAAACTCCCATTCATTAAATCAGTGAAAGCAGCTAAAATGTAAGTTCAAGGAGACTCAGGGAAACAGACACTACGCTACTGACAGATGCTTCAGGTATCATTGCTTGGAAACTCAATATGGAGACACTTAATGAGAATCACTGAAGTCCATCAGAACCTCTGACCCAGCAATGCCATACTGAGGAACATATCCTAGGAAGTATCTTCAAGAAAAAATAAGGCTTCATTTCCAAAGAAATGGATAATTTTACTACGCATAATAGTGTAAAACTAAAAACACTCAAATGCCTGACCAGGAAGCAGCTAAGTAAGTCAGAGAAACACAAAGTGAATGTGCATCTGCCATGAAAATGCTGACTATAGAAAAATACAGACATAGGCAAACATCTTCAATACTTGGACATGAGAGCAATAGGGCATACAACATGCAGACAATGACTACAATCCCATGAAGATCTGGACGTATGGTGTCAAGTAACAGGAAATATATATATTAACTGGTCTCTGCCCCTGGTTCCTGGCACAGAGCTCTTGAAACCCTTGTAATTCCCTACAGAATAGAAGTGTCTCGTGTTCTAATGGGGCTACTCTGGGTGGGCTCCTGCATAGCTTTTGGATGGGGGCTGGTCACCAGAAAAACCGTGCCATGATTAAAGGCTTGGAACTTTGAACCCCACCCCTGATCTTCTAGGAAGGGGCGAGGGATGGAGACTGAGGTAATGATCGGTCATACCTACGTGATAAAGCCACTATAAAAATCCCAAAAGTAGGGCGCCTGGGTGGCTCAGTTGGTTAAGTGACTGCCTTCGGCTCAGGTCATGATCCTGGAGTCCCAGGATCGAGTCCCACATCAGACTCCCTGCTCAGCAGGGGGATCTGCTTCTCCCTCTGACCCTCCTCCCTCTCATGCTCTCTGTCTCTCATTCTGTCTCAAATAAATAAATAAAATCTTAAAAAAAAAAAAAATCCCAAAAGTATGGGGCTCAGAGAGCCGTCCAGGTTGCTGAACACAGAGATGCTGGGAGAGCGGCAGGTCTGGACAGGGCACGGAAGCCCCACAACCCTTCCCCATACTTTGCCCTATGCATCTCTTCCATCTGGATGTTCATTCTATCCTTTATCACGTCCTTTTCTAACAAACTAGGAAACGTGTTTCCCTGCATTCTGTGAGACATTCCAGTAAATCACTGGCCCCAAGGAGGGGGACCTGGATATATAGGTGGTCAGTGCGAAGTATGGGTGACAACTCGGAGGCTGGTGACTGGCATGGGAGGTGGGGGCAGTGCTGGGGACCGCACCCCTCACCCATGAGACCTGACACCATTCCAAGGAAGACAGAGTAAGGAATAAGTTAACTGGAGGACACCCCCCCCAGCTGGTGCTGAAGAGTTACTTGATGTGGAAAACACACGTGTGGTGGCCAAGAAGTGTTGGAAGTACTGTGTGAGCAGGATACTGAGAGCAAAGGAGAAGCACGGGGATTTTTTTCCTATCGACATTAGAAAAAAAGGATAATGACAGAGAACCTTAAAGTTATTTGGCATTGGGGCACCTGGGTGGCTCAGTCATTAAGCGTCTGCCTTCGGCTCAGGTCATGATCCCAGGGCCCCGGGATCGAGCCCTGTGTCGGGCTCTCTGCTCAGCGGGGAGACTGCTTCTCCCTCTCCCACTCCCCCTGCTTGTGTTCCCTCTCTCACTGTGTCTCTCTCTGTCAAATAAATAAAATCTTTAAAAAAAAAAAAAAAAAGAAGTGTGTGGGGGGGTGGCGCCTGGGTGGCTCAGTCGTTAAGCGTCTGCCTTCAGCTCAGGTCCTGATCCCAGGGTCCTGGGATCGAGCCCCGCATTAGGCTCCCTGCTCAGCGGGAAGCCTGCATCTCCCTCTCCCACTCCCCCTGCTTGTGTTCCCTCTCTCGCTGTATCTCTCTCTGTCAAATAAATAAATAAAATCTTTTTTAAAAAAAAGATACTTGGCATAAAACAGAATTTCATATATTTGCGTTTGTGTGGCGGCTATTTTGTGAAGGTAAGTGACTACCTCAGAGTTCTTTGTGAAATCAGTTACGCTGAAAAAGTCCTACCTTTGGGGTGGTGAGCCATTTTCCTACAGGATGGTAACACAGTACTCTTAGCCACAAAGCATGCGATTTATACAGAAACTGCTGGCTAATTTCTGGCGGAACATGCGTCATTTCTGTATGTGGTGACCGTATTTAGCACTCTGGGTGGGTGAACTGGCTTCCATTTCTTCTCTTCGAAGCCGTTATGGAAAAGCAGTGAGGCAAAACAGCTTGCCTGCCAACGAGGACAACACAACAGGCCCCTCGACATCCTACGGCAGTGCCACATAGAAGCTGGGGGGGGCGTGTTCAGTTGTCCGCGTGGGCATCTGGGCGCAGCAGAACAATACTCCAATCCCTGGCCCACTGTTGCCTCTGTTCCTGAACGGCAGACACTAGGGACGCTCCAGGTGGAGGCCAAAGCATGGGCATTTACCGCAGTTCACTGGGTCCTCGTCAGAACCGTCTTGGCAGTCCATGTCACCATCGCACGCCCACCGCTGGGGGATACAGTGTCCGTTGAGGCACTGGAAGTTGGAGGCCTCGCAGGTGTGATAGATGGCTGTCAGCAAGAGAGAAGAGAGAAAGTGTCAACGCCACCCTCACCTCTGCTCCCCCACCAACCGCCAAGATGCTGACCGAGGAGAGACTGTGCTGGGTAATAAGGTATGGACCAGAGTGCCGGAGTTCCTCCCTGGCCTGAAGGTGGGGTGCAGCCTCCTGATCAAGCAAATCACTTGACTCTGTGAGTCTGTGAAGTTACAGAAGCATAGATGTACAGGTTTAAAAAAAAAAATCATTCACTTTCTGCAACCACCTATGACGTGAGGGTTATTCCCCATTCACAGATAAGAAGCAGCCTTAGAGGGGCGCCTGGGTGGCTCAGTCGGTTAAGAGTCTGCCTTGGGCTCAGGTCATGATCTCAGGGTCCTGGGATCCAGCCCCAAGTGGGGCTCTCTGCTCGGAGGGGAGTCTGCTTCTCCCTCTGCCCCTCACCCCGCTCTTGTGCTCTCTCTCACTCTCTCAAATTAATAAAATCTTTAAAAAAATTAATAAAAAGAATTAAAAAAAAAACAGCCTTAGAGAGATTAAGAAACTCGCCCACGTTCACAAAGAGAAGTAAGCACCCCAGCGCTCTCCAAGTCCAAAGCCTGGGCAGTTTCTGCTCTGTCTTGCTACTTTATCTTCTCACATGAACCCACTCACTCATCCAGATTCTGTGGGACAAGGAGAGGTGGTATGTGCTCCAGGGACCGCCTCTAGACCTGGTCCAGACCTGGGGGTGTCAATCTCATCTATATTGACATACAAGGACCCCTGTAAGCTCTGAAAAGCTGTGATTTCATAATTCTCAATAAACAACCCAATTTCAAATGTGGAAAACCTCAGATCCAGAGAGCACGGAAGATTTATCCAAACTCACACAGAAAGGTCCCAGAACCTCCTGAACTTGTCTAACTCTCCCGACTGACATCTACCAGCCCACAACACATGGTGGCCGCTATAATCATTAAAAGAAAAAGACACAAGTGAAACAGTGCTGATGTTATAAACCAACAGCCTTGTTTGCATACATGGGCTGAGGCCACCTGGAAGTCCTTTAGAAACATCTCAAAAAGACTAGTTCGAACGCAGAGTAACTGCCTCAAACCCAACTGGCACTAGTAACCGCCTCTCCACTAGTTTCCCCTTCCTCTGCTAAAAGAGAAAGCTGTTTGTGTCTCTTCATTGCTGAATGAAAGCCAGGGCTGGCCTTGTTTACCTCTGATATAAAATAAGACAATCGAGATGCATGGGCTCTCTGTTAGCTTAACCGTGTGAACAGGGTGTCTTTGCAACAGATGAGGCAGAACAAACAAAAGTGGGTTATTGAGTGCGTACTATAGTTATTTATTCAATCAAGATGGTTGGCAACTGCTACTCAAGGACTGGAAAAATGGGCTTCCAATGCCCTCTAGAATTTCTACTGAATTTTAGGCTATTTTGTGCAGCAGTCTGAAATACAAAGAACCTGATTTTTCAAACCACTTTAAAACAAGTGGTGGTCCAAAGATGTCCATCGACAGATGAATGGATACAGAAGATGTGGTATATATATACCATGGAATATTATGCAGCCATCAAAAGGAATGAGATCTTGCCATTTGCAACGACGTGGATGGAACTGGAGGGTGTTATGCTGAGTGAAATAAGTCAAACAGAGAAAGACATGTATCATATGATCTCACTGATATGAGGAATTCTTAATCGCAGGAAACAAACAGGGTTGCTGGAGTGGGGGGTGGGGTGGGAGGGATGGGGTGACTGGGTGATAGACACTGGGGAGGGTATGTGCTCTGGTAAGCGCTGTGAATTGTGCAAGACTGTTGAATCTCAGATCTGTACCTCTGAAACAAATAATGCAATATATGTTAAGAAAAAAAAAAAGAAGAAGAAGAAGGTAGAGGGAGGGGAAGAATGAAGCGGGGGAAATCGGAGGGGTGGATGAACCATGAGAGACGATGGACTCTGAAAAACAAACAGGGTTCTAGAGGGGAGGGGGGTGGGAGGATGGGTTAGCCTGGTGGTGGGTATTGAGGAGGGCACATTCTGCATGGAGCACTGGGTGTTGTGCACAAACAATGAATCATGGAACACTTCATCTAGAACTAATGATGTAATGTATGGGGAGTGACATAAGAATAAAATAAATAAATAAATAAATAAATAAATAAATAAATAAATAAATAAATAAATAAAAACAAGTGGTGGTCCATTACCTGTTGTCTTCTTATCTCTCTAAAGATCAAGGCTATATGTGTAGTATGCAAATGGATCTATAGGAAGTTTTAATATTTTACAACCTTTGGCACTCAGAATCCAGTAAACATCTTTTAAAGATATACTTATATCTCTGATAAGAGGAGTACGTATATGTTGCATGTTACGTGAGCTTTTGCCCAAGTAAGCCATTGCCTGGAAGACTTTTGATCTGGTGGTTTTACAAGTCTGACAGCCCTTGAAAATATTCCTCAGCAAAGCCTTGCTCATTTTCATAAAATATACTGCTGCCTAAGCTCACTGCCATACTGATCTACTTGTTATTATTCAGCTTATGCATCTCATTTTTAATTGAAAACAATTTCGGAGTGCTAATGGAGTTTCCAAATGACCATTCTGGGAGGCATGCCTGAGATCTCCAAAATCTATCACAGAAGCTGAGCTCAGAAAGACTAATCAGTTTGTATAATTTCATTTAAGTGGCCAGGTATGAATGGAATTCTTAACACATTCTCTTTTTCTGAATTTTCCCATCTTCTGAGTAACTTACTAGGTCTCTGACATGGAGTGTCTGGTAATTAATACATGTTTAATTATTACCTTTTTCTTTTAATTATAAGGATGGAACAGACTGACTTTAATACAGACTAAAGAATGGGGGGAGAAAAATAAGAATCCTTTGCACGGCAGGAATCATTGTAACTGTGAGAAAGGATGGGCTAATGGGGTACATGACCATGAAATTAGAGGATCAGGATTTTTAATAGAGGCCATCACCCTACACCTTACTCTCGGACTTGGACAGATCTTCCTTGACTTCCTTCCCCTCTGGAACACTTGATCAGAAGCATTAACCAAATACAGGAGGGGCAGAAGAGATGGATGAATTTATATGGTAAGAAAGCACTTCCAGATTCATTACCAAGCGCTGGACTATGAGGGGGTGAATGAGGGGAGAAAAAATGTGACTATCAATTCAACTTGTATGATGAATGACACAGAAATAATAACATAAAGCATAAAGAAAGGACCCTGAAAAATAAGAGGCAAGCTTTGAAAAAGAATCAGATAGAAATTCTAGATATAAAAAATATAGTCGTGGAAATAAACATAGCTCAGGGGATGTGTGAAACAGCCAGTCAGATTCAGCTGAAAAGAGAATTATTGAACTGGAAGAGAAGACTGAGGAAGTAACTCAGTTTCTAGCACAGAGTCAGAAGGAGACCGCAAATACAAAAACAGGAAGCATGAACAACAGAAGGACACAGCCTGACAGATGGCTGAAAGTAACTGCTAAAGACGAGACCAGAGAAAGTAGCAAACAGAGTTGAGAAGATCACAGCTGTAATTCCCCAGAATTGGTGAAAAATAAATCTTCAGCTGCTAGAAGGAAAACAAGACTCAGGAGCAGGATGAATAAAAATAATTTCACTTAAGGAGGTGAAACCACATAACAAGAACAAACAAACAAACAAAAACCTACAGATACCTGGAGAGAAAAGAACGTCTGATTGTTGTTTGAACAGATCACCTGCCAGGAGAATTTAAATCAACACAGAAGAGGCCAGAAGGAAATAGAATAATCCCATCAAAACACTTAACGGAAAATTACTACCAACCGAGAAACCCAGATCCATCTGAATTCAGGATTGAGAGTGAAATAAAGATACGTTTACAGAAATCTTGAAAGAGCTTACTATTCGCAGACTCCTGTTGCAAGAAACAGAGAAAGATGTACACGGGGAAAGGAGACATCAGGTACAAGAAGCAAAGGTAAATGGTTACTAAAATATAATAACAATGATGAATATTAGGATTCTTAAAATGTACAACTAAAATACTAAATATTTACGGAGTCTGTTTGGAAGTCCCTGCAGGTCTCGGAGAGGGGAAAGTTACTACATGAAGACCATTAACCGCTGAAAGAACAGAAATTAGATGTTTAAGCTCAAAATCAATGCAGGGAGGTGGGGAGAGGGAATAAAGAAAACTCAGTCCCATGGAAAACAAAAAGCAGGGAGGACAAGAGCAAAGACCATGCACGCGAGCTGAGGCCAACAGGAAATCCGTGGACCCCGACCGATTTGCTCTAGCTTTGCGGATGATTTAGTTTATTACGTCAGGAAATGAAGGGACACGACACACATTCTAATGAGCTCGCAGCTGACCGCCAACTATTTTGAGATACCAGGGAAGGGGAATCATCTTTAATAGGTTTGGAAGAATAGTCACTGGAACAAGGGAGCAGGTGAGGTGTAAGCACTTTACATTTTCCCCAGACAGCCCTTCCAAAAAAAATCAGAGAAAATCAGGAGTCTCGGACGAACCCACCCATAGAAATGAGCTGTTAATTCATCCCGGAGGAGCGGCACATGCTGCTGAAACACAAAACTGACTAATGTGGTTGTGCTAATGTGGATGTTCAATCATTTTGCAATTTACAAACTGAGATGCCCAAGTGTACTCCTCTAATTTCTTAACCAATTATCCACCCGAGCCCACCGCTTCCAAACAGCACTCCGTGTGGTTCCTGGGCTGATGGCAGGACAGCAGTCCCTTCATGGACCCTGGCTTTTCCTCCTTCTGCAGGTCTTGCTTGTATTTGGACAGAAGCCTTTTCCCGCAGTCCTTCCAGAAGCAGAGGTGCAGACATGGAGATTGCACCAGAAAGGATAAGGAGCAAGTTTAGGGTAAGTTCATAAAGGGACAGAATTTGGTAACATCACAGATCATCCTGTGTGTGGATACTGCATTTGAGGAGATCCATTTACTCCTGAAGGCTATAGAAGGTCATCTCCAAATGAAAATGAATGCAGAGAAGCGCTTATGTAAATTGCCCAATGGGCAGAGGTTCTTGCCCGGTGCTGGGCACTGGGAGAATGCAAAGGAGTCAAAGGTCATTCCTGCCCTTCAGGAACCAGATCTAAACTATAGCATAACAACAGCCGTCTTTTTGTTTGCTTTTGCAAATTAGTAGGCATGCTTTGAGCTCCCGGGTGCTGGGCAGTGTAGGAACTGGTGGGGTCTGCGGGGGCAAGGGAGATTAAGACAGGGGACTTGGGAGGTCTACCACAAGAGTAATGATCCATGCCACGTGAATGAGAAGTTAATGCAGTTAACAGTGAATGGGAAAACAAAGCCTAGAAGCAGATCTGCCCTCACCACACAATGGTTACATGAAATAACCTTAGCCCCACCACTGGAGGGATTTAAGAGAGAACTGAGTGATCATTTCTAGAGGTTGCAGAGAAAATGTACTCATCAGGTACTGGGATCGGATTTTACTCCTCCATGGTTTCCCCAATTCCTTGCTCTCCCTATTCCACCATACTGTAAAATGGGTCTCATTCACTCATTCATTTATTCATTCATAAAAAGTAGTGTAAAGAACACGCATGAGAATAATTAGAACATGACCTCCACCTCACACCACCTAGCCTTCCTCTCATATTATTATGCTGTTCCCAACTTTATTTTTCATGAAATCTTACCCAAAACGGGTGCAAGCAGAGTTTAGGTTTGCGATGTTTGGGGAACTCTCGGATGCTCCGTTCAAAATCATAAGCTAGCTCAGTGCCGCTCAACGTGTGGTCCCCAGACCGGGGGCCAGTCTATAAACTGTGTATTACTGGATCCTGAAGAAATAGGCTCAAGCCAGAATGTGACTCGACCATATCACTCGGGGACACTTGTTTAGTTCAGTTAATGCTTTTTTCACAGCAAGACCTTCTCAGCGAAGAAAGCAGGATGTCGGTTTACCTTTCAGCACAAGCTCATCACAGTCCAGCTGATGGCTAAGGTCCATTTCTTAGCGCCTAGAGTCGACGATCACGTAGGGCTGCAGGGCTAAGCCGCACACACACACAGGTACTGTCAAGGGAGAGCAGGAAATACTGACCGGTACAGTTGGCTTCATCAGACCAGTCCCTGCAGTCATTGTCCCCATCACACACCCAGGAGGAGCGGATGCACATGCCAGAGCTGCAGCTGTATTCGTCATGCCGGCACTGGTGCATTTCTGCAGGTGAGATCACAAACACAGAGCTGTGAGGACCAATGCTTACTCGGAAATCCGTCCCAAATCGAGCTCAGGCGTCGGCGCTCCCACGGGCTAGAGATGCATGCATTATCCGCATTGTTATCCCTGATCATCCAGAGACAGAGTGGACTTTAACCAGGGATGCCAGCTCATCGAGGATGGACTCCAGGTGTGCTGACACCCTCACATTCTGCTTTTAAAGATTTTATTTATTTATTTATTTGAGAGAGGCAAGTGGGCGGAGGGAGAGGGAGAGGGAAAATCTCAAGCAGACTCCTCGCTGAACGTGCAGCCTGGTGCAGGGCTTGATCCCAGGACCCCAAGATCAGGACCTGAGGCAAAATCAAGAGTCAGACACTTAACTGACTGAGCCACCCAGGCGGTCCCGACACCCTCACATCCTTGCCACTGGTTGCCTCCAGGCCAAGAACAGCATTACCCATGTATCTCAGCGCACTTCACAAATATTGTCTAAGCTTGCTACAATGGGAAGGTTAGGAGGCAATGCTCCAGTTGCCCAGAAAGGAGAATCCTCAAGAACTCCCAAGAAACAGAAGCCTTCTAGAGACAGCGCCTGTGGTTTCAGAGAAGGAGTAATGAGAACTCCGAGTGAGCTGATCAGTACGAGATGCTCAGATTGGGGAAAGCGAGATCAGTGCCGAGTTCCCAACATAGATGAAACTGAGGACCTTCTGTGGGCAGAGCTCCAGGGCTGCTGGCTGATGGGCTGCCTCTAGAAAGGTGGGTTCCTGAAGTAAATGAATCTGTGCAGCCTGACCAAGACTTGCAAGCAGGCTACGCTGACAACATCTTTTACATACCCTGGAAATGTCATCCAAATGGCATTTCAAAGATCCTATGGAAACAGGGGTAGCCAAGCCTGGGGCCAGGGTGGCTGCCTGAGTTGTGTCATCCAGGAGACAAGTTGATGGTGAAGTTGGGGATTCAGATATTTGTGAAGAAACAGTCTGGAGACTTATGAAGAGGACCTGTCTCTGAGGATATCAGGGACCGAAACCCTGGGATGGATTCGAGAGACATTAGCATGAACAGGCTGTGAACAGGGAATCTGATGCAAGCCCAGTACGTGAGAGAGATGATATCACTGCAGTCTCCTTCCTACTGAGCTGTGCCCTTCAACCCTGTGCAGGTGCTAAGGAGGAGGTGGGAGGAATGCAGGGAAAACAGCCCTGAATCCCAAAGACTGCTTTCCGCAACTTTCTATTTTTACAAAGATGAGGGAAAACGATGGGACCCCCGTACACATAAAATTCCTCTGAGAACCAGCCAAGGGGCATTTCCCCTGCCCCCCTCGTTTCAGTCCCTGGGGTCAAATGACCTGCCAGTGAAAAAGCAGGCCCCGTCCATAAACACATGCGCAGCCAGACTGAACCTGACCCACTCCCTGGGCAGGGAGAGCCACCAACTCATCACGCTGTCTGGGTCCACATCTGGAACCATGGGCTCCGGGTCCCCATCCTGACACAAACTAACAGTGTCACCTGGAGTAAGTCCCCTCAGCCATTTAACTGGAAATTAAGAGGACTGAACTAGAGAACCCCTATCACTCCTGGCAATTCCATCATACTGTTTTTCTAAATGTAAAAATTTCCATTCAGAAAACAGATGTTCGAACAACGTTTGTGCTATCTGCTGGCTTCCAGCGGAGTTTACTGAATTAGATTGGTTTAAAAAAAAAAAAACACACATTCATAAAGGTATAGATCTGTGTCTTCAGGAGGCTAATCTCATAGCCACCCAGACATGTGGGCCAAGTCTATGTCATATAGAGCTGTTAATAACCACCTAAAATCAGTTAGAAATCTTCCTTACTATCACATTCAGGCTTACAGCATCTCTGCACGGTAAAGCAGGGTCCATGATCTTTCGAATGAATCATTCCTACCAAGGGGACAGAGGTGGTCATAGAGCTGGGTCTCCGAAACCCTGATGGGGGCATCCGGGTGGCTCGGTCGGTTAAGCGTCCAACTCTTGGTTTCAGCTCAGGTCATGATCTCGGGGCCCTGGGATAGAGCCCCACTTTGGCCTCCGTGCTCAGCGAGGAGCCTACTTAGGATTCTCGAGTGCTGTCTCTCTCTCCCTCTGCCCCTCCTCCTCTCCCATGTCTCCCCTCCCCCCACCATCTGCACACACATGTGCGTTCTCTCTCTCTGGAAAAAAAAGAAAGAAAGAAAGAAAGAAAACCCCAAGATGCTTTCGGAAATCCTCCATCTACAACTCACGGAAGCCCAGGGAGCAAGGGTGCTGCCCCGCTCAGAAGTGGGGTCCCTGGACATCATGTTCCCTTACCGCAGTGACTTTCATCGCTGTTGTCTCCACAATCATCCTCAAGGTCACATTTGTAGGACAGTGGGATGCAGGTCCCAGACTCCTGGCAGCGGAACTGGGTGTCCAGATCACAAATGGTAGTAGCTAAAAGGGAAGAGATGACATACTCATGAGGAACAATTTATCCCCCCACCCAATACACACATCCCCATGGAAAACGAACTAAAACAGAGAAGAAAGCAGATTTGAATTGCAGCAACAGACCAAAAATACAAAAAAAATTTTACAACCAAGGAAAAGAAGAGCCTATCTTTCCATGGAAGTTTCCAGATGGGCACCGGGCTGGGAAGGTGAGAAACTGCCCTCCAGCTGGGAGAGAGACTGATGGGCCGGATCACCTCCTACGACCCCTAAGTCAGCAGCAGAGATACCTTCATCTAGACAATGACCATGAGGAAGCCCAATTCCACACGAGAAGCTGGCACCTCCCCGTTATCGATGACACGGGGAGTGTTGGGCAAGAATCTGGGCCCTGTCATCAGGCGGGACTGGGTTTCAGATCCTGGCTCTGCCTCTGCCTCGAGCAATTAATTAACTTTAACCTCCTTGAGCCCGTTTCGGACACAGGAGGAGGATAAGGTCATGTGGCCAAGTGCTGTGATGACAGAAAGACTAGATATGGATCTCAATTCTATAGTTCATGTAACCTAACTGATCCGTGCCTCTGTTTTCTCTACTGTAAAACACCTACCCCCGGGCAGTTTATGAATGTAAATAAGCAAACCGGTTTGGGACCAGAGCCCATTACATAAGGCTGCAAAACAGACTAGACTCCAAACAAATGTCATGCGTCTTCCTTGTCCTTCCTCTGCCCTCCTGCACCAGAATGGGTATAGGCGTAGACCCTTCTCCCTCTTCTAAGCAGAAAGTATCTGGGGGTAAGTACAATCCCTAGAACCCAGCAAAAGACCCTCCAGGCAAGGCTTTGGGAAGGAAGGCTGTGCTCAGGAGGGGCTGACACGTAAGGCACGATGTGACAGAACAGAATCCTGGGGTGGGGGGTGGGGGGTGCCGGGAAATGAAAAGCCAAGGGCAACTCTATACAGTTAGACATCCCAGCGGCTCTTATTTGAGGCTCCATTTCTTCTCTGTAATTGAGCTCATGGTGGGAGGCAGAGGATGAATACAAAATGACAAGGCTGCAGGGGATTCACGTCAAAACCCGGAGCGCCTGACAACTACCCAGCGCAGGAGTCTGTGCGCAGGAGGGAGATGTGCTGACAACATCTCTCCCCGGCTCCCCGGTCACCACTCCCACTCTGCTCCCCGGGCAGCTGCCTTTCACTTCCCAGACAGCAGCCCCACCCAGTCGCAGCCTGTCCCTTCCCTGCAGCCCTGCCCGTGGACGGTGCGCCTCCACCATCAGGATAAGCACGACTCTCCTCCTCCTGGATAAGGGAGCCACTCCTGCAGGTGCGATCAAGCACCATTCTCCTGGTTCCCAGGCTCCATATTTTAACCCCTGTACCCCTCCTCAGGGCCTCCCCTCTGCCAAGTGGAATGAATGGAGAAAGAGCAGAGCAGCGAGCAAGTCCCGGGGAATGTCAATCCCAGCTGACGCTGACACCAAACCAGGAGGAGGGCAGAGCCGGCTGCACACTTGACCCAGAGGAGCAGCGTGAACTCTGCGTGGAAGCCTGTGAGACCAGCACTGAGCTCTGGCACTGGGGGAGAGGGGGAGAGGGCGCCCCTCCTGAAGATGGACGGAGCTCCCTCTCTCAGAACACTGCACCAATACAAGATCCCCGCTTGTCATCTAGTGGAACCCAAAGCCCCTGGGTGGAATCCCCATCTATCAGACACAAGGTCATCTAGTTTAAATCTCTCTGCTTCCACTAAAGCCTAATCATGTCTGGGCAATCTTCGTGCAATGTGCTAATTCTAAGAAGCGTCTCCTCGCCCACCCCATTATGTAATAAAGTCCTTTCCAGGCTCGGTTCCAGTGTTGTTAATATTTATTGTTTTTAAGGAGCTTTGGCTCTTCCCCCACAAATATCACCCCTTCCTGAGACTCTGGTAGGTAGAGAAGGCTTTTATTGGTGTCCTTCTTGCAGGGAAGAAAAAACACACAGACAGCCTAACGCTTCTCCAAATCTGCCATTCAGTAAGCTCTTCTCCCTGCCTGTGAATGGCATCCACTGAAACCAGGGAAAAATGATTAAGAAAAGGTTTGTTAAATAACCTCCTAAGCACCAGCAAGGGCAGCACATAGTTTTGCTGGGCCCGGACGAGTTCAGGGAGTTCACTGCTTCTAAGGTTGCTTTCTGGCTGGAGGGACGTGGGAACCTGGCGCGGACTCCACTGGCTGGCTACATATGGCCAGCCCAGAGCCAGGAGTTACCCCCTACCCTGTTCTCAGAGCACAAAATGGCAAATGAGCTTCTGGATTCCCAGTGGGAAAATATTTGCAAGAGAAGCCTTCACACTGGTTTCTGGCTTCCCTGCTTCCGGTCTTCCTCCCATCCAGTGCCTTCTGCCCACTGCTTACTTTTCCAAAGACAAGAATCTGATCATATTATTTCAGTGGTTCTCAATGGCTCTTCTGAGTAAAGTCCAAAGGCACTTGCTGCTCTGGGCACCCTCACTAGCCCGTCTTCACCTTGCCCCATGGCTTCCATATTCATATTATTGATGAGCCACACCAGCTTCCTAACCATGCCACACACACTCTGACCTCTGGGCTTTCATACCTGCTGTTCTCCTGCCGATAGCTATGTTCCCTCCACCTCTGCTTGCTTCACCTCTAACCACCCTTCAGGGCTCTCCATAAACACCTCCCCAAGTTTGATTTGTGTGCTCTTCCTGTATGCATATGCGCTTCCCCATTATAGCACTCACTGGCTCTGCCGTAACTGCCCCTCTACTCTTCAGACTCCCCTACGGAGTAAACTCCATGTCCACCTGATCACCTGGTATCCCCAGGCCGAGCACAGAGCCTAGAACAAGGAGTCCTCAACAAATACTTGCCGAGTGAATGTATGAACATATTACTCACTGTCAGAGAGCAAAGCACCTCCTTAGAAGATAATGTCGAAGCTATCAAAAATTAAAACTTTGCAGTAAATTACTCATTTTAAGTAGCTATTTGTCTTTAAACCCTGCTGAACAGAACCATGCTTTAGTAGTGACCCTTAGAAAGCATACAGTCCAAAGATGACATTTCCATGTGCACAGAGCAACGCCCCCATATTTCAAGCCAAACAAGGCATCATCAAGCAGTTGGAACCATCTCTCTGGAGCCTGGCGGGCAGCCAATATCCACTGATTGGACGGCATACAAAATGAAACCTGTTTCCCATCTCTGAAAAGGCTGAATTTACAGATCAAGGGATGTCACCTGGTCACCAGCTTTATCACGGTGGTAAAGCCACAATGAGAGCCCAGACTGCCCGACTCAGCTCAGTTTCAGCCAGGTGATGCTTACTGGTAAACCCTTTGTAACGAGTAATTCCCTTATCGGTCGGGGCTTGGGTTCTCAATCACAACCTATATCTAAGTGTCTTCTCTGTTCTCCAAGCCCCATCAGCTCCCATGAGCATCACCGATCACGAGGGGCCATCGGCCGGCACCCCAGGCTGCAGGCCCCCCGCCCGGGCGCAGCTGGCTGGCCAGCCTTCCGAGTACGGCCCGTGCGCCCCCTCCCGAAAGCCCAGCCGAACCGGGAAGACTCACGGCAGTTTCTCTCGTCGCTCATGTCACCGCAGTCGTTGTCAAAATCGCACCACCAGATGCTGTTGATACAGTTCCCATTGCTGCAGCGATACTGGTTACGGAGACAGGTGTTCTCTGGATGGCGGGCCGGGCACAGGAAATGAGACACATATGATTCTTATGGCTGGACCGTAAGACTCTCGCTTTTCACTGAGTTTCCATGTCTCTTCCCCAAACAGCACGCCTTACGCGGTAAAGAGGAACAGGGGTGCCAAGCTCACCTGCACGCGGGAGCATACAAAAGAGGCCTCTTCCTTTCCTCTTAGTTACAATTTAAGGACGAGAGGCCAGCTGGATAGGTGTCGGGGGTGGTTATAATGGTGAAAAAGGACAGCAATGGTGCCAGTTGGGTCCAGTGGGTAGATACCAAACATCGACATTATAAAACACCAGCTATATGAGGAACTGCTTACGGGGCTCTGTCTACACAGTACGAAAACATACGTGTCCCACATATTTGTGGCTATATGTATTTTGTATATACAATTATATATATCCATATATCTTCCATTTTTCAGCCAAGCAGATGACAAAGGATACATAATACTCTGACGCATAGAAAAAAAAAAAAAACATTGCTTAGTAAACCCAGACAAGAACACATGAAGGCTGGACTCGTGTTTGGGTCTCCAAAGGCATTCTAAAGGAAAATATTAAAAAGCCTTTCTCTAACTTAAGCGTTAACTCTGTTTATTTCTAAATAGCTTTAAGATGATGTCTGGAGCCTGAAAGTGAATGTCCTGCGGCTAAGAAGGGAAGGGTCATCCTTTCTCCATGTGTATTTCTTATGGAAAAGGGACCACAGGGCTCCTTTGTGTGCCCCCCTGCCCAGGACTAAGAGGCTTCTGTGAGGAGGGAGGTTGTGATTCCAAAGCCAATATAACCTCGAGAATAAAAAAAAAAAAAAGCAGGGATTTGGGCGTTTCCTGGAAGGGCCCCCCCTTTCCAGAGATTCACCTCACTGACAGTAACGTGAGGCGGAGAATAAGAACACAAATCAGACAGGAAAGAAAGATTTAAGACAGGTTTTTAGAGGAAAAAAATTAGAATCTATGTATTCAAAGGAAGGGTGGATGTGACTGCTAGGCCACTTGGTCACAGCACGAAGGGAAGCCTCAACGTCTGCAACATCGTTCTGAATGTTCTGGAGGTTTCCGGGCTGGCGGGGGCGGAGGGGGGAGGGGGGAACTGCTGGGTGAACCTCGGTGAGCTCGTGGAGTCCCACCAGTCCTTTCTCCAAGTCACATCGTACAAGAAGCAGGAGAAGGGACGGGTGAGGAGAGGAAGACGGAGGAGGAGACAAAAAGGGGACGTCGAGGAAGGCCTCTGACATGTGTCATGTCACTGTGTCATCTGACATGAAACCAAAACCACAGCTATCATGTTTAAATAAACCGCGCAGGGCTGTTCCCGATGAGGACTGAGGAGCCCAGGCCTTAGAACCCAGACCAGGACGTCTCTAAGTATCTCGTGGATTTCATTTTTACCGAGGGCATTTTCGATGACACAAACACACGGGGAATAGAGAGCGCTGGGAGAGGGGAGGAAAGAAGGGAAGGAGGCCGGCGGGACGCACCTTCTTTGACACAGGTGTTGTTCTCCCGCTGGTAGCCCTGAGGGCACTCACACATCAGGTCCCCAGACGGGAGGACGCTGCTGGCCACACCCTCTGGACACCGGCAGCTTTTACTGTTGTTGGCCCTGGGCAGGCAGAGCAGGCTGCACGGCCTGGACACGCAGGCATTGCTTCCTGGGGAGAAGATAGACGGTGGCCGCGGCCGGGTTAATCGGTGCCAGGGAAACCCCGAACGGGGGGCTAAAATCCAAGACAACCCCCTCATTTTACAGACCCAATGGCGCAAAGCCATGATGGGGCCCCGGACAAACATCCACGTCTCTGCTTCTCAACACTTCCGTGCCCGAGTGCAGCTACCAAGCTGAACGAAGACCCAAGCACAGGGCCCTCATTAGCCTCAGTACTATGTGTCATGCAGTAAACCCACACAAGGACTAGTAAATGTGGACCCATCCCTACTGCCAATCTTGTCTCTGGTTCGGCTTTCCAAAGAGAGTGCCAGATAAAAGTCCATAAAATCCTTCACTGCAGTCTGGACAGAGAACCTTTGTGGATGAAGAGTGATGGAAAAGGTATTTTCCTATCCCCCACATCTTTCCGGGAAGGAGGGGAGAGGACGCATAAATCATTTTGTAACAACTGGAAACACATACAACTATCGAGCAACATAAAAGCCACATAAATTATGAAATGTATACTTGTTCTTTTGGCTGTGACTATTCATCATCAAAATTGGGGAAAATAAACATAAATGCTTTGATAAAACTCAACTGATGATGCTTCTTCAGTTGTGCCATCTCAGGAACAGAGAAAACGCCCCCTCCCCCGCCCCCTCCCCCTGAATCACATCCAAGCAATCTGTCTCCATCCAGCCAAGATTTTAGCTACGTCATGCCTACACTGAGCTGCAGGTTGGAAAACAGGGTTTATTAATGACCATCAGTATTGATATGGGTCATGATACACTCAGTAGCTTTGGAATGTTGGCACTTCATCAGTGTTTAACTGGCATACACATAAAATAAAAATTGCAGGGGCGCCTGGGTGGCTCATTGGTTAAGCGTCCGACTCTTGATTTTGGCCCAGGTGGTGACCTCAGGGGGGTGAGATCGAGCCCCGCGTCGGGCTCCATGCTCAGCACAGAGTCTGCTTGGGATTCTCTCTCTCCCTCTGCCTGTCTTCGAGCTCGCACACGTGCACACTCACACACGCTCTCTCTCTCTTTAAAATAAATAAATGAAATCTTTAAAAAAATAAAAAGAAAACTTGTAATGATACAACAACAGTGTTGTTCCGATGCTAAAGACCAGAGAGTATGAAGCATTACCAGACAGATGAAGTACACACACCCACAGAGGAGAATCCATACGATGAAACGTTCTACAAATAATCCAATCCGCTCTAAAGGTAGTAGAGTTACCATAGCAGAATAACCTGCTGACGAGAGCAGAAATGCCAGAAATCAATTCACTCTGACCTGTTCCATGGGCAGAGGCTGTTCCTTTTTCAGAAGTTACACACCCTAGGCTACAGGGAGGAACACAGAGCTGCCGCTAATGGAAAACAACTCCAAAGGGATCTGGAACATGTTCTCTGTATTCAAAGGACAACATATCATTTAATGTTCCAAGAAATTGAACAATAACAGAATTTCCGAAAAACACTCAGGGACAGGATGATAATTTCACGTGGAGCTAGGTCTGTAAAATACCACGACTAACGTGTTCACATGGGGAGAAAATGCTCCTGCCCAAAAAACCAAGAGCCACAAGTACGGAACCCAAAATGGGGTGCGGTATTTCAGGAGGCTGGTCTAGACAGAGATGTATACAGTCTGAGAGGCTGTATCCAGGGCCAAACCCCAAACCAAGCAGACCGAGTCACAGACCCCAGGAGGTAGGCATGGCAGGAGCTTATGGGGTGCTACAAAGCCACAGAGAACCTGGGCGAACATGGAAGGAGTATTCAGCAGAATTCCACCAGAACACAGCCACAGACTCTTTCTATAGGATGCTGCAGTCTCGTGCGGGCAAGGCAGGTAGATGTGAAGAGTGGACAAGTGACAGTCATCACCTCCAAAGACGTCCCCTTTGAAGATAAAAGAGCTGCATGATGTCTTCATGGGGCAGATTCGGAACACATTCAGATTTCCTCTTTGGAAAACTCCTCCAGAACTTGTCTAGGAGCCAGAAATGCTATTATCTTGCTTAATTATCTCTACGCTTGACAATTATCAAAATCAAATCCACCCCATCGAGTAAGTATTTGCCCTCACTGTAGGTATTTAAAAGCCCTGGCTTACTGCAGACTCTGAAGGACAATTCCCAGAGCTCCAAAATATTTTCATCCATTGCAACACCAACTTGATATATCAACAACCTTGCAAAGTAAGCTCTTTAAAGAAAAAGCACTCTTTATGAAGAACAGATCCCAGTGACACTACATAAAAATCCACCAGACATAAAGATTAAGAAAGGCATCTGTTGATAACCAAATAACCCAAATGGACCAATGTTCCAAGTGAACAAAATTTTTATCACAAACAAGAATCAATCAAAATCTAGTACTTCTATATTGTTGTCATATACCAGGACACCGCTATTCCAACAACAGATGATAAAGGGAGCAGAGCTTAATGGTTTTATCAAAGTCAAGCTCAAAAGTCCATTAGGCCATGGTTCAAATTCTTACCACTTACTAAATATGTGATGTAGAAACATGAACCTTTCATGTCCTCATCTAGAAAATGGAAATATTAACACATGGGTTTTGGGAAGATTAACGGAGGTTATTCAAGCCCACAAAGCACATCAGTGTGTAATCCCTTAATATATGTAGGTGATCATGTGTATTATTATCTTACGCATGGCTAATAGGCAGTCCTGTATGTGTTCAGAGCAGACAACAAAAATAATAAAGATTGACTGGCACCAGGGGTGGCCCATAGGCAAAATGAATTTGCAAAACAGTGTCCAAAAAAGCAAGCAGGTTAGAGCAAACAAGTTCAAGGCCGAGAGGCACCCACTGCACACAGGCAGCGCTGGCAGCCAGATGCCATTTCAAAAGCTTTCAGTGAACCCAGACTAGCCCATCTGAGAGATCTCAGCTTTGCTTCTCTGGCCCTGTGCCTGTGGGTGAGAGCTCGGCCGCAAGTATCCTGCTCACACAAGGGAGAAAAAGGGAATCCAAAAGGCCAACGGAGGAACGGGGGAAGGAGCAAGGAGGGGGCAGCGACCGGCCATGAGGTTGCACGGTCCCGGGTCTGCGTTCTACCCACCGGCACACGTCTCCTCCAGCCAGACCCCAGGCGGACTCCCAGAATTACTTGGGATGGTTTAAGTGAAGGTGACTCTTTCAGGCATGAAGAAGACAACAAAGGCACATGCTGTGACCACAGACCATCCTCCCTCCCACTCCCCAGGACCCAGCTGTGACTGTGCATCAGCTGGAATGGGGCAAGCGACCAGCCGAGACCGGGAAGCGGGGAGCCCAAGGATCACGGGTTCACCAGAACACGGTGTTTCAGGAATGGTCGTGTGCTCAGCAAGCACATGCTTACAAGCACCTGTCAAAAGGAAGACCTGCTTTCCGGACTGAGCTCTAACTCAGAGAAATGCTGATGATTCACTCAGCTTGCTAGCGACGCCCATCAGCAGGGGCTCGGGGTCCTCCATCAAACAAAGGCCCTGAGTTTCAGCCTTGGGACCCCAGAAGCAGGAGTCCTTCATCTCTCCCTATTTTAAAATAGGCACCTCCTCTGGGAAGAATGTGACTCCTCGATTTAGCAGCAGAACTGGAACAAAGGCCCAGCTCCTACACTAGCAAGGGACCTTTGAGAAACCTAATTCGCCCCTGAGATGCCGTTCCCTGATTAGGAACCATGGATCATGATACCAGCCCCACCCACACCCCAGGTCCGGTGCAGTCCTAACAATAATACAGACTTACATTTCTAAAGTTCTTTACCGTTTCGCAAGGGTATTCTCAATGCTATCCTCACTGGTCCCCCCGCAAATCACAATGATATCTATAACCATCTTTTTCCCCTTTGTCAATCTTCTCTTAGCAAGGCCAAAACCCACAAAGCAACGTCAACATTGTGCTGCCAAGCAGGAAACCTAGCAGTTTGTCAATAAAGGCGAGTCAGCGGAGCCAGGATGCTATTTAATCCTGCTGAAATAAACAGGGTGCTTCTTAAAGGGACTATTCTTTCCGGAACATCCTGCTCTCTCTGTCCTGTAGACCCCACAGTGTGGGTGGCGCACAGAGGGAGAGGGCGGAAAGCAAGGAAGGAGGCTTTCTGCGGCACAGTCTCGGTCTCCAGGACCAGCAAGCAGGTCATAAGCCTTGGAGTAGCTCTTGAAGTCTCACCCAACAATCTTTAAGACAGCTACTGTCCACACCCACTGGCAACTGGCCCCTTTTCATGACCTCTTCCAACAAAGACTGAGCACTACCGAGTGCTAGGCAGTGGCCAGACTGTTGTCTCGGGGGGCGGCGGGGAGGGGCGCAGACACGATCTCCTTCTTCGTGGGGTTTAAGCGTTGCAGGCGGGGACACGTGAATTAATGTGTCGTATAACGACGCCTCGCATGACAAGGGGGCAGGTGCTCAATGAGCCACAGGTCATCTGGGCAAGCAGAGGACGAGACAGGACTCCCATCGGCAGGCGGCAACTGGAGGCACACCCAGCACAGCACTGCTCCCTGGGAGGCTGCCAGATGGGGAGTAAGCACACGCGGGGCTTCTCCAGCTGCAGCAGAAGCTACGCCACCCATCAGTCAGGGGCCAAAGGCGGGAGGAGGGTGTAATTACCCACCAAGCATCCCACTCTAGGCAGGCGAAAACACGCGGTCTTCCAGCTGCTTGTGTACCATTAGAAAAGCAATTAAGAGGTCATTAGGCAGAAATTAAATAATGGGCATGTTGTCGTGACAATAAAGACGCAGGCTGTCAGCTCCTGCCCGGGCAGAGATTGCCCACGCCCAGCCCCTTCCTGGAGATCACAGCGCGGGAGAGATGAAGCCGGCAACGCAGCCTTCCTTACCAGTTGTCCTGCCCTTGTAGAAAATCTTCATGTCCATCAGCCCCGTGAGCTGACTCGCGAGAACAGCCACATGGGAGCCGCTGTATTTGGAAGCTCGGAAGATGCTGAGCTGCGACCAGTCATCCCAGTAGATCTCATTCTAGAAAGAAAACCTTTGCTCGTCAGTCCAGCTCCTGGGTCTCCAATCCTGGGCCCTCAATAAGAACAAGGGTTCACTCATACAGAGGACACCTAACATTCCGTGGTGAGGGATCAGCCCGACCAAGATTTCCACTGAAATGCAAGGCAGTGGATTTGTCCAGACCTCACCCAAGAGTCACCCTGAAGGAACTGGCTGGCAGACACTACCTGAGAAGCATTCAAGTTTGACCACAGCCCAACCCTTCTGTTCGAAATCTGCTTCCCAGTGGCAGGAAAGACCAACCACTCTGTTCTCTAGAGTCAAAGCAGCAGTGGCTGGCCACACGGGTGGGACGGAGCCCATGTGAACCCATCAGGACACGAGGTGAGCAGGAGACGAGGACACCGAGCCCAAACTACCGGCACTCGAGGGCAAAAGGGGATTTTTCTATGAAACAACCTTTAACCTTCTGAACTGGGAACAATGAGCAGCCCCAGACGCCTGGCAACTCTGTCTGACATCCGTCCAGATGCGCTAAAGAAAACAGTCGCAAATCCAGAAGTGAGCTGATTCTTCTAGAAGTTAGTCAGACAAGCATCTCTGCAAAAACCCAAGGTAGCAGCTCTTCACCTCAGTACACTCTTCACCTGCTCTAACAGACTGCCCAAAGCTGGGAGCAAAGGAAGTCCCACCTTAAAGACAGCAATGGCGTAGGGGTGGGGGAGGTTGTCCAGGATGATCGAGCGCTGCTGGCCATCAAAAGTGATCCGCTCGATGCAGTCCAGGTAGGCATCTGTCCAGTAGACCCACTGGTCATCCACAGAGATGCCATTGGGCCACTTCACATCCTCTGACACAAGACGATGGACGGCAGAGCCATCCATATTGCTCCGATAAATTCCCGGCTTCAGGTCTCCCCAGTCGGTCCAGAACATCACCCTGGTCAAACCGGGAAAGAACACACATCACATCTGACCTAGGGAATCGGGAGTGAGATACTATCCCCAAGAGGTAAGAAGCCTCTCTAGAACTGGAAGGCCAGTTAGTTTGGCAGTATTATTATCATAAGCCGTAATTATAATACTTAACACCCTGAATTTCTTGCCCCAGAAATTCCTTTGCTGGAATTTATCTACAGATACAATCAAGTTATGTGACGACAATGTACAAAGACATTCATCACAGCATTGTTCATACTAGCAAAAAAATTATGTATGTGTTATGTCTGTATACACACACACATATACTTTTAGGTGAATATATGTGTATACACACCAACAGGTTAATCTACAGAGAAAGTGATAGATGATGGTACATACAATAGAATATTTTGATGCCTAAAAATCTACATGTTTTCATGTGTGCTCACGTGAAAAGATCATCTTCAACCCATGTTAAAGGTTTTGAAAACACGCAGAACAGTAAATATCTACAATTCTATTTCATGCATGAGTGTGTGTGTGTCCGTGTGTCTTAAGGCTACGTGCTTGCACGTGGATAAAAAAGAATTCTGAATGATACACAGGAAACTACTAACCACGATTACCCCTAGGAAGTATGAAGGAGAAGGGTTAAGAGTGAAAAAGGAGGAAACAAATATTTTTCATTTCGTAAACTTCTGTTCTCTTAATATTTTTAATGAAGTACATATATATTTTTCCTTTTAAAAAATAGATCTAATTCTCAATCATAAATACTAGAAGGATAGAAAGCCTAATGCAGAATTTTCTTTTAGCTATGTTTCTTTTAAGTTAAGAAATTAATTTAAAGAACACCTTTGCATTTCCCATATAGCATATAAATTGCTAGTAAGAAAACCTGTGGGGGTTGGGCAGGGAAGAGATGGAAGGGATCATATGTTTGCATCATGCGCCACACTTGAGATAAAGAATCCTCCCAATATCTAACCAGGCCTGACTACGCTGTATCTACGGAGAGACTTTTAATAATACCTTTCGTTGCAGAAACACCCCACAGATGTGAGACATCTGGATGTGGAGACTCTGATGCTTGCTAACAAAAGGGGGAATGGAGTTACCTGACAAGATGACTGAGCTCTGGTTTCAAGACTCCAAGTCAATAGATTATTTCAACCGCAATCATCAGAAACAAGTTTGTGTCCGGCAGTTGGCACTTCCACGAGCAGACAGATGTCTGTTGGCAGCATCCGCCACGTGCTGATTTCCTCTGGGGCCACACTTACCCGTCTTGGGGCAGGAGGACCAGAGCCCTGGGCCGGTCGAGCACAGAGGAGTTGACAATCGTGAGTCGGAAGTCACCATCTGGATTAGCCACCTGACAAGAAATAGGAGGGGGCGGGGCCTGAGGGGAGGCCAAGATGGATCTGAGCTCCTTGAAAGCCCACATCACAGTTTCCTGCTGGGCTGCCACCCACAGACACGCACCTCTGTGGGTGCCTGATTCCCCTGCAGACTCATCTGGGAAGCCTGCCCTGACTTCGGTCAGAAGGAGCTGTTCCCTCCTCGGGCTCATGGGACAATCCTTACGTGGTCTGACAGATGGGCCAGTGCTGTGGCCCATGCCCCGGTTCTGGGGGCATGAAGACAGATCTGCACAAAGTACTCAGGACGTATTATTTATTTATCCCACTACGTTGCTCCACGCTCCAAAGCCACCAATGGCTCCACACGGTCCACACAACAAATATTCAACATCCCAGGCCTTATAATTAAGAATCTCCACAGACTTGGGCACCTGGGTGGCTCAGTTGGTTAAGTGACCACCTTCGGCTCAGGTCATGATCCTGGAGTCCCGGGATCGAGTCTCACATTGGGCTCCCTGCTCAGCGGGGGGTCTGCTTCTCCCTCTGACCCTCCCCCCTCTTGTGCTCTCTCTCTCTCTCTCTCTCTCCCCTTCTCTCTCTCTCAAATAAATAAATAAAATCTTTAAAAAAAAAAATCTCCACAGACTTTTAATTCTCTCTCCTCCATATTCTCTGTTGTCCACTTCAGCCCTGACAACTTCAGGGAGGCCGGCCTTCTCATGGTTCTCGAAACCTGACATACTCCAAGTTGTCTGTCTGCTCTCACCGCGTCCCGTCCCAGGCCTGTCCTCTGCTCCATAATCAAATCGCGTCTCTCCTTCAGAACTCCCCTCCAGGCCCAGCTCCTCAGCTAACTCCTCTGACCTGCCTTCCTCAACGAGCATCTACAGTTCTTGCCAGTGACTCATCTTACCATTTCGCACAAACAGTACCTGCGCGGTGTGGACACTTATGCTTTACGGCATCCCTCCAGCACCTGGCAAAGCACTGACCACACACAGTTAAAGAAGGGAGAGGCACGGTAATAACAAGACCACCGATGCCCCACTCAGTGCGTGTGAGGCATGGTGCGTCTTCTCACTCGCTTCCCCCAGCCACACTCTGAGGTGGACACTACCCCCTCCTCAGGGCTCGGCTCGGGTGCCACATCCTCAAGGCCTTCCTGCCCCCTCCGCAGTCACACGATCACACTGCCCCATTGGACAGGCCCTCTAGGACTCATCGCTGACAGAGCTGATAGATGTATGTCTTCAGTGGTTTGCTTCCTCCACTCACATCTCATCTCTCTCAGAACAGGAACTTGTGTGTCTCACCTACTGCTGTATCCTCACGGCCTCAAAGCATACCTGGCAGGCACCATGCAAGAAAGAGCACCCGTCCGACGACGGGGTGGATCAATTCTGTCTCACAGACATTGGAAACTGAAGCTTCAGGGGATAAGAAACTCGCCCGAGTCACTTAAGCTACCGGAATGAAGACTGAACCCAGGTCTGGCGCTCGACTTTGGGACTTTCGTCTTGGTGACTTCTCCCGACGGTGACTCCCTGCCGCTACTGAGCTCTCCACGTGACCCACATGCCGTGTCCCCCCGTAGTTGGTACAAAGTGGGGTGGAGACAATGAGCCAGGGCCTCAGCCTTGACTTCTGGCAGGTGAGTGTGCCTATGAGACCATGACTTTGGTGTTGGAGGGGCCCTTTCTTACCCTCACGTGGCCTTAGGTCGCTGAGGTGCAGATAAGTAAAGTGGGCAAATAAGAGCACTGTTAACAGGGTTGTCATGAGAACTGAATCCAATAATTCGAGCAAAGTGCTTCCAACTGGGCTTGGCACAGAATAAGTGCTCGTTGTCATCAATAATCATAATCATGATCATGATATTGTCTTAATTACTCTAATCAACTCCAATAATACTAGAGCACTGACAATACAGCAGTATACTAATGCTATGGTATTATATAATTATCATTATTGTTACCACCACACGCCTCAGCTAGCCAAAATAGAACCGTTCGGGGCATCTTAATGAAATCTCTGACGGGTTCAGGCATCCTGTTCTCACGTGGGACCTTCAGGACAATGAGCATGAATTCTGAAACTATCCCCCTTTTCTTCCTTTCCCGGAGGCTCCGCTGGGCCATTCTCTGGAATTCTCAAAGAATTTCCAGAGAAGTCGGACACACTGGCTCCGCCCCCTGTGTCAAACCTGGCTCGAAGCCCAGGTGCTCCCCCTGCATGCTTAATTAAGGACAGCACGGGATACACATACCTCGATCTTTTTAAAGCCAGAGTCCACCCAGTAAAGTAACTGGCTGAGGGGTTCAAAAGCCAAGGCTTCTACGGTCTCCAGGCCAGAATTGATGATCACCTCTTGCCCTGTACTCCCATTCAAACAGAGGCGCTGAAGAGAGGGTGGGAAAAAAGGCTGTGAGTATGCGAATGACCTCGTGCCAGCTCAAGTCCCGTGGATGGCAACCCTTTACTCCACGGGCTTTGACCGGTAAGGGATGAGATGTCTTCTATCAGTAAACGTTCCACATGGGCGAAGCCGGTTTTTAACAAAGCTTTTCTAAAATGTATTAACGGCTTCCTGTTTCAAGGAGACTCTAGAGCTACACAGAACTTAATCATTGATATTACTCGGCATCATCCTTATGAACGCTGGTAACTGAACAACGCTGTATCCCGATAATGAGGTCGGAGATTACTGAGAAGCATGAGTCTGTTTGCTTTTGAAATAAATGAAACCAGACTGCTGTTATTTTTAAGTTCTTGAGTCGGCTTTTCTAGGCTCTCCTCCCTTGGGAAGCTCCTGGCCATCAGGTGCTGTCCCTGGGACAAGCTACACTGAGCGGTCGCTGGCGTCCCCCAGCCCCAGCCCCTCGAAAACCCAGGCACTGTAACATTTCTGCTGGGTTGGAAGTCCGGATAAAACTTGTTGGAATTGCTTTTCTAAAAAGGATTAAATAGGCAATGAATAAAGATCAAATAGCTCTCCTTTAAAATGCATGAGCTTGAGTCTATGGCTATCTATCTGGCCCGTGTGGGGATCTTTATAGTTCACTTGCTGGTTCTTGGCTGTGTTCCGAATAGCTGAAGTGGGTAATTACGTGAACTGCGGGTACGTCAAGTGTTCCTGTATCACGGCTCGGGAAGAAGGTCGCCTCAGAGGCAGCTGGTGTGATAGTAACTCATCCTCCTACACTCTTAGTCCTCAAATCTTCCCAGCAGGAAAAGGGAAGTCTCACTTACAAGTAAGATGGCAGAGTTGGGGCTCCCTTAGTCCTTCCTACGAGGACAGAGGTGGGCAGGGCAAGAAAATACCAAAACAGAAGAATGCAAGGTTTCATCCATCAGCCCTGAGAGGAGTTACGACTTAAAATGTCTAATACCCATTTCCCTAGGCCGTCCTGAAGGAAGCTTATCAGGATTGGGCAGTCACAAGGCACGGGCCCCACGAGCGGACCGAGGGTTGACGTACCTGGATGGTGTCCAAGGCCAGGTCAGACCAATACAAGCAGTTGTGCTCATAGTCAAAGTCCAGGGCCACTGCGGCCCGTAGCCCTGTGAGGGGCAACTGCTCAGTGGTTCCCGAGGCCAGGTCATAGCGGTGGATGGACTTCCGCATGGCATACAGGATGAATTCGTTCTCCTCTGCACAGACACAGACAAACAACAGAGCGGGTGGACGAGGGGGATGCTGAGGAGTCCTAGCATGTCTGACCTTTTTTCTGCTCACACATAAACCTAATGGCGCAGATCAAGTGGAAGAGCAACGGAGTCAAGACTGAGAAGGTGTGAAAAGTGGAATCCCATTTCTGCCTTGAGGGGCAAGTTACTTCAACTCCTATAAATCTGTTTTCTCGTCTGCAAACTGTCTTACTTGTTATAATTGTTTTTTTTTTTTTTTTAATTTAGAGGCCCCAGTCATGCTCCAACATCCACGCTTCTGAGCTCGGCCCAGAAGTCTTTAGAGTCACACATGACAAAATAATTACCCCACTCGGCATGCTCTCCCTCGTCACATGACTGCATCACATGGCACCATAATCATGTTGAGGAGAGACCCTGAGTCACTGAAGACTTGTAGCTAATCTGTTTGCTCACCCATCCAATATTATTCACAATGACATACAGCAATTACATCAACCTATTATAGTTTCAACACAGTAACAGTACATTTGTCCCTGAACACTTACAAAATGTTTCCCAACAAAATCATCGCAAAGGTCCTATTTCTTCTTGACAAGCCCTGTACAATGTCCATACTACGTACCAGGCACTGTTCACTGGTATAATGACTGCATCGTGGAAGGACCCCTGTGAACTCAATTTTACAAATGAGAAAACAGACAGCAGAGAGGTTAACGCCTTCGAGGTCACACGACTAGTAAGTGGCAGGACCAAGGCTTGAACTCGGGCAGCCTGGATCCAGAATCTGTGTTTTACCCCCTACACAATGCTGCCTCTTGGGATAGAGAGGCTAATGCTGTTGTTTTTTTAAGACACAGAAATAGAGGCCCTGAGTGCTTAAGAAGACTGACTGACTCACGTCAGACAACGAGTAACTAGAAGAGCTGGTGCTCCCTCTCTTCTGCTTAGGGAACAGCATGGAAAACATGCAGATCCTTCTACAATGATGCACAACACACCTTCATCCATGTCTAACGCGACCACTTTGACGGCAGGCTGCACGTGGGACCTGATCCCCTCTATTGCACGCCCACATAGTGACCGTTTCTCTCTCTCGCCCCCATTCCCCTCATTCAGTGAGTTCACACGCACCAGCTACCCGCTTTACAAGGGCTCCCACACAGATAATGCACGCCAAAAATAAATCAACCTACAGGTTTTGTTTTGTTTTGTTTTGTTTACGATTTTATTTATTTATTTGACAGAGACACAGCGAGAGAGGGAACACAAGCAAGGGGAGCGGGAGAGGGAGAAGCAGGCTTCCTGCCGAGCAGGGAGCCCGATGTGGGGCTCGATCCCAGGACCCCGGGATCATGACCCGAGCCGAAGGCAGATGCTTTACGACCGAGCTACCCAGGCACCCCTCGACTTACAGTTTTTAATAAAGGTAAGTTTGCCTTCTCTTCCTTTGGTCTCACTGCACTTCAAAAGTATCTAAGCCACCACCACATGGTAACCGATCTCTTCCTCTGGTTTTCAAGAAAAGCTTCCCACCGCACTTCCCAGTGAAGGGGATCGTTAAGATGAAACCTGCCGAGCCTGTAAATGACCCAGAAACCAAGGACTCTCATCGAAGCTGCCACGGAGAGCCACGGAGGTTACACTCACAGCAGCAAGCCTCCCACCCACGTCTCTAACGTCCGCAAACCCCATTCTGTGGCTTCGGTTTTTCTTCTAACCAACTAATGCCTTTACAGCAGAGCCTGGGTCCAGAAAGACTTGCCTTAGGATTAGATAGAGAGGAACGTTCTGCATTTCCATGTTCAAAACTTAACTTAGGAAAGGAACAGAATTCTTGGCCAATCCCAGCCATACCTGAGCACCGCCTGGACTCTGTGTTATTATAGTAATCATAAAGGAAGGAGGATGACTTCATTTTTAAAAATCCTTCCAAGATGCCCGGACGACCTCCTCTTTGCAAAGATGCTATAGTTCCCATCAGCTCTAGGAAAGCTTCCTTTCCTTTCGTGGTATACCCTTGGCTTCTGTGCCACATATTTTTTTTTTTTTACATTTAGGAGGTGGCCTACATGACAAATGTGATTTTTCCACTTTGTTCCCTGTTCTATTTTTCTCCTCTCAGAAAAGAAAATAGCACCTGGGTGGCTCAGGCGTTAGCGTCTGCCTTCGGCTCAGGTCATGATCCCAGAGTTCTGGGATCAAGCCCCGCATCGGGCTCCCTGCTCGGCGGGAAGCCTGCTTCTCCCTCTCCCACTCCCCCTGCTTGTGTTCCCCCTCTCGCTGTGTCTCTCTCTGTCAAATAAATAAATAAAATCTTAAAAAAAAAAAACCAAAGAAAATAGCTTTCCTACCGGTTTAGATGGCTTTAAACAGTTTTGTCCCTCACTGATTTACCTCCAGAAATGTTTATTACAAAAGCATGTCTTAAGAGCAATCACTCAAACCCTACTCACCCAAACCCTCATCAATAACAGCTCTTGTGCGGAGCGTATTTGAATATTATCTGCTCATTTGCGGGAATCTGCTGAAGCCGTGTTCTTTTGAAGTCTCCACAGTGAGGGATGTTAATTACTCTGGTAATGATGGAAGATTAAATTAAAGAACTAATGAGCTTAGCATGAAAAACACCGGCGCACACTGGCAAGCAGCAAGCGAACAAGGGGGCTGCTCTGCCCTGCCGGGGGAGGCCCACGCGCTTCTTGCGATCCAGCGGGCTGTTCCATCAGACATCACGGCCACGGATGCGAGTGCGCGCCAACCATTCACCTTCACCGAGAGGTCAGAGCAGGAGGAAGGGCTCACAGGGAATAAGGAAGCTCTGCACGAGTAAGTACTAGAGACAGAGCAGGAAGGGAAAGATGCTAAGAGATTAACTATTTGCGAGAGTATCATCATTCCGAGACTAGATTGCAAATACCACACACCACTCACTCAACTTTAAGTATGTTTGGACCACACTCTCCCTTTACAGCGTAGGCACTCACTCCAGAGAAGTTTTTCCTAATGAGCATGCATAATGATACCCTAAAGTGATGGGAATGACACTCATTTGCCACTTGGGCAATATCCGAGGAAGAGCATGAGGCTGAAGAGTCTGAATTTGAGCTCTGTCACTTACCAGGTGTGTGACCTTAAATAGATGGATTAACCCTCTTCTCTGAACAGGCTTATTTTTTTTTTTTAAATGGAGCTTACGACAGGATCTGCTCCACTGGGTAGTGATAAGGATTAAAACGACGACACGTGGAAAAGTACATTAAAATGTGTGAAATTCCATTCAAGTATTCATTATACTTATTATTATAAAAGTTAAGATAGACCACTTAGCTACATCCCCAAAAGACGCAAGTCTCTCTGTATTCAACTCTGACAAACAGATCGAGGAACACGTAAAAGCCTCCCCTCCTTCACCCATCCCTAGGACACAAGAGATGCAGAATAAACACTTTTCAATGAACAAAAGGGGTTTTCCTCAAAAAATACTTTCCATTCCTACAAAAGCATAAGGCTATAAATAAATTTGGTTTGGATACCAAGCTTAGGGGAAAAGGGGAGCTCTGTGATGCTTGTAATTTCCATGTCTTTCCTCCACTAAGCTAGAAGAGCCATGAGACTAGACCTCTGTGAGACGGTGAGGATGCTGTGGTGAGTATCTCAAGAACTCAAAGTCAAGAAACCACCTCTTACCTGCCAAGGGACACGGGACCAGTTCTCCTTCCAGTCGTGTTTCAACGTCTCCTCCACTACAAGTGTCCCCAGAAATCTTCCGATAGCTGTCACCGCCCCCCACCCCAAGAGCAAGAGATTAGACACAATCAGGAATAGTCATTAAGTCTCCATAATTGGAAATATATTTCCTATCCACGGACAACAGCGTTCATCTATTCATCTCCCTATAGGACAAGACAACATGTAATCGTTCTGAATTGGTCCTGCTTAGAGTTACACTGGGCAGCCCACCCAGTTGGGAAGCTGTCCTGGGCAAAAGTTTACATACAGCTCTCCAACAAACTCCTGTGAAGACACGTCCTTGCTGAAGTTTATGACTTAACACAAAGCTAGAGCTGCAGAGAAACTCACAGATTTGCGTTTTTCTCACTGAGGGTAGAAGAGTCTGTAAACATCCTAAGTCTAAATATTGCCCAAGCTCCCTGAGACCTGCTAGCTTAGAATCCAAGCACTTGTATGAAAGGAACCCAGGTGGTCCTCCCTGCTCTCAAGCCCAGCGCAGACCCCTCGTGTCCCGGCTATGGTGACTGGTGTGAGACATACCCTCTTGTTCTCCTATAAGTAGAGCCCACAGGACAAGGCACGGGAGGAGAGTAGGACTTCCCAGAAAACTCAGGATCCGGAACACAAACCTCTAAGAACAAATCTTCACTCATCTTGAAGCCGAAGTCACTAAAAAGGCAATTGGGGTTCGTTAGGGCCGTTGGTTTACATACTTGGGGCATGTCAGTACCAAACCTTGTGACTTCTCCCACAGCGCCTACCGCTTTAATGTAAGTTACTTAACACGTCCCTTTAAAGAATATTCACCTTTTTACATTAACACATTTTCAAAAGAAACTTTACATCTGAGCCATGATTGGAAAACCATGATCACATGCCAAAAATAAGACAAAAACAATATAAATCATTATACCAAAAAACAAAACAATATTAAATTTTTTAGCTGGATCCAGTTCCCTACCCAAAGACTCTGGGTCTGCCTGGTCTTTGTTAAGAGGGATTAGGAAATGGGGATTAGGAAATGGGGGTGCCTAGGTGGCTCAGATGGTTAACCATCTGCCTTCAGCTCAGGTCATGATCCCAGGATCCTGGGATCGAGTCCCCCATCGGGATCCCTGCTCAGCAGGGAGCCTGCTTCTCCCTCTCCCTCTGCTGCTCCCCCTGCTTGTGCTCTCTCTCTCTCTGTGTCAAATAAATTAATAAAATCTTTAAAAAAAAATTTTTTTTTAAAGTAGGGATTAGGAAATGGGGGCACCTCGGTGGTGCAGTTGGTTAGGCATCTGACTCTTGGTTTTGGCTCAGGTCATGATCTCAGGGTCCTGGGATCGAGCCCTACATCGGGCTCCATGCTCAGCACAGAGTCTGCTTGAGATTCTCTCCCTCTCCCTCTCTCTCCCTCTCTCTGCCCCTCCTACTCATGCTCGCTCTAAAATAAATAAAATCTTAAAAAAAAAGGGGATTAGGAAATGTAAAAAGTTACTAGCACCCAGTGATCCTCTCTCCTTGATGTGATTAGAAGAATTAAAGAGGAAATTTAAAAGAATAACCTTTTTTTAAAATTAAAGATTCAATGTTATTTAAGATCATGTCCACGTACGACCCAAAATGACCTTGGGTGTCTCATCCTGCACTTCGGGACACAGTGCTTTGGTCCACGAGACCCTTCACAACTTGAGGGCCACATATCTCTGCCAAAACACCCATCTCCAAGGGCAGAGCCCCAGAGCAGGAAGCAGGGAAGCGAGGTCTAGTCCCAACTCTGCCCTTCACTGCATGACTTGTCCGGACTGCATTCAACAACCCCAAGATGAGGCAACTGCCCTAGCTAATTCCCGAAGCCCTGACCAAAACTTAAACTCTAATTCAAAGGAATTTTCCACACTGATGTGCTCTACTCAAAAGGTCTCATTTACTCTATTCAGTCCAATGAATACTTACTTAACACCTTCTCCACGAGAAGTATTAACAGGTCCAGGGCTAAGTGGTTTGTGTTGTTTATTGTGTCATAATCCACATTTAGCAATTTGTAGGAATTTTTCAGAAGGATGGTTTTACAGATAAGCAGTACCGGGATCAGCCGGAGCCTGGCTAGAACTAGAGAATCAGAGCCGGCATTTCCACAAGATCCCAGGTGATGCCCACGCACACTCGGGATCCAGAAGCACTGGTCTAGGGCAGGAGCTAGCTAAGCCTGGTTAGCTGTTCTCGCAAAGAAAGCTTTATGGGGCCACAGCCATGTCCCCATTTGCCACCTACAGCTCCTTCCATGCTACCGTGAGCAGTCGTGGAGCTGTCCACAGAGACCATACGGCCGGCAAAGCCGAAAGGGTTTACTCCGTGGCCCTGGTCCAACCCCTGGACTAGCACATATCAGAGGCTTCTGGCTTTTGTCAAGATAAGTGTGGCTTCCCAAAGCAAACTTTAGGTTTTAGGGGCCTGGCAACTACTGAGAAATGAGTTACGTGCTTAGTTTGATACCCATGCTCTACCGATGACCCGCCTCGCCTGGGGTGATTTCATGCGGGATTACAGACTCAAAGGACTACCTCGGGGCTCAGAGATCCTATGCGCTTTCCAGCTAGAATCCTCTTCTAAGGCTAAGCTCTGTTCTGATCATCGACTGTTCTCAAAAGTCTTCAAAGACCCCCGCCTGCTTACAGAATAAGGCCCGTACCCTTTCTGTCTCCACCCTCCCAGATCAGCCTCAGCTGCACTCACTGGCCTCACTTTACACCTCCAAGGCATCTGAGCCAAAACTCCAATGCCTTCCCCGTCTCCCCCCCACCCACGGCGGCCACATCTCAGACTGCTCCTGTCCACAGACTCAGGTACTTCCTTAAGGCCCATCTCAAACAGCACAGCCTCCCAAAACGTCCCGATTTGCCGGAAGCACATCAGTCTCCTCCTTCCTGCCAATAATCACAAGAAAAGCACCCATTCCTCCTCCAAGATGTGTTGCAGCTTTCCCTCTCCAGCCACATTATTTGTGCGCCTGTGGCTTCTTCTGCTTCCCCCTTTCCCAGCCATGCCTTGGGTACTCTGCTTCAGGACGGAGGAACATACAAATACATATATATGGGCTGACATCCCCTCGTTTCTGTAGCATAGGGCTCCCTAAGGAAAAGGAGCGGGACCTACAATGGAATCTTAAAGCGGCCCTCATAGAAATAAACCCCAGGGTGATCTCTTCCTAAATCAGCTACTGCAGCTTCCCTAGGGTGTGACACCTCTCCCTCATTTCGTAGCTGTAAGAACGAAATGGAATAAACTAGGCAGAAGGTGCCTAGCACATAAAAAAAAAAATGCTTAATACCTAGTGACTTCCTTTGATCTGCCTTCTTTTGCTCAGGGAAAGGGACCGTGCCCTAGTCTTGTGGGCCACGCCGCTGGCTGAGGAAGACACAACCCAGCCCCCGGGGAACTGAAGAAGAACCAACCATTCGTAGTCCTCTCGCGTACAGGAGCAGTTGGACACGACCACCGGCCTGTCAAAGTCTTCTCCGTTAAAGCACGTGGCGTGGGGTGTCCTCCGTTTGAAAACGGTCTTGTGTCCTAGCAAACACTCGTTGCCCCGCTCATCAGATGGCGACCAGAGTTTGTAGTCGTTCTCTGTGCAGGGAACCCCTGGGGAAAAGGAAACACAGCAGGAAGCATTTGAGGGAGACCTGCGCACGCAGGCTTTCCTGTCTTCCCCAGCCCCGGGCCCGAGCACCCGCGTCCAGCACACCCTGCTGCTGGTTGGCAGGCACACGGGCCTCTGCAGCTATCCCAAGCCTCTAATCAGCTTGCTGTGATGCCGGGAGGCACCCACGCCAATGGACATGGTACCTCCTGAAACACAGACGCTCATCTCTGAGAAAGCTGGGAAGAAGCAAGCCACCTTTGGCACCATCTAAAAGCTTCTGAAATAATTTAGCAGATTCTGCAGTTCCCTCCAGAAGTCGGTATCAGAGGGGTTGATAGCCCAGGGAGTTCGGGTCAGGCTGGATCCTGGATAGATAGATGGTAGCCTTCAGGAGTATGGTTTCCCACCTGCTTCCCACCTGCTTCCTGGGCAGGGTGGGCATGCCTGGAAGCAACAGCCCAAGAGAGCAATAGACAATTCACGGTCACTACTTGGAAGGTACAGAATCTTCAGGGAAGGAGGCTGAGAAACGGCAGAACAGCCTGGATGATCGCTCCATGTTCACTTGGAATTTAAGTAGAGTGGTTTCTACAGGAATTCCAATGTATGCCTATGTCTACACTGGTACTCTATGTCTTCTTTATAGACGTGTCTTCCATCGGATTACATGCTGCCTAAAACTGATGAAAAGCTGTCAGCTCGTCGCCATTCCCATCAGCAAGTACTTATTAAACCCTGACTGTTAAGCTCTCTGGCTGTCCAGTGGGTGGAAAATACACATGCACGGGACAGGTTCTTATTTCCGAGGACCTTATAACCTAGTTGATGGGGAATGATACAAACAGGGTGACAGACACAAATGCAGAATTCAGGGCGTGAGGAGTACGCTTATGCTCTGGACACAGAGAAGAGGGGGAGGTCCTCTGGTGGGGATATTAGCAGCCAAGTGCATTCGATCCTGAAACAGGGAAAGGATTTCAATCAGCGGAAAGTGACTGGGGAGCAGAGGGGTCATTTCGGTCAGCTGGAAGGATTGCGCCCAGGCGGGAGGAGGAGGAGGAAAGAGCAGGGCTGCGGGGGGCGGGAGGGGGGTGGCGCAGGAGGGGGAACGGGGGAGGAAGGAAGATGCGGAGTCGCACCTCTCCCTGCTTCCTTGTAAGTCCTGTGCCTACCCTAGCGGACGCAGAGGAGATCCCAGACAGCTGGGAGGACCCTGCATCGTCTGGTACCTGGCCATTCACATGGGAGTCACTCGCTTGATCTGTCAAACCAGAACCGCTGACTGGGAAGAACAGTTTTCATTTGCTCACATGCTAAACACATGTATACCTAAGCTTACAGTGTACCAGTGATTGTGCAGGGAATGAGGGCACGAGATAACACAAGGTCCTCCCAAGAGTGGCCTGAGTACCTCTCTTAGCACGTCCCAGTCACTCACTGCATACATGTGCACCTCCTTGCGCAGCTACACTCTCCGAGCTACAGAGGACCTAAGCTGATGCTCAGGTGCCAAGGAGGCAGCGGCTTACCCAAGGCATCTGTGGCATTGACCTGAAGGATCAGCCAGTTGTGGACATTCTCTTTGTTGGAGCCAAAGATGGTGAAGACAGTGCTCTTCTCGCCAGGCTCCGTGAGGAGTCCATACACAAAAACTGGCCTCTCGGAGAAGATGAACGTTTTCCAGGTCTCCCCTTCATTGGTGCTGTATCTGTCCAAAAACGAGGAAGAGGATCCTTGCGGTTAGAGTCTCTAGGGCAAAGGCTTGGTTTCCAGATAACATTCACTAGGGAGGGGAGCCAGGACTCCTTGGAGAAATGGCTGAGGCAGAGAACGTTCAGGGTTGTACCAGAAAGCAAGGAAGGGCTCAGGGACTAATTTGATGGGTGCAAAAGGACACGGCAGCCAGCTCAATGGAGCTCCAGCTGGTCAGTTTGGGACAATCTGAACATAAAAAGAAAAATGATGGTAACAGATTATACACTAAATAAAAATAGGGTAAGGGTCTCTGACTGATCCAAAAAGGGACAGAGAAGGGAAGGAGGGAAATGTTCTTCTTATATTACAATGCTACCTGATATATGTTGAAAACGACGACAGCATGAGAAAAATGACCATCCATCACCCACAATCTAGTAATGAACCAGGCGACATGATCACTGGATGCTAAAACCACTGGGTGGAAGGAGTGCTGGGGACCAGGGTGTTCACATGGTCTAAAATGACCAACCCACAGATGACTCATTCACTACAAATGGGGAAATGCAATTCTACAGTGGACTGGAGTCACAGCCTCCACCAGACTCAGCACCACGAAAAATGGCACAATCTAATGTTACAGGCCTCCTGGAGAAAGCCCTGCGGATATCACATCGTCTACGTGCTATTCTGTACATCCAGACAATCCAGCATGGGCGACATTCTACATGGCAACTGGTCTGGATTCTTCCAAAGCAAAAGTGAGGCCGCGAAAAACTTAAACCAACAAAAGAAGGCAGAAGGCTTGTTACAAAGAGACTAAAGAGGTGTTAACGACCACATGCAATGTGTAAACCTTGACTGAATCCTGGATTGGGTGGGGGGAGGCAGCTGTCAGTATATAAATATAAATACAGTGGATAAGGGACACTGAGCTCCTGCTAAATTTTCTTAGGCGTGATAATGGCATTCTGATTGCTTAGGAAATTTATTTATTGGAGATACATGTTTTCAGTATTTAGCTGTGAAGGGGCAAGATGGCTGCAACTTTGTTTCCAATGACTCGGCAAAGAAGGATAGACAGATGGAAAGACAGGCAGACAGGATGAACACATAACTGACAGAAGTAAAGCAAATTGGCAGAATGTTAACAACTGCTGATTCTGAGTGAACTTATGTGAGTGTTCTTTACACAATTCTTGTACCTTTTCCTGTGGTCTGACAGATTTTGAAGTTGGAGGAAAAAATATGTGCAGAGAGAACTCTCCAAGGAGGACTACCTCAGAACAAGAAAGCAAGCTCTTGAAAAAAATCAGCCCTGAAAATAATTGTGCTGATTTTAAATTATCTTTTGTATTGAAGGGGAGGAGAAGGGGAAAATCTGCCTAACACTTGCTTCATCACCCAGTACGCTGGCAACGTGTTCAGCCTGAGAAACTGCTCAGTGAGAGCTTCCACGGAGCTCTAGGTTTGGTCTGAAATCCTAACGACACACAACGTCTTTCTTTCACCTTTCCCCTATTGTTGAGATTTTAGTTTGACTCCCTCAGCATCCTCATCCTTGACATAAATCTTTTCATGACATCATGCAATCCAAATATTTCCTCCCCGGTGAGATTACTAAAATAGATACTTCTGCAAGAGGCTGCAGGTTCAAACGGGTGGGTTGGGGGGTGGCCGCTACAAGGCAACATAAGTAATGAATGTCAGGGAGGACTAAGTGACGCCTCCAGAGATCTCCCAAAGAGGACAAATTCTCCTCTGGTTGAAACACTTTTGGTTGAAGCTAATTTTGAAACAGATCTGGGGATAAGTGAACTAGTTTGCTTGCCTTATTCCAGCAGCATCGGTCCGTTATCCAGGCAGATGGGAGCCATCCATCTGCTCTGTGAAAATGCTGGAAGTCCATCTATTTTCACATTGCTTAGTTAATTCGATTTAAGAGATCCTCAAACCCCAGATAACCTTAGAAATTGAAGCATTCCATTTCTTGAGAGGTTCCCAGAGGACTCTGGGAGGACACTTGAATGAGACGAAGAAGCAGGTGCATGGCCAAGCACAGCCATGTATTCAAGCATAAACTGTGCATTTAGAAAATGATGCTTTTTCAGAATTTCGGGGAAGGGGCAGGTCACATTACCACTGCAACAGTCTGGGGGATCATCTACTCTGGACCAAGTTCTGATCCCTAGAGGAGGACTTGTTTTGATGATGTGAAAATAACAAGAACCTTGCAAGAAAACAAACCCAAGTCATCTCTGTGTTCCTCCAATCACAAAAGACCCCAACCTTTAGGAATGGAGGATTCAAAACATCCAGATGAAAATACAGACATAAACCCCATGATCAGAAACTCTCAGGAGGATGGGAAGGTCATTTAATAGAATAAATGTAACATAACATAAATATAACCACAGATGCACTAAGTAAAAGAAGTGTTGACAGATACTCAACTGAAGACTCTACCATGTGGCTAGCTGTCCAGAAAGGTCCTTGATGAACTCAGATTTTTAAACAGCATGTTCATGATGAGGAAAGAGTCTTATAACCAAAGGCAAAAAAGTCAAGAGCAGCAGTGATCTGCTATTCTTACAGCAAGTGATCTGCAGGAACAGTGGCCAAACAACTTAAATTCAAAGTGAGTCAAATTATAAAAATAAGTGGTAGATTAGTGGGTCACCGGGATGGTGGGATGGTTGCCTGGTAAATTCTACAAAGAATTAGCAAAAAAATTCTATAAAGAACTAGAAAGGATCATCCTTCTGACGGTCAGTGGTTTAAATAGTAACAACAAGAAAAAAAAGTCAGAACCACTCAATTTCTATTTTGGTTGTATCTTTATCAAGAAGAATCATCTTCAAACTGGACAAGGCAGGAAAAAAAATCAGTGACATTAGAAGAAAATAAGCGCAAAAGGGTGCACGTTCTAGGGAATGGAAAGACTTAAAAATACGATTGCGGAGTTCCTTCTAAGAATCTCAGAAAGAATCCTGGAGAACAGACAGAGATCTCTCAAAGCCCAGAGGAGGAAGAATAGCTTTACTTCCCTAAAGAAGAAACAGGGGTTTCAAGAATGGTAACAGCTGATCTGATGGGTCTTAGAACAGAAGGCAGTCCGTCAGGGATGGGATTCACATGGTTTCCCATACAAGTCACAACAAACGAATCCAGTTTTCCTCTTCTCGTGGTGATCCTGGGTTTGAAGAAGAGGGTCATAATACAAAACATTTCTTTTTTTCATAGGGATCTTTGTGGGCCGCACAGCTAGATAAGATGCACTGTTGGTCAAGTAAAGTCCCAAGCGTGCTCATTGCTGACATATCGTGTGACCTCAACCCCAGATGAGACCTCTGGTCCCCACACCGCTCAACGCCTTCGTCAAGGATATGAATAACAATATGGAAGGTCAATCTATCAGATCCGCAAAGCAGACAAGGCTAATTGTACCGATAATGCAATTAATGCCAAAACAGGGTTCAAAACCCTTTTATTACATCAAAAGGAGAAGCAAAAATGAGAATGAAGTTCCACGTGTTGTTTCAAAAACCCACCTGCTCAGATACAGGATGGAGAAAATCTGGTCTTTAATAAAATTCGTAAGAAAAAAAGGATCTCTACGTTTAGTAGTTAAACTGAACTTGAGCTACTGATATAAGTCACAGCAGAGATAGAATCTCAAAAATATGCTGAGTAAAAGAAGCCAAATACAAACGCAGGAAATTCTGTAATAGGCAGAACTAACCTACAGTGGTAAAAATATAATCAGACCATCAGTTGCCTCTAACTGGGGTAGGGTAGGGGCGGTGGTATTGGCGGGTAGGGGGCACGTAGGTATTTTCTGGGGTGATGGAAATTCTCTGCATCTTGACAAGCACCCTCCAGAAATGATTAAGTGGTGTATTTACAACCTGAGCATCTCATGGTGTGCAAATGGATACCTCAATTTTTTTTAAATAATTCAGTAGAAGCTAAAAAGTAGGGAGGCTGTCAAAAGAGTAAAACCAGTCTCGGGTGTTCACTAGGCAGGAACTGAATGTCCCAAGCCATATCAGTATTAATCCCTGTATGCTGGGGTCAGACCTGGGCCCCACATGTTAAAAGCACTGACGTGGGGAGGTAGGCCTAAAGGACACCCAGGTGGTGGAGAGTTGGGATCCCATGGCATCGGAGGAAAGGAAGTGGAGCCATTTGCCACGGAATGGGAGACACACGGGAGGGATTGAGGGGCGTGTGGCTCAGATACCTGCAAGGTGTTCAGGTGAAGGAGGAAACACCCTGTGTCTGTGTGTCCTGGGAGCAGAAACAAGCCCCCTAACCAGAAACCAGAGAGAAGAGAATTCAGGCTCTCTCTGACTTGAGGACTTTCCTTCATAAAGGAATAAACAGATAAACAGAGTGAGGGAATGAAGAAACAATCAACAAACCGTCCCAAAGTGAAACGAAAGCCCCTTCTGATCTGGCCACTCCCCATCACTCAAACCGTCCAAGCAAGGACTGGAAGATCTTCCATCACAGTAATCAAGAGAAAATGCGTGCAGGGGCTGGTGGAAGGCCTGAGCAGATGATGGGATATGTGTAGATTCCTGCTAGACCTCTCCCCGTGCACAGCCCAGAGCAATCCGGTCCGACTTGTCCAAATCCACATGCATCCATCCCATGGCCCTTCAGGGCCTGATCAGTGCACCCCATCACCCCAGGCTGGTCAAGAGCAGTCCTGCGCCTTTGCCCCCAAAATGCTTAATCCTGCCCCCACACCCCCCAGCTTCCGTTCTCACCTCCAATCTTGCTTCTTTTAAATTTATCCTCCTCAGCTTACCAGGGCCCCCTTTCTGTAATGCCACGTCTAGCCGTATCTACCCACGTCGTTCCCCTACTGAAAACTCTAAAGGGACACTACCACTTCAAAAGCCAAGTCTGATCGCTCCAGTGCAGCAAGCACGGTCCTCCAGCTCCTAGCCCCTACCTACACCTACCTCAATCCCCATGTCTCAGCACCTCCTCCCTGCAATCTGCATACTATCGGTACTAAAGCCGTATACCTTCCATACTGATTCATGCTGGGCACCCTGTGCCCAAGGTCTTTCTAACCCCGAAATGGCACTCCAACCTTGCTCAAGCTCCTTCTCCCCCATCCTTCCTTCTCCTGGACCCCATTCTGTGCTCCCACAGCCCCCTGGGCTCCCTCTACCTTATACTCTACTCTGTTTTCATGGCCTGAATTTGCAAGCATATCCTACTAGACTGCCATGTGCCAGGAACAAACCCACTTACTCACTTTTCTGCCCCTGGCACCTGGCACCTTTCTTGGCACACAGAAGGGGCGTTAATTAACATTTGCTAAAGGAGATGAAATGAACTGCATTGTATTTTTTCAACCCCGTTACTGAGTCTCTTAACAGTTTAAAAGGTGGTAACACCCGATCCACTGTAACCCAAAGGCTAAAGAAACCAAGTGAGGGTGGAAATGTAGCAGGCGGGGGCGGCTCTCTGCAACTGTCCCACTAAGTGTTACCATTGGCATTAGGTGTTGCCACCAAGCATGCAAGTTAACTGCCATCTCCCACATTCTCGAACCGGGGGGTTGCCTCCAGAACTCAGGTCCTGAAAAAACAGCTGCTGGGTGTAATCTCTGCACGATCTTTGAGGGACTTCTGTGGGAAAGCCCTACGAAATCAGAAACCTCCCGTGGGGAAAAGACGCTGTTGGGCAAGTCCAAAATACTATTATTAACTACCAAGGACAGCATTTTGCTGGCAGGTAAACCAGCAAGAAGAAATGGAAATTGATCTTATCTTTCATGATCAAGCCAAAGAACTTGTGTTTGGGTTTTTGTTTTGTTTTGTTTTTTGGTCAAAGTTCAAGAACACAGCAGCCCCTTTTCTGAAGGACACAGGGATTATACACAAGAAAAACCTGCATCCCCTGAGCAGGTTCATTGTGACAGCATGCTGATCGGATGAATATGTGAATCTCCAGAATGGGTTCTTATTTACTCATTTCAGACATGTAGACACAAGAGCAAAACAAAGCGCTCCACTTCTTGCTCTCAATTTCAATTAGCAACAACAAAGGTAACAGCCTCAGTGGAGAGTCAAGGCAGAAGCTGAGACAAATAACAGTCAACTCTTCGTTATCTGGGCTAATCAGGGAAAGAAAGACATGAATAATGTAAAAGAACAACAACCAAAATGAAACAAAACAAAACAAAAGCCTCATTTTTATTTAAGCAATGTTCCAACCTCTGTCCCCACCAAAACTCTTATGAGAGTTCCTGATGTTACCCCACATGGCTTTCTTCCCTAAGGCTCTGGGTCAGAACGCTCCCTTTCAGAATAAGCCCTCCCCTGGCCTCTCTCTCCAGCTGGCTCAGAAACATAACAGAGCCACAGGGGGCATGAGCAGCTCCTGATGGATTGCCTCACTCACCTTTGCACACTCGGTACCTAGAACAACGTCTGGTCCATTGTCCGTGTTCAACAAACGTTTGTTGTCATTGACCTTAGATGACGTCTAACAGAAGTATGCTCAAGTTCCAGCTTGGGCCCTACCTACTGACAAGTCACATTATTTCAGAGGAAGGTGGACTGGGCCAGCCCTGGTGCCTCTGGGGGGCACACATCCAGGGGGGCCCCGATTCCTACTTGAGCTCCAGAAATTGTCATTACACAGAGGACGGTGGGAGTGGTCCCCTCAGAGCCATGCACCTGCCACACTTCCGCACCCCTTCCAGTTTTATAAATCAGTAAAGAAATAAGCAATCTTGGAAGACTAAGTGTGCATGACCTATTTATTGACCGATCAAACATTTACAAAGTGCCTGCGAGCCTGTACAGAATAGAAATACTGGTCAAAAGACCTTGCTAATGAGTTGAAGAATTCAGGTATATAATGAAAAGGTAACTGATGATAAGAAGCCCATATGTGATCAAGGCCCAATTAATGAGCCCGCCAATAAATGCTGAGACTCCAGGAGAGACATCACTGTGGTCGGGGAAGCCAGACTTGAAGGGGCCCGAAGCCCTAGCCCAGCAACAGAAACCCTTCCTCCACTCATGCTCGGTTATCACAGTAAGTCACCGCTGTGGTCGGAGGCTATGAACTAGATGCAGTATTATTTCCTGCTTGTCTTCTGACGAAGCTGATAGCACACAGCGATAGGTCAAAAGCAGAGTAGCCCGAGAAGCAGCAAAAAAATCTCTGAGAGCCACCTACTGCGTAAATGCCAGGTGGCTACACAGATTTAGGCCAAGCGCTGACTGATATTTGGGACACATGCACCTGTCGAGAGGAGGCCGGAATATATCCTTCCTACTTGCAAATGCTTTATTTGAACCATACACATGGATACCTCCAAATAACCTGCAGAAATAGAAGGGGGCTACAGTGCCCATAGCCCCTCCGGTCCACAAACCCCGCAGTCATTTTTAAGCATGCGAGGGGGGCACGGTGATTTTCTGGCAGCGGGTTTCTCTTCCCGGTCGTGTTTTGCTCCAGCTGCTTCAGCAAATGACGCTGCGTTCCCTGAGCACATCTGCACCGACAGATGGTGTCAGAGGACTAGAATCATGCTAACTACTTCAGGGGAGCCAGCTTGGAATGCAAATGCCATCTGCAGAGAAGCTAAACTGGGAACCTCAGAAACTGACTCTACGATGGGACGGCCACACGAAGAATGACATGTATGCTGCCCAGGGAGCCAAACTGTGGCCCCTGCTGGCGTTCTCCCGCCGCCGAGTCCCCACCATCCCACTGTTTACTTGTGTGTCTTACCCCTGGAGGATGGGCTCCTGATGAGGGAGGGGACAGATCCTCTTTATCTTTAGATATGCAATACGCACTCCCCAGCACAATTCGTGCCTGCTAAAACGTGCCAGATGGCAATTGATAAGTTAATGGATAAATAAATGAATGGCAGGAGAGATGTGGGAAGCACAGGGCTTCGTGACTGTCCTCATCTGAGCACACACCAATGAGAAGGTAGATACAGTGTTATGTACAAACAGGACTTGCTCCCGGCTCTTGGCTCCACAGCAGCAGCTGACCAGCGCCACACAGAGCCGAGAACAGCCAGACGCCAGTGCTTAGCCTCCCTCTGGCTTGCTTGAGGCCAACCTACTCAGCACAGGTGGGAAACCAGATGCTACGATCTCTTTTTTCAAACCGCCCACCTCTCTCTTGCTGCTGGCCCTGTTTCTAAAAGGAGCAAAGGACGACAAGGCTTTCTTCTTTGCATTAAACAAGACCATTACCGAGGCCTCCCCACCTCCTATGGGAACACATCTCGTGGGTTCAGCGCAAATATGGGGAGAAGGGAGGGCCGGTCTGCCCCGACCTACCGTTAACAAAATTAACTTTGGTCCTAACTCACACAAAAATCCTCAAAGAACTGGTTCTGGTAACATCAGACTTGAGCAAGCAGAGGTGACAGACTCTCAACATGTTTGCTTTTCAGGGCAATACATGTGCAAAGAGTACAGAATGTAATTTAACGTCACTAACAAATGGGGGCATCCTCGGCAAGTTTACTTTACCTTGCTGAGCCTCAGTTTTCTCATTTGTAAAACGAAGCAGTTAACCCCCAATGTCCTTTCCAGGCCCATTTGTATGAATCCCAAAAGCAAATGTGTCAACAGCGAAAGCCGACTGGTTACCAAGGAGGATGCATTCTGAAATTATTACTCAGGTATTATTATTATTTATTATTATTTACTGTTCTTCTTATCACTCCTTCTATGTCACACACAAAGCAAAGATAGACAAGTTGAAGTCTCTAGTTAATTTTTTAGTCATCATGAATTCATATTTATATAGAGCTGTATTTTGCCAGATCAATAAAATTGTATCACTGGTTCCTTCTGATACCCCCTTGAGATAGGAAGGACAGATCATTATTCCTCTTCTATAGATAAGGAAAGTTTAAATAATTTGCTGAGGTCAACAGTCATTTGCTGTCAACAATCTCGAGCCTATAGAGAGACAATCCGCTTGTACTCACAGACTTAAATTTCTGGGAGAGCAGTGTGATGTTAAGAGAAAAAGCTTCCGGGCGCCTGGGTGGCTCAGTCGGTTGAGCGTCTGCCTTCAGCTCAGGTCATGATCTCAGGGTCCCGGGATCGAGTCCCATGTCGGGCTCCCCGCTCAGCAGGGAGTCTGCTTCTCCCTCTCCCTCTACCCCTGCCTCTGCTCTCTTTGTCTCTCTCTCTCAAATAAATAAGATCTTTAAAAAAAAAAAAAAAAGAGAGAAAAAGCTTCCTCAAAGACACTTACTTCAGCTCATTGGTTTCCATGCCCTGGGCGATGGCCATGATGATGCCGCCATGATCTCCCCAAGTGTAGTAGTGAGGTCCAGGAAGTGCCTGCAGAGGAAAAGCCAGGGCTGATAGAACTGCTCTGGAGTGACTGGGCAGAAACCACGCACACCACACGGACACACACATAAGCACACGGCAGCGATGCCAACCACGTGAATACAATTTTTCAGTTTCCAGAGCCCATTCACATCCCTTCCCTCATTTGCCCCACACAACCATGGGGACGGGTCAGCACTTCTCATTGCCCCATTTTTCCCCCCAAATGAAGAAACGAGGGTTCGTATTAAAGTGGCTGACTGTCAACAGCAGGGGTAGGAGTCAAGCCCCAATCTTGGACTCTCACCCGCCAGGGATTACAATTTAACCACCTGGAGTTTGAGTTCTACCATGATCTATACGTATAAATCCACGAGAGCCCATCCTTCCTGCCGATTACAAGGGAAAACTTTGAACAAGATACAAAAAAGAGCTGCCCAAGGATGCTGAAAAGGAAACACAATCAGGCGGCTTGTGCAGGGACTTCAAACCTGAGGAGCCACCACAAGGTTGGGGTTTCCTGGTATGGCTTTGCCCCAAGGGAAAGCCCCAGTCCTGGAACACCTCAGTTCCAGGTGGATGGCCACACCATCAACAGAAACCGTTTCTGCGGGCCAGGGAGAATGTGGATGAAATGCCACAAGGGAGAGTATCAAAAAAGTCAATCCTCTAACTCTGTGTATGAACTCACACAAGCCTCACCCTAACCCCTAAACTGCACATGTGTGGAACAGACTGAAACCGGCACAGCAAAGGTTTAGCAAACGCAACGGAGAGGAACCTATGGTCTGAATCTAAGCGGATGCACTACACGCTAAAATGAAAATATCCACCTCCTCCAGTAGATTGTATTCCACGCTTGTCATTCACATATCCAGGATACAACCCCAAATTACTCAACATAGACACCTGTCAATAAAACATGTCCAATTCTCAAGGGAAAAGGCAACCAACAGGTGCCAACCACAAGATGGTTCAAATGCTGGAATTACCAAAGACTTGAAAATAATGATCATAACTGTGTCTCATGCGGTTAAGGAAAACACACTTGAAATGAACAAAAGACAAGAATTCTTCCCAGAGGGGCGCCCAGGTGGCTCAGTTGGTTAAGCGACTGCCTTCGGCTCAGGTCATGATCCTGGAGTCCCTGGATCGAGTCCCGCATCAGGCTCCCTGCTCGGCGGGGAGTCTGCTTCTCCCTCTGACCCTCCCCCCTCTCATGTGCTCTCTCTCATTCTCTCTCTCAAATAAATAAATAAAATCTTTAAAAAAAAAAAAGAATTCTTCCCAGAGAATTCCCAGAAAAAGCTATTTTTTAAGAAGAGAATTTTAGAATAGAAAAATATAACATGTGAAGAAAGAAATTCACGAATGAGCCCAACAACAAAATGGAAATGACAGAGGAACTGGTGAAGCTGGTGATAAATATAGAACAGAAGAAATTATCCATTCTAAAGAACACACAAAAAAGAATGAAAAGGAAAAAAAAGCCCCAAAGACTGGGAGGATAATACTAAAAGGTCTAGTGTGTGTGACTGGAGTCCAAGAAGAATAGGAAAAAGGGACCAGAGCAGAAAAAAAATTTTTTCTTGAAGAAATAATGGCTGAAAATTTCTCAAATTTGGTGAAAGACATACATTTATAGACTCAAGATCAACCTACCCAAACAGGATAAACGCAAAGAAAACCACACCTAGATACATCACAGCAAAACTGCTGAAAAGCAAAGATAAGGGAAAAGATCTTGAAGTCTTTCGACAAAATGACGGATTGCGTGCAGGGCAGTGATGACTGAAATGACTGTAGATTCCTCATCACGAACCAGAGGGGCAAGATGACTGTAGCACATCTTTAAAGTACTGAGAGAAAATCACCACAAACCAGAATTCTATTTCCAACAAACATAGCTTCCAGGAATGAAGGTGAAACAAAGAGATTCTCAAATGAAGGAAAACCAAGAAAATGTGTAACAGTAGATCTGCTCGACAAAAAATGCTAAAGGAATTTCTTCAGGCTGTACAGAAACTTACCAGGGGGATACCAGGATTCTCAGGAATGAAGGGAGGGCAAAAGAAATACCTGGGTAAATATAAAAGATTGCTTCTTTCCCCTTAAATTCTTTAAAACGGATAGAATGATGGAATGCAAAACGAAAGCAAAAACATTGTCTTGTAGGTTTTTTAATGTACTTCAATGAGATACATAGGACAACAATAACAGAAAGGTCAGGGAAAGTAAAAAGGGACTTACATGGTTGCAAGGTTTCTAAATTTTATGTGAAGTGTAACATTATATTAAGAGCAATATTAATTTAAAAAAGACTATGACGGGTACCTGGGTGGCTCAGTTGGTTAAGCGTCTGCCTTCAGCTCAGGTCATGATCCCAGGGTCCTGGGATCGAGCCCCACATCGGGCTCCCCGCTCAGCGGGAAGCTTACTTCTCCCTCTCCCCCTCCCCCTGCTTGTGCGCTCTCTCTCTCTCTCTCTCTCTCGCTGTGTCTCTCTCTGTCAAATAAATAAATAAAATCTTTTTTAAAATAAATAAATAAATAAATAAATAAATAAATAAATAAAAGAGACTATGAAAGATTAAATACGCATGTTGTAATTCTTAGAGCGATGACTGAAGGAAATATAATCAAAAAGACAATACCTAAAAGTAGAATACCAAAACCATCTAAATAATATAGAAAAGTCAGTAAAGGAAGAACAGAGGAATAAAAAATAAAGATCATACAAACATACATAAAATCTTGGACCTAAATCCAACCGTATCAATAATTAGTCAAATGCTAAAGGTCTAAGCATTTCAGTTAAAAAGCGAAGCCTGGCAGAATGAATAAAAAAGTAAGACCCTCCTATACACTGCCCATAGGAAACACTTCAACTATAGATACCAGTGGATAGACAGTAAAGAGATGGTAAAAGATATACTATTGAAACAGTAAACATAAAAAGGTTGGAACAACTATTTCAATACTAGATAAAACAGACTTCAAGACAAAGATTATCACCATAGATGAACAGGGATATTTCATAACAATAAAAGAGGCACAAACAGAAAAGATAATTATAAAATGTGCATGTACTGAATCACAGAGCCTCAAAATACATAAACCTAAAACTGACAGGATTTAAAGAAAAACCTGGCAATTCCACGTAGTTGGAGATTTTACCACTGTTCTCTTAGCAATTACTAGCACTAGTCAAAAAAAAAAAAAAGGTCACTAAGAACATAGAGGATCTGAACAGCAAGGTATCAACCACCTTCATATAAGTTAACACCTTCATATAAGTTAACACCTTCATATAACTAACACTAACATCCGACAACAGAACACACATTCCTTCCTAATGCATATGATGTATTCAGCAAGAGAGGCCAAAACTGGATCCCAAAGCGAGTCCCAATAAATTTAAAGGGATCAAAATCATACAAAGTGTATTCTCTGACTACAGGGCAATTAAATTAGAAATCAAACATAGTAAGATATCTAGGAAATTTCAAATATCTGAAAATGAAACAACCCTTTTCTAAATAACTTATCAAGGACAAAAAGCAAAAGGGACATTTTGAAGTAACAAAAATGTTCTGGAATTAGAGAGTGGTAACAGTTGCACATCCTATCACTTGTAAATATAGCAAAAAGCCACCGAACTCTACACTTTAAAGTGGTGAATTTTATGGTATGTGAATTACATCTCAACTTTAAAGAGGGACATTAAGAAATATTCTGAACTGCATGACAACAAAAGTACATTTCTAAATTTGTGACAATAGTCAAAGCAGTATTTAGAGAAAAACTTAACAGCTTTAAATGCTTATATTAGGAAAAAAACATCTAAAATCAATGACCTAAAGTTATACCTAAAAAAAAGCTACAAAAAGAAAAGCAAATTAAATCCAAAGTAAATAAGGGAAAAGATAATACTAAAGAGCAGAAATCAACAAAACAGAACACAAACCAAAGAAACAAAGCCAAAAGCACATTCTTTGAAAAGATCAATAATATTGACAAACCACTAACTAAACTATTAAGCAAAACAGGAAAATCCCCACAAATCCTCAATATCAGGAATGAAAACAGGTGATCACCACAGACCCTAGAGACCTTAAAAAAAAAAGAAGAAAATACCTTGAGTCATTTAAAGCCAACAAATTCAATAACACAGATGAAACTCACCAAAACTGACATAAGTAGTAGAAAATCTAAACAGTTCCCTATCTGCCAGAGAAACTGAATTTCTAACCAAAACCTTCCCAAAAAGAAGACTCCTGTTTCACTGGTGAGTTATTCAAGGAAAAAAAAAAAAATCACACCACTTTTACACAAAAGAGGAATCACTGTTCAACTTGTTCAAGGACACTAACAACAAATTTGAGAAGAACAGTTAAAAAAAAAAAAAATACAGACCAATATCGAATAATGTAAAAATCTTTAACAAACTATTAGCCACTCAAACTTAACCTTGTATAGAAAGGATAATATATCATAATTAAATAGGATTTGTCCCAGTAATTCAAGGTTCATATAACCATCAAGAATCAATGTAACAGGGCGCCTGGGTGGCTCAGTTGGTTGGGCGACTGCCTTCGGCTCAGGTCATGATCCTGGAGTCCCGGGATCGAGTCCCGCATCAGGCTCCCTGCTCAGCAGGGGGTCTGCTCCTCCCTCTGACCCTCTTCCCTCTCGTGCTCTCTGTCTCTCATTCTCTCTCTCAAATAAATAAATAAAATCTTTAAAAAAAAAAAAAGAATCAATGTAACATACCGTATCACCTATGTGATAGTATGTTCTGAGAAGAAGTATGTATTTTGGTCTTTGTTTCAGCTCCTGGTCAGAGCTCCTAAAAACCCTTGCAATCTCCTGACTGTTGGGGGTGATGTGGGTCTTACACAGAAGCTCCTATACCACTGAGAACTTCCAGGATGATAGGAGAGTCTTTTGTTGGAATAAGGCAACTCTTGGTGGACTCCTGGACAGTACGGGGACTGGTCACCAGAAAGA